TTTTTTTTTTTTTTTTTTTTTTCCCCCCTTTACCCCCTTTACACAGACAGGCGGGCGGGCAATCAAGCAAGCAGGCAAGCGGGCAAGCGGGCGGGGGGTTAGATAGAAACTTCCGGAATCCCTCTCTATCCCACTCTTTATCTCTTTCTTTATCCCCTTTACCTTTATTTTTTTTTGTTTCCCCCCCCCCCCCCCCCTTTCTCCCAAATCCAAATCACACATCCCCTTTTCACCTACCCCCTTTCCTATATTTTTTTTACACAAGAAATCATAAAGCACATTTTTTAAACAAGCTTCATTATCGAAACAACTCTATGTGGGTGTATGTCTATTAACAGTGAGAAATAAGTGGTAAAATAGACAGATATATAGGTTAATTGATATATAATATATCTATAGAAATAAAATAAAAAGGTACAGAAAAATAATAACAAGAGAAACCATTTAGTATAGCCCAGGACAGGACAGGGCAGTGCAGTATAGTAATGCTTGGTTGCGAATGAATTTAGCATCAAATTACAGTTTGGCATATGCTTTGTACCCCACCAGATGCAAAGAATACATCTATAAAATCAATGCCAAAATGAATATGAGTATAACACCCGGCTTACCTTGGTTTGTCGCCCCCCTTCCTCTGCCCTACACTACACTATCCTGATATACCCCGCTATGCCCTGCTCTATTCTGTTTTGTTCTCTTACCTCCAAAGTTTCGTTTTTATTTTAGGTACTAATTTTTATCTATTTGTCTAATTATTCTTTTGATGCTTAGACTTTTTATATATATATAGGTACCCGGTTTTGGTTTTTAGCTTTAGTTATGGTTATGGTTTCGGTTTTGTGCTCACCTACTGTCCAATAAACCCCACACACACACATATATATATATATATATACACAGATTTATGAGCACACGTACTTGGGATACTCATGTACCAAGATATATATAAGAACAAAGAAGAACAAAGAAGAAGAATAAAGAAGAATGGAAATAACAATAGTGGCAGTAGTGATAGAAATGGGTATATAATATATAATATATACATTTGTGGCAGCTGTCATGATATTCTTGGATCTTCAACTTCTTTAATCCTGTTCTGACAGCTTTCCTTTTCTTCCCTATTTGAACCAAGGAGAGGGCATAAATAATTTATTTTATTTTTTTTTTAAAAAAGAAAAGTAACTCAAGACTAAAATTTTCATATGTTATCCTCAACTAAGCTTTGCTAAGCTAAGCTAAGCAAAGCAAAGCAAAGCAAAGCAGATTAAAAGCTTGTCATTTGAACAAGTCAGTCAGTCAGTCAGTCAGTCAGTCAGTCCAGTAGTCAATTATATTGATATTTATAAGCAGGAAATAATAATATGTATATACTTTTCTTTTTGATTTAATGAATAGAGGTTCAGTTACAAATAATTCCATATATTTCGGTTTACAGACGCCCTTTTCTTTTCTTTTTCTTTTTAGTTTCTTTCTGTCAAATGAACAACAACGATAAATGCAATTATTCTCCTTGTTTCTTTACTTTACTTTTTCTTTCTTTTCTCCTCTCCTTTCTATATAATACTAATACTAATATTATAATATATATATATTTGTATAACCTGAACAAGGTAACCCTTTTAAATTTTATTTTTTTTCCCGTAGTGTTTTACCAATATTTTTCTGGGGTAATCTGGTTTCTTTTTGAATTGTTTTTATAGCTGTATATTAAAATATATGTAATATTTTTAAAAGAAAGACACACAGACAAAATTGATCGATTAAAAATATCTATCTATCTATCTATCTGAGAATGAAAAAGATGTATTTAGAGTATATAGAATGATGATAATGATGATGATGATGATGGTATAAATTTGGGTAGATGGGCCTGCTGTTATTAACAATTGACTTTATTCTTCTTTCACATCATTAAAATGGCTTATCAGACCTATCAGAATAAGCCTTCTTTTGTTTTATATATAAAAATACTAAATACCTACAACTATAATATTTATGTTAAAGAAGTGTAGATAAAAAATAAAATATATAGGTGGTTGTGTATTGCCTTGTTCAGAAGCCAACCCTCGGCTCGTCCGTCCCAACCAGGGTCTTTTAGCCTTCACGTGTTTGGGAGGGGGTGACACGACAGAATTTAGACAAATCACCAGACAAACCAGAATCCAATGGTCAAAAAAATAAAATTATTACTACTATACACCACATCTACCAATAGAATTTACCCCACAATATGGAGAAACCATACAAACAAACAAACCAAAAAAAAAAAAAAAGGTATAAAATCAATTCAATTCATTCCATCTTTTATTTTCCTTTTTTTTTTTTTTTTTTTTTTACTTTCTACATACAAAAATAAAGCCAAATTAAATTAAATTAAGCAAAAATATCGTATGCCATCTCTCTTTACCTTGACGCGTTTATCATATTCAAAGCTTGATCGTCCACACAGCAGTCTATTGACATTTGTCTTGGTTCGCAATACTCTCACTGCAGTCACTCTCATACCACCTCACCAATGGCACCTAGAAATCAAAGACAGCTATCTACAGAAATCAAAATCAGAACCAGAGTCAGAGTCAGAACCAGAGTCAGAACCAGAGGAATACGATGACCATGACCATGACCATGATCACGAAGAGTCTGAAGAGTCAGAGGAAGACGATATGCCTCCCTCACCAAAAGACAATGATCAATTCAACCAGATTCCATTCTACAAAAGAACTGGTCCTGCTTTCTTTATCCCATTCGACGACGAAGAAGATGAAGACGAAGATGAAGAAGACTGGCGACTGGATTCTTCTTGCTGGTCAACCAATTACTACCCAACCCCAGAATCATCCCCTTCATCTGTCCTGAGCTGGTCCTCCAACTGCATCTAGATTAAAAACATCATTTATTTATATGTTTTAGAAACACCAAAAAATAATAATAATAACCATATCCTATTCATCCTTACATCCTTACATCCTTACATACATATACACAACAAATCTCTCCCTACTTCCACCAACACATCTTGTAATTTTTTTTTAAAAAAAACAAATACATAATACACAAATAAAACAAAACTTCTTTATACAAATCATAAATTCTAGTTATGTTATTTACTGATTTATTCCAGTTTATTTTCAATAATATAATATAATTTTTTTTTGGAGTTTAATCAATGATGTGGTAAACACCCTTCTGGATCTGACCATCACCCTTCTCAAAGGGAAGATCAAACACAGCATTGCTACGGAAACGTCTCAAGTACTGAATAGCAACGTTCTCCAAAAGGGTAGGCTCCATGTAAAGGTCAGCAAAGGTCAAAGCACCAGGAGTAGGCTTGTCATCCATAGTCATCTAAAATAAAAATAAAATAAAATAAAACAAGTTATTATATTATATTATATTATATTGTATTATATTTTACTTACTCTTTGGATCAAATCAGGGCTGATCATCTGGTTGTAGGGGAGCTTGTCAAGGAAAGTAGCAGCCAACTTGGCCACAGGGGTAGGCACGTTGTAAGTAGGCAAAGGCTTCATGGAAATCTCACGAGCCAAGTTGAACACATCTTCAAAGGTATATTGCTTGGCACTACAATAATAACAGAATTATAAGAAACTCTTAATTGTTCCCAACAATATTTACATTCATATAATTCCTTTCTAGTTCTTTCTACCAAGAATTTCTTGATTCAAGGAGTAATAGATAAATCAATAAAGGTTAACTCACCCATAAAGTTCATAAGTCTTGCCCATGCTGGATTCAGCATTCAAGAGAACAGACAAGGCCTGGGCGACATCAAGCACCTACAAAAACAATTATATTATTAACGTTTGTTTGTTTGCTTCTTTTACTGCCATAATTTATATACATCTCCTTTGAAAGAAAGAAAAAAAAGAAAAAAAAAAGCCTTGGTTTACTTACAGCAACTGGCAAAATCTTGGTCTTGCTCTCGTTGACCCAGTATTGCCAACCATCGGCATCTAACCGAGAATAAAATATTGAAATTAAAAATTAACCCCAACAGAAAAAAAAAACATTCAAGATGAATTGATTTTTGTGCATGTTATATATAATCGAACCACATATCTAGCTATCTATCTATCTATCTGTAAAATCTATATACACGTCTTATTTATAGCCTTACCACCAATTCTGTTGAGAAAACGATCTTCATGGCCCCACATAATGGAAGGACGAACAATTGTGGCGTCAGGAATAACTTCACGTACAGCCTTCTCACCCAATGCCTAATATATACAAATATATACAAATATATATTTATATTTATATATATATATATATATTTCTCGTTCCATTTCCTTTATTGATACTACCACTACTGATTACATTACCTTGGTGCGGAGGAACTTGGAAGGAGAATCCTCGGAAGCATTGAGAGCAGAAACCTGAACAAAGCGAGCAACGCCAGCTTCAGCACAAGCCTCGGCCATCAAACGAGGGCCATTGACGTGAACATCTTCAAAAGTGTAGTTCCTTTTTTTTTTTTTTAAAAAAATAGTTTGTTAGTAATTAATCTAATTACTAAATATATCAAAGAAAATGTTGTGTAGAAAGGACTTGCTTTGTTTCGTAGTCACGACCGATCAAGTTATAAACAATATCAGAGTGACGGACACACTCCAACAACTGGTCCTTGTTCTTCAAGCTAAACTCCTAGTAAAATGTATGAATATAAATATTCCATTCCATTCCATTCCAATCCAGTTCGATTCGATTCGATTCGATTCGATCCAATTCTCTCTGTCTGTTTGTCTGTCTGCTTCTCTTTTCTTAAAATAAATAAATAAATAATAATAATTACCAAAGGGATAACCTGTCCAAGATCACCAGTAACCTTGAGATGTCTAGACTCATCGGGATCACGGTTGGCGACAATGACCTGAGTACCCTGCTTGGCTGTTCAATTGTATAAATATCACCGTTCAATTGACATTTACTATCATATATTTACTCACCAAGCTTGCTCACAACATAACGACCGAGAAAACCAGTGCAACCGAAAACAGTAGCAACTTGACCGTTGGTTGAAGAGCTGAAAAACAAAAATACGTATATATATATATATATTTTCACGTTTATTTTCACGCTTCTTTTTTCTATGTTCTCTCTTTCTTATATATATATATATATATATATATATGTATATGTATGTTTGTTCGTGTTTTCGTGTGTACGTCTGAGTGTCATTTTATTTTACTGTTTGCTGGTTTGTATAGTTGATGCATAGGTGCGTAGGTACGTGAATAAGTGCTGCTGTCTAGGCGTCTTGATTCGTGTTCGTTTTTATTTCTTTATCGTTGCTGTCACTGTCGTTGTTTTTTTCTCTCTCTCTCTCTTATAATCGTTGATATTTTTTGTATGTGTAAATAAACAAGAAACTCACCGACCACCGCGACCGTAACCAATCAAGGGCTTTCCAGTTTTCTTTCTCAAGGTCAAGTCGTGGAAAGCGCGCTTTTGTTTTATTTGGTTGTTGTTGTTGTTGTTGTTGTTGTTATTGATATATATTTTCATTTTATTTATTGGTGTTTTGTTTTTTTTCGAAATTGAAATCAATACATTGAACATTTTCATTCGCATTTTCATTTATTTATTATTCTAGGTTATTACTACTAGTAATCTTATCTGATTAAAAAAGTATTGAGAGAAAAAAAGAAGGGTATATTAGTTACCGATTGGATAGGAGCCATCTTGTTAGCCAGTTGAACACGGCTAGCCTCTGTTATTATTGATATTATCGTTTTTGTTGTTATGTTTTTTTTTAAAAAAAAAAAAAAAGGATAAGAAAATGAAAATAAGCGTAATGTATAAGTAAGTTTTCTGGGTTCATCAATGTATTAAACTATGGATTCCTTTTCTACTTTTATTTTATTTTATTTTTATTTTTGTTGTATTTTACGTTTCAATGCAGCATTGGCAAGCATAATGAAGTAAAGTTCAAAAGAGAGAGGGGTTAGAAAGAGAGAGGGGTAGTGAAAGAAGAAGAATAATAATAATAATAAAAAAAAATAATAAAAAAAATAATAAATTATTTAATAATATAGAGTATTATAAAAAAAATTGGCTTGTATAAAAAGCTTTGGGAGGGGGTATGGTTGGAGGATTTGTGGTATATTTTTATTCACTAGTTTTTTATATATATAATTAAGATTAAGATGATATATTTTCTAGCTTGACTTGACTTGCAAATTTCCTTGACACAAAAAAATAAATACTATATTTTTTATTTTTTATTATTTATTTTTTTAAACAAGTCTACTATTTGAACTAAAGGAATTTATATATTACAGCCATTAGTTCTGTCCTTATGCCTTTCTTCTTTATTGGTCTGTCAATTGGAAGCAAGTTGTAGTAATAAAAATAAATAAATAAATAAATAAATAATATGGTCTACGTCACAAGTGACATCGTCTGCTAATTCATTCTCCTTTTCTTTTTGTGTCCCAAAAGAAAGAAAGAAAAGTGTAATTGACTATGAATGGATATATTCACTCGCCCTATAAGCAAAATGTTTATATATATATAAAGTCATATTCAATTGGTATATTTTATATATAGATTTTATTATATATTTATATTTTATTTTATATATGTATGTACATATGTATGGCATGTAAGTGTGTATATATATATATTACTCTTTACGTTCCCAGACAGTGCCTTGCTCGGCAACTGGCTCCAAGTCAACCTGGATCAAGGCTTCCAAAACTGCCTTTCCGACCACTGGCTCAAGAAGAGCAACCACCTCGGGCTGAATAAATCCATTATTTACGCGGTCAGCGAATACCTGCATGCAACCAGCTGCACGGATGGGACTGGCGGGATCGCGCGCACAGGCGGCCAGATGGAAGAGCATCGAGGTCTCCATCTCGAGCGAGTCGGTATCGGGGTGCTTAGCCTGAGCGTCGGCAATCACACCTTCGTTGTCATCCCAGAAGGTAGGATCAATGCGTCCCTGAGCAGAGTAGAACGAACATCCATCGGCATTCAAACCTCCGACCACGACTGGTCCGACACTAGCTCCTTCTTCAACCAGAGGATGAATGGCGTCCTTCATCGAGCTGGCCAACAGATCGGTCATCTGCTTGTCGGCCGTAAAGACACCCGAGATCAGGTAAGGGGACTCCTTGGCCTTGGGATCAAGTGGCTCTTCGCAAAAGTAGTCGATGTTGCGGCGGATACAGTAACCAGCCCGGGGTACAACGATTGCTCCGGGTGGGGCATCCTTGTTCAGACTACCGCATGATCCGAATCGAATGATCGCAATAGGTCCCACAGTCACAGCTCTTGTCTCGCGCACAAAAAAGTCCATCATACAGTTACCCATGCCAATGGCCATAATGGACACCGGAACTCCCTTGTAGCGACCGGTGATGGTCAGAAACCCACGCTGGCTCTGCTTCACAAAGGTCGGGTGGCCGGCTTCTTCTTCAGAGTCGAGTTCCTTGGCAATAGCCCGGGCACGGACATGATCTCCCACGGTCAAGATACGGTTTGCAACGTCGCCGGTCTTGACACCAATGTGGTAGACGCGACCTTCACCGTCACGAGGGAAATTGGCATTGCTAAGGGTTTCCTTCATGATTTACTTGACGTGAGATAAATAAATAAAAAGTCAAAGCTTTATTAATTTACTCTTTTTTAAGAAAAAAAGAAGAAGAAGAAGAAGAGTGTAGGGTTATTTGGAGAAGGAAAGATGGAATAAAATAAAATAAAAAAATTTAAATTAAAGAAGAGAAATGGTATTTATATTTATAATTATATTCATACTTTTATACTAGCTAGTCTTTAAATAGCCTGTTTTTTTCTTTCTTGTATATATATATAAGTATATGCTTTATCTGTGTACACATTCTGTATCAGCAGTGGTGGGGGAGGTCCAATATATAAATATACAGTGAAAATGTTCAAAGAAATTTTAAATTTCAAATTTTAGGCTGTATAACCCTATCAGAGGTCACGGATTTTTTTTTGCTTTTTCTTTTATCACTATATTTCCAAGATTCTGTACAACTGTTACATGAATGCCTTTATATTTCTATATTTTTATCTTTTTTTTTATTATTATTTCAAGAATTCTATATTTCATTTTGATGATATAAAAGTATCAGCAAGTAGTTCAGTGTAGGCCATCTTTGTTGTATCTTAGAGGAAATTAAGCTTGAAGAAAAGGCGATCTTGACAATCTTTTGAACGATTTATTGTAACGTACGGTCGAAAAGGTTGTTTATGTTGCGCCCGTGCAGTAAATCCACATTTTCTCAATTTCTTTGGACTTTGCTGGGCTTTCGAGCAACGTTGGTGATATAAAAGAGTTTATCGGATAGCAACAAACAAGAAAACCATAAAGAGAATTATTGTCTATTATTATGAGACAATACTTTGGAGACGCTATAAATATATCCAACTGTTTTAACAAATGAAATAAAGATTTAAAGATACTGACTGAAAAGAACTTTACAAATTGACGTTCATTGATTTCTTTAGCATTTTCCCCCCCTTTTTATTATCATTATTATTTGTTTGAGGTCTTGGATCTCTTTTATTTCAACAGTTCAGAATGAATTCGTACATTAGTCAGTAAAACAAAAGTTAAAGACTAGAGAAGTGTGTCAAATCAAACGCGTCGACATTTTCAAAAAAAAATAATCTAAAAGTCTATATTTCCCTATATGTATAAAAACGTATCTATAAAATAAAATAAAATAAAAAGCTTTTTGAATGTGACTTTGTACGAGTGTACCCTCATCCACACCCGACTTTACACACACACACACATATATATATATATATATTTTATATATACAGCAACACCTAAAGAAAAAGAAGAAGAAGAAGAAAAAAAGAATTACTCTCACACATACACACGTACATAGTTTGTTATGGCCTTGTTTTCAAAAAGAGTATTGACGGGTACCCGGTCAAAAGCACTACAGCAATCCGGTTTGGATTCCTTTCTCAAGCAATCAATCCACAAAGATCCCACTTCATCAGTTTACCTCGGGACGATGTTTGAGATGCAGACAATGGAGGCCCTTCAGACGATCGGAATGGACTTGAGTCATGTCGGGGGTAAAGGAGATCGTGGGGTGGATCTATCTGGAGAGTGGCCACTCGCCTTATCTTCGACTTTTGCTGTACCTCGATTGATCGTTCAGTGCAAACGGCTTCAAAAGGGCTGCAGTCCTGATCATCTTCGGTCTCTGGTCGGTACGGTCGTCAACATGGCTCACCCGACCCAACCTACAATAGGTATCTTGGCTACCTTGGGCCACAGACCATTCACCAAGGAGCTGTCGGGCCACTTCTTATCCAGCCAGGTACCACTTGGACTAGCCATGGTGGATGAGAATTGTCTAAAATCGCTGGTATTTAATTTACCCGCCCAAGAAATACTTCAGGGTGTAGTTGTCACAACTCGGTACACGGCTGCAGGAGACCGGGTTCCGGTAGTTACATTTAAAGGACAAGTGATTGATATAGAGAACAAAATGTGTATATAAAAAAAATGAGAGAAAGAAAGAAAGAGAGAAAGAGAGAAAGATTAATTGGTTGATTAATTAATTACTTGTTAATTTGATCGATCGATCGGTCATTCAGTCAGTCAGTCAGTGAATCAATCAAAGTGTGAGTGAGTGAGTGGCATACAGATACACAGATATTGACAGAGAGTCAAACACAGTGTTAGAGAAAGAGAAAGGTTAATTTTGAAAGCTCTGTTTTGCGTACATAAAACAAAGTATACATTACATGTGAAAATATTAGTATAATTACATGTTTATTCTTTCAGACTTCAAAGGGTCGGATAATTTTTCTTTTGGGTGTATATGTATGTGTGAGTTTTGTGGGTTTGCGTGTTTTGTCTTTATCAGTGGGTCTTGGTCAAAACACAAAGGTCACACAGGCGCACATCCCTATGAATTCCATATGCACATGAAATTATTTATAAAACTAACCAAGAGGAAAAGAAAAGTCATGTAAAAAAGGTAGAATGACTTGCGGTAAAATTAATGAAATTATGATCAAAGTCAAGGGAATACCTGTAGTGCTTGTGTGTGTGTGTTCTGTTTGTACATTTGTAAATTTGTACATTTGTTTGTGTGTTTTCTTAGTGTAGGTTTGCACATGCTTGTACGAGGTAGCCAGCCCGTGGATGCTAGATCGACGACAGAGCCAATGATCACAACATTGTATTCCATATTTATTTCATTATTTCGTATTTTCTGGTTTTGTTATACTACAAATAACAGTAGTGCTATATATATAAATATAAATAAAAGTAATCATTCATTTCATCCTCTTCTTCTTTTCCTTCTTCTTCTTTTACTTCTTTATCCGCAATCGACTATGGATAACGAGCGTATATCATTACCACCCATTCAAGCAATTCTTCATGGTCAAGGTACATACTAGACAGCGCTATAAAGTAGCTGTCTTTCGATATATAGATATCTTTCTCTTTTATTTATTTTTGTATCTATACATCTAATATAAATAATATGTCATGATAATATAACAATAATAAAGACCAGATAGAAGAGCAACCGACTGGGCTGCCAAATGAACTACGGTTTCTGTGCCGGTCAGAACCTGGCCAAAGACGATCAGAAATAAAATCACATCAAATCCAAACCCAAACCCAAACCCAAACACAAGCACAAGCACAAAGCCAAAAGCAAAAGCAAAAACAAAAGCAAAATTTCCCAAATTCCTTATCTACACATTTCACACAACAACCACAACAAATATCACAGCAACCTCTTTATACTGAGCGAGCTCACCACGTACGCTCACACTCGCACTCGCACTCGCACTCCCATTCTCAAACTCAAACACATCTCACTCTTCCCTTCAATTCCCCCTCCAATTCCCACTCCCACCGTCGTACCGTATCTGCATCGGTCTCTCTCGATACCGCACTTGACACACCCATGTGGCAATCCCCACCGTCATCGCCCCAACACCGTTATCACTGTTCCCAATGTCCAAAGACTTTCACCCGACCGTCTTCTCTCAGGATCCATGTATTTTCTCACACCGGCGAAAAACCTCACGCATGTCCTCACAATGGCTGCGGACGTCGGTTCAGTGTCCAAAGCAACATGAGGCGACACCTTAGAGTGCACTATTGTCCCTCTAAGCCAGAAAGTACAAATATTCTACAAGAACCGTTTGACATCATATCGTCTCATCCCCAATCTTCCTCTTCTTCCTCTTCCTCTCCTTTGTCTGGCCCTTCTTCTCTCCCTCACCTTCCTCTTCTTTCCTCTTCCATTTATAATCCTAATCTCAATTCCAATTCTGATTCCAATTCTAATTTTACCACTGCTACTTCATGGTAAGAGAGAAAATTCAAAACACATTGTCAATAGAGGACCTTGTAAGATAAAGTAAAAAGGGACTGCAAATAAAATAAAAGAAAGAATAAGGAAAGAAAGAAAGAAACCAATAAAGTTTTAAAACAAAGATAAAAGCAAACTAAAATCGATATATATCATCCTTTGAGAAGAAGTATATTTTACACCACACTTCATTTAACTTTGCTTTACTTGCTTATACAAATATAAAGAAGATATCTTTTTACAAACGCATGTATATATATATATGTATGTGTGTGCGTGTGCCTGTTAAATATCATGTGTCAGTTTATGACCCAAAATAATAATATCAATAATGTTGTACCCTTTATTCTTTTATCTCCTTTTGCCTATTTTGAAGCTTTGCCACCAGGTATTTCTTTATATATATATATTTTGGAAGTTTATATAGATGGTCAATAGACAGCTGTGCACGGACATCCTAAGCCGCTACCCCAAAGCTGTCCACAAGCATCGTGTTGATCGTATTAACCCATTCTTGTGCGTGGCCCTCAGGATCATCAAACGTGTACGACTTTTGTGGCTTCAATATATAATCAAATTAATTATTTAATTTCTTAAATAAAACAAAAGCTTACCGTGTGAATACAAAATACAGATTTTCCTTTAAGCTCAGGTAACAACTGAGGGGTCCATCCAATCTCACAGCGTAACTTCCCACCAGATCCGTCTGCTTCTTTGCCTTCATCCATATACAACAAGCGTGGTCGGTTCGTCAAGATCAGGTATCGTTTTTTTGAAAAGAATCCAGGCCTGCGCACTACCTTTCCTGCCCTCAGAATTGATTCGTTTGGATACAAATGAGGCACCCTTTTTGTATTGTTGAGAAGTGTAGAGCAATATAGAGCAGCGTACAAGTAGTGTGATTTACATACATGCATATATATATATATTTGTATGTATACAAGCCAATAGAAAGAATAGTATATGTATATATGTATATATACAAGACAAAGAAGAAGAAGAAAAAAGAACAAAATAAAAACAAAACAAAAAATTCAATTCAATTTTATTCAATATTAAATATTGAACTTTTTTTTTCTTTAACAAATATATATAAATTAAATTAAATTAAATTAAATTAAATAATACTGATACTTATACTACTTATAATGCTAATAATATTACTAGCACTAATGATAATATTGATAGTAAAAAATAACATTGAAAAACAATAAACACCCACCCATCTACTCACATCTGCGTAGTGAGTAGTGCAGAGCGTGCAGAGCGTGTAATGTAGTGTAATGTGTCAAATATAGTGTGTAAAATGTAGATTATAAAGTACAAAATGTATAATGTAGAATGTAGAATATAGAATATAGAATGTAGAATGCAATATGTAATATGTAAGGTGTAGTGTAGATTTATAGACTGTAGATTGTAGAGTATAATGTGTACAAATATGTATTTACCATGGTGGATGAGACTGGCCTCCAAGACGCTCTGGGCTCATGCTACGTGTGGAGTCTGACCTGGCATTGCTTATTCCATGTCGTGAATCGTGACGAAGTGCTGCTGCCACAGGTGGTGGGTATGCTGTAGAACTTATCCTGGCAGAATCCAAAGATATGTTTACATTTTGATGATTGTTATTACTATTACTATTACTCTTACTATTGATATTATTATTACTGCTGCCGCTACTATTATTATTGATATTGTTATTATCATTGTGCTCATATTGCAGACGCGACGAATCACCGAATCGATCATATTGATTTCCAGGTGTAGGCATTGTTGCACTTTCTGTTATTTCTGTTGCTCCTACTGGAAGTACTCCTGTTCCGGCCGTTGTTTTTACTGTTGGTGGTAGTAAATTGGGCTCTTGATCGATGCGATTAGTATTAAACCAAGCTTCATCTTCGTCGTCGTCACCATCGTTGTCTTCATAATCTTCGTTCTCATCGTAATCCAATCCATTTTCCGCCCTTTGTCTTGCACGTAGCTCTGCCTGTCTGGCCATTTCTCTCTCCAATCTTTCGCGTAAAGGAGGAGCAGGGGATTCAAATAACGTGTCCCAGTCGATACCACAAAAGAATGGGTGTTGTCGAATCTCTTCTAGCCCACCCGTTTTTTCGGATCCAATACGTTCAGAAGGTTCGAGTACTAGCAGTCGTTGGATGAGATCGCGTGCATCGTCTGGAAAGTAGTCTGGAATTGTGTATTCGAGATTCTTGATGTTCTGGAAGATCAGATAGTCAGTCGGAGCCTTGAAGGGTGATTTTCCAGATAACATTTGAAAGAGTACACAGCCAAATGCCCACAAATCAGCTCTAGAAATAATAATAAGAAAAGGGAGAAAAGTGCATATTAGCTAACATAAAAATCCCTGTTTTTTTCTGATTTTTTGTTTTCTCTTGTTGTTATTGTGGTTGTATGTATTTCTTTACTCTTTAGAGGTACGCTCGCTGCGTAGTAATTCCGGAGACACATATTCAGCTGTACCAACAAACGAACGAGAACGGCCTAAGGAAAAATACAAGGAATTATATATATATTAGATCATATTTTACTACATGTATGTATATGTATAATAACAATACGATCTAAACAGGAGATTATATTACTTTGAGGTTTCTCTTCTGTGTTTTCTGTTCCATTGGAATCTTTATCTTCTTCTGCTTCTTCTTTAATACCGATCTTTGCTGATCCAAAATCTGTAATCTTGATGTGCATGTTGTCGTCGAGCAAGATACTGATAAATATATTTTAATGTAAAATATTATTAATAAATGTTATTGTGTGTTTTTGTTTTCTTAATCTTCTTCTATCACCACCACTACTCCTAGTAACTTACTTTTCAGGTTTAATATCACTAAATGAATCAGAATATATATATTTATATAAAAAAGAATTAATAATCACAATCATAATAATAATGATTTCTATTGCTTACCGATGAATAACATCTTTATTGTGGATATGCTCTAGAGCAGAGAGAATCTCGGCTGCATAAAACCTAGCCGTATCTACATCAAACGGAGCCAGCTGAAATATGGTTTTTGTTGTTGTTATTGTTTTGAATATCGGTTAACGACATTAATTATTCGAAAAAGAAGAGGGATCTAATAAGACTTACTCTTCTAATGTAGCTGTAGAGTTCTCCGTTCTTGGCCAAATCCAATACAAAGTCTATATATATATATATATATATATATATATATAAGTATTAAAGTTGTATGATTAGTCAATAGTTTAATTTACAATAGTAATAACAATATAACTTACACAGACTACGATGGTCTTTAAAAGTCCAATATAATTTGATGATTCCAGGATGGTTCATTCGACTCAGAGCATCACGTTCAATCATGACATATTTAACCTTGTCATTCTTTACAATGTGTGCCTTGTCAAGTTTCTTAATTGCGTAATATTTGCCAGTTCTTCTGTCTCGTCCAACAATTACCTATTAAAAACAAAAAACAAAAAACAAAAAAACAAGAGTTGTATATTTATACGTGTATTTATGCTTATGCTTATAATGATAAATAACATGTATGAAGCTTACAGTTGAATAGCTGCCTTCACCAAGAACATCTCCGTAATCAAAATCATTGACCGTGCGTCGGTGATGAAAGAGAGGATGAGAAGGATCATCAACATCAGCTACTGTTACAGGTTCTTGATGATGAACCGGTTCTAAAGGTGAATTAATAGTATCGGATGCCATTGGAATTATATTATTGATATTATTTGTATATATATATATATATATATTATATATAAATATATAAATATATTAATGGAAAGAGCCATACATAAATAAATTACATATAAATATATATGCGTGAAGAATTGAGTTTAAATCTGTTTATTTTCTTGTATATATTTTACTTAAAATTATAATAAGAAATTCTATTGTAATTTTTTTTATATTTATATAAAGATTATATCTATACTTGAAATTTGAAACAGAAAAAAAATGCATGTTTTTGTTTTTGTTTCTTTTTTTTTTAAAACAAAAAAAAAGCTGACAAAAGTTAAAAGTTGAACATCGAAAATTAAAATCACCATTAAAATTAGCACTAATTTCCAGTAGTGGCTATAGTTTGTAATTTATTTATCTCTATATAAAAACATCCCAAGATGTAGTATATTATACAGCAGCAAGCTTTAAATGATAGACAATAAGCACAAGAGATTTTGATTTGATTTTTTTTAAAATATATATATATATATATATATATTGCAATTTAAGTTTGTTAGAAATACATACATACAGATATAATATACATTGAAATAGGTAAATAATTGTAATAGTAAAAGTAATAATATATATAAAATATATATATATATATATAAAGGAAGAGGTTAAAGAGAAATTCTATGAGAGTGTATATGTGTAGATGTGTATTTTGATAATGATATTAATATTAATAGTAATGGTGGAGGAAAAGGGAAGGGAAGGGAAGAAAAGAAAAGAAATGTACAATATAATGAATGAATGATATTATTATTATTATTATTATTATTATAGACATTATAAGAATCATTAGTAACCAACACCAGACATAATACCATAGCCAAGTGTGAATACCAAGGCAGTAGATATAATACTGGTAGGAATACCCGTGATAATGAAATCCTTTGTGGTCAAATAAGGCTTTCCAGATGCATCTTCCTGCATAATAGCCGACATGTTTGGATAACCTGAGACCGGAAGACCCATACCTGCAGAACATGCCAGACCAGCTCCCATAACCAACAGGTTTGCGTGGGGAGTAGGCAGCTGCTGACCGACCTGCTGCACAATCGGTACAATGATCAGGGCAGCTACGGTGTGTGAAACGAATGTAGCAAACACCAGAATAAGAAGCGAAAAGATGGCCAGGATTGCAATAGGCTCCAGGTCCTGGATACCGTCCTTGATGCGCAGAGCAATGTCCTCCAATAGCCCGGACGAGGTGACCGCATAGCCAAGTGACATACCGCCCTGGGCAAGCACAACAACAGACCACAAGAATGCGTTCAGATCGTCCTTACCGAGGATCTTTGTGCCAAAGAAGACAAACAGTGGAATGGCTGCAATAATACCCGTGTCACCAATATGGTCCTCCATCGAACTCTCGGCACACCAGAGTGCAATGGTCAAGATAGTTACGGCCATTACGAAATACTGGGTAAAGCTGACCTTTCCTCTGGTAGGCTTGATTTTGTTGAGATGAGGGCAGGCACGGTCTGGTCTGTAGACAAGCAGCAGGATAGCCCAGGCCACAAAAATAGAAAGAATCGACACCGGCAAGGCAACGCCAAACCAGATACCCCATCCTGGGTTTGGTTCCATGTATTGGATGGTCACGATATTCTGAGGCGACGAGATTGGAGAAGTCATACCACCGATGCAACTGGCAAGCGCAATACCAAGCAACAGACAGGGTCCGACTGGAGAACCGTCCGGTAAGGTGCGTAGAATTGGATTGATGAGTGAGAAACATAAGACGGGGGTGGCTACATTGGAGATCCACATGCTCAAGAACCCAGCAACAAACATGTTGGCTAAAAGAACCCATCTAGGACGAGAGCCTGCTCTGGACAGAACGTGGGATGCGAATGCTTTGGCGATTCCGTACTTTGAGAGAGCAGCCGCGAGTGCAAAACCTCCGAGGAGCATCATGATAGTTCCGCTAAACATGGACGAAAACACGGCCTTGGCGGCTGGTTTGGCATCCATCACACTTCCATCCGCATTTCGCAGGATAGCCAAGGGAACAATAAGGAAGGGGAGCATGAGAGATGTAGCATAGAGAGGAATTGCCTCGGTGGCCCACATGATTGCAGCAAAAATCAGGAGTGCGAAACAATAGTTTTCTTGTCTCTGGCCAAAGCAGTCGACATTGAGCAGGACTGCAAAGACTGCAACAGACAAGAGGAAGCACAGAGAGCTTCGAAGAGTTTCGTAGGCGACCTTTCGATTGACGAAGGGTAATTTTACCATTCGTTCGCCATCTGGACTCTTTACGTGGGCATCGTTGACTTTACGTTCTTGGCCAATCAAATCTTTCCAGACCGTATTGCGTTCGAATGCGACCTGGTCTCGCAAGTGTGTCTTCATCTGACGGATGGCGACTGTTACATTTCCGTTGTAGAATGCGTCGGCATAAAGTTGCTCGATACGTTCGATCTGGTTATGTAGGGAATCGAGAGTAGATGGCATGAAGGGTCTTGCTTCGGCGACGACCTTGGTGAGATAGTATTCGCGAAGGTTTCCTTCCAGAACCTTGTCGTACTTTTTGAGGATCTTTTGGAAAGCGATTCGGTTGAGTTCGATATATGATTCGAGTTCTGAGAGTGAGACATAGACCATGATTATCTGGGTTCTCAGGTCCACCAAGCGTTCGACAGACTGGGTCTGGTTTGAGCGGACGGTGAGACGAGATTCGAATGACATGCGAGACATTTTTCGAGAGAGCGAGTCATTGTGAATTGATGTTCTTCCGGTTGGGAAACGTGATTTTTCATGTCCAAAGGATGAGTCGAGGCTTTCGAGTGGGCCTTCGACGGTGTTTGGAAATTCGGTGTGGGCTTGTGGTACGTGTGGAGAGTCTGATGGTTCGGCTGTATTTGACACCTCGACAGCCAGTTGATCGACAGTGGAATAAAGGTCTGATTCTTGGGAGGAGTAAAAATCCGAGACCTTTTGGAGTTGTTTGTCCAGTTCGATTATAAACTGAGACTCCTGTTCCTCTTTTTGTTCTTCACTCGTTTGATTCGCAGCGTTTTCTGAATCTCTTGACAAGTTTGCTCTGTTCACACGTTCTTTTTCGAACTGAAAGATCAGTTTTTTGAGATGGTCATACCTTTATAATTTATTTATTTATTTTTTTAAAAAAGAAAAGAAAAGAAAAGATAGGTATAAATTGTTAATAACGCTGTTACTGTTGTTACTGTTGTTGCAATAATTAATTAATTAAGTAATTAATTATGCTTTTTTGTTTTATATTTTATTTTATTTTATTAAATTATTTATAGACATAGACACAAACACAAGCACAGACAGAGATATACATACACATACACATTCATATAAATATTTATTTTATTTTATTTTATTTATTAATTAATTTATTACAATAAATCAAATTGTATTTAATATTATATCATATAGATACTTACGCTACATAATAGTCTATCCATTCGGATACTGCGTTAAATTGCAGTGAATGAGAAAACTTCATTGTCTGCTGTATATAGGTTGATGTAGATATAGATATTTGATATTCTTTAAAGCAATTGAAACAAAAGAGAGAAAGAGAGAGAAGTAAGGAATTAAGAAAAAAAAATATTTTTTAAACATATATATATATTTATATATAAAAAATATATACACATATATAAATTTATAATAGATATTCATGTCTTCTCTCTCTTGTTTTTAAATATTTTTCAAAGGGAGTTGTATTTTTAGGTTGTTTAAACCACCAATCCATGTCTCTCCCTTTTTTCCATTTTTATATCTTATATAAAATATATATAGCCTTAAAGTAAGCGAAAAAGAGAGATAGCTTCGGATTTAAACCCTATTATGTTTTATTTTTGCTAATCGTTTTGTCATCAAAAGATTTGTTGCTTAGCAACATTAATAGCTTAAATATGTATATAGAAAGTATCAAAACTCTAACTAACCGGATGAAAAAGAAGAAAAATAAAATAAAATTGGGGTTAAAATAAAGGCAAGAATAGAAAATGTATAGAAAAAAAGAAAATCTACCTACTTCTTGGTTGCTAGTCAGCTACTTTTGAGTACAAAAGGAGTAGGTACATATTTTGTGGTTACGCTTCTTTCAACCAGCTCCAATCATCCCCCACACGTGTGGTCTCGTTTGTATGATTTTTAAAAAAAAAGTTTGTAGACATATTTTATATTTTATGTTCAAATGAGTATAATTTTCCCGAAGATTTTCAAACGTTTATCCGAGCGTAGTTTCGTTTCGTTTTGTTTTGATTTCTTTTTTTTTTTTTTTTTTTTTGCTTTTATAATCAATAGGGTGGCTGGGTAGAAGAGCTTTTTTATCTTATTTATAATATATATACATATAAAATCATTATTATAAATCCTTATCATCATAATCGTCATAATTATTGTACTTGGCTTTAGCATTATACATGGATAAAATCAAAGGCTAGAACTTCTTCCTTTCTTTCTATATATTTTCGTCTTGTTTTGTTTTGTTTCTTACATACACGATTTCTATAAATGGACCATTTAAATTCTTAAATAGGAAAAAAAAGAAAGATCAAGAAGTACGATAGATAACATAACATAATGGTCAATGATCAAACCAAACAGACTTTTGTTAGTAATTTTTACTTGCACCATTTTACGGAATTACAAGCCGATGCCGAATATCTGCATATAAATATATATATTTTATTCATTACTATTAATGTGATACGGTAATCATAATAACCAGTAGATTTTGGGTGAATTAAATCCGCCCGTACCTTTCAATTCAGTATCCCAATTATGATATGTTTTTTTTTCGAAGCCAAAGTTACAACCTAATCAGTGTTATACTTGTATATAATCTATATTACGTTCAAAGAAAGAACTAGAGGGGCTAATGGCTACTTACATACATAGCTGTACATATGTCTATCCTTCTTTGTTTTTATAAATAAACTAAAATACTATTGTGATTCTAAAGTTCAATTAATTAGTATTCCCTTTTGATAAAAGTGTATATATTGAAATCTGTAACAATCTTATTGTTCGATCGTCAAATATATATATATGTGTGTGCTTGTAGACCAGTCTTATTTTCTATCTCAATTATTGATTTTCTGTACTTCATTTCAAAAAAAATAAAAAATGTGCACAATTTTGAAACACAAATTTATCAAAAGTAGAAGAAGCAGAAGAAGAAGCAAAAAAAGAAAACTTGTGTACAGACAACAAGGTACACTTGTAATGCGATACTTTTTTTATATATATTATATTTTAGACAAAAAAAGATAATATCTCATTTATCCCTTTTATTGTTTTATTCTTCCTCTTACCCTTTTTCCTTCTATTTCTTTAATCACCTTGCTGTTTATTATATACATACAATTATATATTTATATAATATTCTTATTCTTATAGTAGCAGTGATACCAATATCAATAATTGATATCAATGTCAATAGGGCTTTTCGGTTAGAACCTCTTTTTCTATATACAATATCTACTTTTCCCACTATCCTCTTTCCTCTTTCCTCTTTTGTCTTCTTTATCTCTCTCTCTTTATATATAAATATAAATATACAATATACAATATATATATAATATAAAAAAATATTCAAGTAAATGTTGACTTGGCTTCATCTCTTTACATTTGCTCATGCTTTTCTGGAAAGCTCTGCATTCTTTGTGCCATTGGCTTTGGTCCAACAATTTGATGTCTCTCCAAAAATCAGCTATCTAGTGGCTGCCGCATTCGCATTACGCATGACATCAGCCATTTGGATCTGGATCATTGACAGTCGACCAACAATGCATGGTCCTCTAATGGCATGTCTGTCTCTCACCAGTACGGCTGCCCTCATCACAATATTCTTTATACCCCAATCAAATATCCTAGTTTGGATTTCACTTCTTTTCATAATATATCATGCAACCTATCAACCTCTGAGTGTAATCCTAGACAGTTTGATCATCAAGGTATTAGGAGATTATCGTATGCTATTGTTTGGTAAGCAAAACAGAAAAAAAGAAATCTTTCTTTCTTTCTTTATGTAATAACTATCCTCTTGACTCTAAACAAAATATATAAAAAAACAACAAACCAAACTCACAATTTCACACACAAACACAAACACAAACACAAACTTATACAAACACCAATAGCCGCTCAACGACAGTGGGGACTCATGATAGCTCCCTTAATGTTGTTAATTGGTCTTGTCCATTGGATCTATCCACAACCTCTACTCTTTATCCTAGTTGGTTATGTAACCCTTGGATCTCTCGGATTTGCCTGCATTGGCTTTGCATGTACTAACCCAGAAGCCGTGGATCCCAGCGAACTCGCAAACGTCAATGAACTCGCCCCTTTCTTTCTCAAGAATGCACTACAGCCCACGGACACCAGAACATCGGCAGGTCCGAACTCTTCAATCTACAATCCTCTCTACCAACCCTACAGTCTATTCGGAGAACAGCTCTCTCACATCTCGGAAGAAGACGCAAGTCTCTTACAGAGAATGGCTAGTCCTCAATCACTCATGCGAAACCCTTCAATATCAAGTCACTACTCTTACGGATCAACCCTATCTCAGCCCAACCTACAGCAGCAGCAGCAACAACAACAAAATGGACTTTTTCCCGAGAATGCATATCTAAATACAAATCCTAGTAATAATGGTCAGAGCATAGAAATGTCTTTTACGGTCCTTCCAGTATCGTCGCTCGATCTGGCCTTGATTCCAAATCCTTGTCCAGAAGATCCGATGGGTGTTCTGGTCATGCTGCGTCACCCTGAAGACTACTTTCCTTACAACTATCTGACAAACCTACCTCTTCAGTGGAGAATACAATCTGTACTGTTATCGATGCTCTTGCTCGGTATTGCATCGGGTATGCTGGGGTCTTTATTGCCGATTTACCTTTACCGTGGGCTTGGAATGCCTCTCTGGTTAGTATGTGTGGGAGCCAGTGTCCAGGTGATGTGTGTGTTTGTTGTTTATACTACAATCGGGTGGTGGATCCGGAACTGCTCTCCAATGCTACTCAGCAGCTGTGTACACGGTTTCTTTATTTCATCTGCTCTTTGCTACACTATGCTCATCCCACACAGTCCAGTCAGTTGGGGAGCTTCTGTTTTTTTACAAGGCATCCAAGGTAAGTTTTTCTTTCTTTCTTTATATAATTGATTTTAGTTGGGATTTATTCTTGAGAATTAGACTTCTTCCTTTACCTTTATCTGTATTGTATTTTTATACGTATATGTACATGTATGTATATGTATATGTATATGTATATATACAGGTTTAGCTTGGCTTCTTTATTCTTCTTCTTCTTTTAGTATACCAAAAAAAACATAAGAATAAAAGTGTATATACATATATTTTATTATTTTATTCTCTTCTTATCCTATTAGCTCTGTGTTTGCATCTTGCTTGGTGTGTGGCTACTAGTCGTCTGAACGCATTTGCATGGATTGATCAACAACGAATGATGGAGCGTGGAAAAGCATCGGCTCTTTATAGTAGTATAGGACCTGCAGTGGGTGCTCTGATTGCTGGTTGTATAGTTGGCGATGACACGACGTGGAGAATAGGTTTCGTAAATCTATTTCACACCACAGTTCCATTTGTAGCCCTTAGTTTTGTGGTCTCCTGGGGGTGGACAATGGAAGAATAAAGGGAAAAAAAAGAAAGTGGTTTTCCTTGCCTACACAGAATGTACATAAAATCCTCTTTTTTTTCTGTTATTATTTTTATTATACTTATCTTTTCACACTAATTCTAGCTATATTTTATTGTTGTTATTGTTTTTTGAAAACACTTGCTGTATTACAAAATCGATTATTTCAAGTACCCTTAATTGTGTACATATAATTGGGTAACTAAAAAGAAGAAAAAAAAGTAGGTCCAACCAAGATTACACCCATTGTTGGCATGATTTTGTTCACAGTCTAAAAATATAAATAAATATGCTGTACGACACAGGAAAGTCAAGAAAGAGAAAAGGTCAAGAGACGTCCTGTGTAGGTTGTACAAATATGTGTATTTATGACATTTACCTTTTGTAAATCATTCAAAAGAAGGTAGTAGAAGAGTAAAATATTAATTATTGAATATAAGATAATAATTTTGTAAATATACACACAATAAATGGAGAACTATTGTTTGGTATGATGAGCGAATTTTATTATTATAATCATTAGTAGGATTTAACTATCGGTACTACCAAGATAGATAGTATAATGATTACTGTAACAAAGCAGGTAAGAGGAGGGGGGTAAAGTAAAAGTGGGATGATATTTTATGTGGTATTTGGCCATTCATTCAATATATATAAACCAAGACAAGTATATACATATATATATATATTATAGAGTTTTCTTGCATAACTTATAGATATATCAAAAGTGTCTTTGATGTAAGAGCAAGTTAATTAATATTAATAATAATTTCTTGGAAATATTATATATTTAAAAAATAATAGCATCTTTATTCATAGTTTTCTTTTTTTTTTATTGATGTGCTTGATTGGTTGTATGTTTATTAGTAAAGAATATATATATATATATATTATGCGTTAAGAGCAAGAGATAAGATATGCTTCTCTTCATCATTGAGTTGGTGTTGGCATATTTCCACAAAATGATTAACATTGTGTGTACTGCAGTTACGGAAGAAGTCAGTCAAGTACTCCTAAGATATATATATATATTTTTGAAAAAAAAAAATTCAATTCAATTCAGGTTAGTTTAATAAGTAAATACTAATATCTGATATATAATCACCTTCATGTCTGTCTTGTAAATAGGATCATCCTTTAATCCAGGGTCATTCTCTTCATCGTCTTCATCGTCGGGGATATTAGCCAAGATGTCTAAAATATTTCACGCGTGTACAGAAAAGAAAATTAAACAGTTTAGCCAAGTATCCTTTTTTTTCATTTGGTTTGTTTTGGTGACCAATATACATTTATATGTATGTATGTATGTATGTATGTAGCATGTAATTTACCTGACAAGAAACTGAATTCTTGGCGAGAAGAAAAGGTTGGGTCATCATCCAAATCTTCCCAGTCTTCACCCTAATATTTCACAAGTTATTAAGAATATTAGTCATTTTCCATCTTATGAATACAAGTGTGTATTTGTGGTTATGTACCTCGTCTCCGACGGACTCTGCGTCTTCTTGGGGAGCTTGATCATTGGGCATGGTGTTGCCTAGGTCAGCCACGAGAAGTTTGATAATCTTGGTGTACAAAGGAATGGCTGTGTATTGATCAGGATCTGTAAAATTATAAGAAATAAATAAAAGACATCAATTATTTGGTTTTTTTTTGTTAGATTAAAATTATTATATACAAATATATAAAACCAGTACAAAGACAATATTCTACTTACTTCTTTTTGCTCTTGAACGAGTGACAATTCCGCCTATCAACCAACCAGCCAACCAGTAATTAAACCACCACCATAACAACATACACATAAAAGCAAGAAATAAATAAGCCACAAGTAGAAATTTATATATAACATGTATTTGTAATAGATAGATAATATCAATAACTTACCATCAGGGTTAACGACAATTTCTCCCTTGACAGTCATAGACTGCAATCTAGGATCATTTACCAGCAACAACTTGGACAAGGCAATATCACTTTTTTTTTGGAACACATAGATACAAATACACAAGTAAACGGGATTTAGCGATGTGATGTAACAGGGTATATATATATATATATACTGTTTTTCTTTAAAAAATAATAAAAATATTATTTACCTGACTTTAAGAGAATAATACCCAGAGAAACTATCGTGGTTATCGCACCATGTGTTCATCAAGATCTCCAAACCACTCTTGTTGTTAATGTTTGTGCTAGTCAAGAACTGCAATACAGTGTCTTGCTGGTTGATGATCAAGTGAGCAAAGACCAACACAAGGGACTACAATATACATACATACATTCAATATATACATTTAAAATTAGATTCTATTCTATTCTATTCTTTTGTTTTGTTTTGTTTTGTTTTCTTATTCATATCATTTTTTACCTGAATAAACGGTTGGTAGCTAGTAGTCTCGAGACGAACCAAGACAGCATTCAATAGATCTGGCAAGACAGAAGCAATATTGCTACCAGCCTTTTTATATATTATTATTAGATTGTCTTTGCTTAGTACATCTCATTCAAACAAATGCTAAAATACAATGCAATGCAATTATATGTAACATAATCTTACCTTTTGGATCAAGGTTACAATCAAGTCACCAACAAACAAAGCTTCAGACTCGCTGTTTGCAGGATCAAGCAATTTAGCTACGAAATGAATAACATAATCAAGTCCAGACTTTCCGGCAGGATCACGCCTACAATCATACACAACATAGACGTTAATTTATTTATTTAAAAAAAAACATACTAATAAAAAGATAAGTATGAATTATAGGTGTTCTTACCATTGAATAATGTGTTCACAATCCTTGATCATAAATCTTCTCAAGCATTCTTGAGCACTCTATAGTTCCATCCCACAATGTGAATATAAATAAATATTTCTGTCGAGTAATTGTCTTGTTTTCTCTTTCATTTATCTAAAGCAAGTATATATTACCTGGAGGAGATCGTTGTCAGGAACATTCCAAGCCAACTGCATCAAGCAAGGGAACATTTGCTCCGAGAATTCGTTGGGAAGAGGCGATGGTCCATATGTAATCATGGCTGTCAACAGATCCACAGCAGACTACATGAAATTTGTATGTATTTATCAGTGATGATTCCACTCCATCTCACAATTCCAATGTGCTCCCACAAACACACATGATCAGTGTGTTTGAAAATTAAATTAAATGACAATATTTACCGAGTACACAGTTGGGTCAGTTCCGGTAGCAGTAAAGACTTGGTTGAGGAATGGTAAGGTACGAGCATAAAGAGCAGGTGCATAGTGAGGGTTCTTTGCAAATTCCTCAAAAACATCCAAGATGTAGCTTGTAATAATAGAGTCCGAAGGGAATCTCTTCCAGATATCAAGAACAGCTGGAGTAAGGATGTGTTCATACTTGGCAGCAACTTCACCATTGATCTATATATATATAAATTATATATAAACACACGGAAATGATAATAATGTTTAATTTTCTTTAACATATCCAAGATACATTAATGTTGTCTAATTTACATTATATTAACGTATGTACATAAATAACTTACTCTGACAGCAGAGCCCAAGGTATCCATCAATAACATCAAGGATTCTTCAGTGGCAGAAGGCAAGAGTTGGCAAGCTCCCTCCATAATGTTAACCTGGTAAGGTGTGACATACTGAGCATCCAAGTACTTGCAGTAGCTACACATACACAAATAGGATTGTTAACTTTCTATAGTCAATCAAATAATAATATTTCTTTCATTTATAGTTAAACAACTAAAATTTATATAGAGAAATAAACTCTCGCCTTACTTGTGAAGAGCACGAAGAGCAGAAATCTTGACTGGAATACCACTTGCAGGTGCCTGGAGAGCATGTACAGCCACGGGAACATATTGAGCAGCCATTTCAGCAGGAAGAATCTTTGCAAATTCAGAAGCAAAAACAAAAGCACGGCCCTGTAAGAATGGATACTCTACAAGATGAAGAAGAAATGGTATATAAATATAAAGATATTTGTGTGTATGCATATTGATTGATTGATTAATTTTTTGTTTTGTTTTTGTTTTTGGTATTACTTACCGGCTGCCTTCATATCTTCAAGGACAACATGGTCGAAAAGACTCTTGAGATCAAATTGGATCTTTTGAGACTCATCCTCAAGAGATTCCATCAACTCCTCTGACAATCTTCCAATAGCCAACAAACATGCTTCCTGAACCTTCCACCTTTATATCCATACACACACACACACATATATATATATATATATTGTCAGTAAATTTAATACCAATACTGCTCTTAACTTACCATTCCTCATTTCCGGCTGCACGAGCTTCGTTGGATTCTCCAATGTGACGCTGGAGTGCAACACCAAGAGCATTGAAAAATGGAGCTGGGTAGGCCTCTTGCAATGTCTAATTTCCAATAGATCAATAAACCAACCAACCGACCCTATTCTTTTTTTTTCTTTTTTGTTTCTTACCAATAAAACGTCAATTGCAGCCACACGTGCGTTGAAAGTAAATGTGCCGTCTTCTTCATCAGCCACAAACTGGTTGGCATCCGACAACCAGGTCTCGGCCTGCTCTTGAGTGATCTGCATGTAAATGATGTACACATACAGCAATTGCTCAAAGAACGAGGTGTGGGTTCCTTCGGGAGTCAGGAACAAATGGCGGACGGTTTTCTTGGTGCAGGCGGCAGCAACAAAATCAAACAACACATAGAGCAAGCTCTGGAAACCGATCTCATTACCATCCGAGTCCTGGAAAGATTCGGCACCGTCGTCTCCGGTCTCGCTAACAAACTCTGCTACATATCGCTCACGCAAGTTGAACAGATCCATCCAGATTGGTTCGAACAAGAGAGGAAGAGAGGTGCTGATATACTTTGGGAATTCACCACTGATTGTACAAATACACTATATATATATATATATATATATATTTGGTGAATCATTTAAATCTCTCTCCCTCTCTCTCTCTCTTATATATATATATATATCGCTTCTTGCCTTACCTTTACAACTTCCATCTTTAGGCCATACTCTTCGGTAGCCTTTTCAGGATTTCCCTGAACATGATGGTTGAGAATCACACTAAATGCCTGCATCCACTGGGGTATGATAGGAGCAATAAATTGATCTGCCAATGCGGGATTCTCTTCACGCAATGTTGACAACATTTGTACACAGCTGCTAAAGATATCGACGGCTCTTCCTCGAGTACGGAACGAATAGACCTTTTGTATATATAAATATGTGTGTATATGTGTGTGTATTTAAATATACATACAAGTAAAATAATAATAATAACAGGATTTAGTATCTATTATTTCATACACACAAAATTGTATATATACATATATTAAAAGAAAAATAACTTACGGTGTCGCGGGTTAAGATCGAATAAAGCTCGGGGATCAATACAGGACCAATTTGAGGCAATTGTTGGATACTGATATCTTTCTTGACCATCTCCAACAATACTCGCATGGCACCGTGAACACTATCTGCGCTGTTTGATTTCAAGTAGCTCATCAGAATGTCGAGTAGATGAGGCCAGTCTTCAGGGAAATCATCATGAGCAATCTTTGATACAACATAGGCGCACACCACACGAATCTTGGATTCACTGTCAGCAAGACCTGTTACGATAATCTCACGAACAGCCTTTTTGCTCTTTTATATATATATATATATATATATTAATGTAAATCGAAATTAAAATTAATTGATTAATTAATTAACCAATCAATAGAAAAAAGAAAAGAAAAAGTTTGTTAATGAGGTGTGATTGTGAATATAAAGTTACACATTTAAATTCATGCTTGTAATTATATTAAATAACACTTTACTTCCTGAGGTGGTTCGAACCCATTTGGAGAGAGATCATCTTTAGGAGTCCAGCGTGTTGTTACATAGGTCTTGAGAGAAAGCGCAGCCAAGTAATTATCATTCTGACAAAGTTAAGGATTCTAACATTGACAGGATTCATGATTCTTATTACTTAAATGTATATATTTTGTATATAAAATATAATATATATAAAAAAAAGGATATTTGTCTTTGAGGTACGGGAAAATCGCGCGAGACAGTAAGACGAGCAAGACTGACAGGGTATTCTGTCAAACAAAGTATTGAATTGTAACAATTTGTAAATGAGAATCACTGTAATTCTTTTGATTTTGATTTATTGTTTCGCTTTCTCTCTCTCTTTCTTGTTGTTGAAGATTACCAGGTGCATTTCCAAGTTCTTTGAGACGAGCTTCAGCAGCAGAGCGGATTCCACCGTCAGGATCTGCTACTTTAAGCAAGGTTTCATACACTGCTTGATCCATATTTATTTATGTATTTATATAAACAATTATATAATTATCTATGTATTTTTCTTATATATATTTTTATATATATATAAATTATCTGACTATACAATATGTTTTTATATATTGTATATAGTTATCAAATAACCACCCTTTTATATATATATATATATATATATATTTATAAAGAGAAAGAAGGAAGAGAGGAGGAGAATAAAAAAAAATATGTATATTGGTATTGTTATTTATTATTATGATAATGAAAATGAATGTCACTTTCTAACAACAGACGCGGGCTGCGTGTACAAACAGATACAGATACAGACACAGACATAAACACAGGTAAAGGGCAAAGGGAAAACACAGGTACAATTTCATAATAGTACAAAAGACTCTATAGTTTATATTTATATTTTTATATATATTGAATAAAACTATAGCTAACAATCGCTATACTTCTAAATAGACTTCTTTAACATTATACTTCTTTAGCCCTAGACTTTTTTGAATGTGAGACTCAATTAATTATCATTCTTTACCTTTCTTTATTATTTTATTCTATTACATATAGCCAAAAATATAAAGACAGAAAGAAGGTTTGGTACTCATAAATACTACATTTTGGGAAGTGAATAAGAATTTAGTAGGCATATAAGAAACACACATACATACAGACATAAGAAAAATAAATAAAGCAAAATAGGTTAGGAACTAAAAGAGAGAAATACAAAAAAAAAAGAAAAGAAAAATAAAACTTCTTCTTCTTCCTCTTCTTCTACTTTCAAAAAAAAAACATAAATACATATAAATGGTATGGTAACCAAACACATATTCAACAAATATGAATAGACAATTAGTTATATCATATAATATCATATAGTCAAAAGGAACTTCTTCATTGGGTAAACGCCACACCAAGTCTCACACTCTGTGCCGTCGTTGTGGTAAAAGATCTTTCCACAACCAAAAAAAAACCTGTGCTCAGTGTGGTTATCCTTCGGCAAAGATTAGATCTTGTGAGTCTTTTCTTTTCTTTTCTTTTATTCTTGGTTTGGTTTGCATCATCACCATCTCAACTCATCTTCAAATAAAACAAAAACGAATAATTGCTAGTCAACTGGTCTGGAAAGGGTCAGCGAAGAAAGACTACTGGTACTGGTCGTATGAGATACTTGAAGGAAATCCGCCGTCGCTTCAAAAATGGTTTCCGTGAAGGTACGTGTCAAATATTATATAATGTTTTTTTTTTTTTTTAAAAGAGAAATTAAAGTGTTTATTTTGAAACACTGGTTTTCTTTACTATTATGAGAGAGAGAGAGAGAGAGAGAGAGAAACAAAGCCTAGTGTAGTGTGAATGATAGAATGATTGATTGATTGATTAATGAAACTAATGTTATTATTATTATTGGTTATGACATGCACATATAAATATATAAAAAGGTACTACAAAGGCATCTAAGCCGGCAAAACCTTAAACCAGTATAATACAGGTCCAAGTAATGGAGCCACTTTATGGAAATATTGCCGATAAAGAAAGACTTGAATCTCTCTTCCTTTACATATATCCAATAAACTACGGCAAATCAATAGTCTAGTATATTAATAATAGTTGTGATTATAAAGGATCTAGATAATTAAGCGAGATAATGAAGCGGTAAAGGTTAAATAAAATATCTATTTTGTTATTTTTGTTCTGTTCTGTAGTTATATTATATGATGTTATATATATAATTATATTTATATAATTTTGTCGTTGTTGCTTTTAAAGAATACCAGAATCTTTGAGTGCATTTTGGAGAATGGTCTCCTTTATTGCAGCAAACACCAATCGAATCTAATGAAATTCAATTGAATTAATAATTTAAAGAAATAAGAAAGAGAAAGAAAAGGTTTGGTTGGCTTACATTTGAAGTATCTGTTGCCTGGGTCAAACTATAGAAACAATCGACAGTTAAAGAAGTGTAAAATAAAATAAAATAAAATAAAATAAAATCAATCCAATCCAATTCAATCCAATTACTATTGTTGTTAAAAAAGATAAGCTACTAAAAAAGAAAGGCCTTACTGTGGGTATACGTTGAGATTTGCCCGATTCAATTGATCAAATTTCCAGAGGATAAACTTTGCTGCCTTTTTTGGATCCGGACCACCCTCATAATCAGGAAAGTAGTTTTCCAGAGGAGACTTTGGTAGCTTTGCTTCAAACACATCAATCTTGTTCAAGAACAAGACTATTGAGGTTCGTAAGAACCATCGACTGTTCACTACCGAATCAAATAGTACCAGACTCTCGACCATTCGATTCTATATACATATTATGTAGATTAAATCATTTGGTCCTTTCTATATATAAATAGATAGATAGATAGATAGATATTACCTGACTGGCTTCTTCTAATAAAACTTGGTCATATTCACTCAAGGCCACACAGAAAATTATAAGCGTAACACCTTCAAAGCAGTGGATCCATTTTTTACGCTCGGATCTTTGCCCACCCACATCAAACATGTGGATACTAACTTTACCCATCGTAAATCTGGTTTCGGTGATGCCGGTAGTTTTGATTCGTGTATAGAGTACATCTTGTGTATTGGGTATGTAGTCTGGTCCTCCTATCCGATCAATTTCATCAAAGAAGCTATAAGCAAATAAATAATTAAATAATTAAATATATTTTATTATTAATGAACAAGTTAAAGAACGTGTATTTTTTTTTTTTTTTTAAAAAAAAAAAAACTTACTAAGGTGCAGCATCCATCAAATAAAACCGATTGCCCTTTTCATCTAACATCTTATGTACAGATGGATCTGCCCAAAGACGGTTAATTGAAGTTGCTAGCTCGCCTTCCATGGCTTGGTGATAATCTGTCAAAGGATATTCGATTGCTCTCTGAGCATAGTACTATAACATACACAAAGATATTAGTTAATTGAAATTTAAAGTAACTAAAGAAATATATATATATATATATATATATATATACTTCGTTGTCTGGGTCTTGATAGGTGTATCCGTATTTTGCCATGGAGTTAACAACGGCGTGAATAGATTCGATAACATTCTTAAAGACTGCTGGGCGCCAGGCCATTAATTCCTCAGTAGTAAAGCCATTCTGATGTATGATTTTCATTTGTTTGACAATCGTTGACTTGCCAGATTCTCCACTGCCTAATATCATTTTTTTTTACATATAATCAATATGTATGGACATGTGTATTGTTCTAATGATAAAATTGTATTGCTTATTTTACCAAGCAGTAGGATCTTGCATTCTTGCTTTGATCTTCGACTGTCTTGTTCTAGTGTTTTGTCGATACGATGGCTGACTTCTCGATGGTAACGAGACTCTGAAGACATACATATTCCCATAATTATATAAATATATATAAAATAAAAATAAAAGAAGTAAAAGAGGAAGAAGAATATGGTGTATTGTTTGTAACACTTTTTTTTTGTTGTTGTTGTTGTTGTTATGCAAATTAGAAACATTTGCATTTATTTTATTTTATTTGATCTCTTTCGTTATTTTTGTGATCATTTTTAGCCCTCGCATTCACCAGAAACCTGACAAATAAAAAGATCCTTTTTTTCTAAAATAAGAAAAGATAAGATAGTATCGGTCAATTATTTGGATTCTTTTAACTTACAACAAAACCCTCGATGCTTTATTTTATATTTTTAGGATAGGAACGGATATTTAAAATCCATCTATTTGTATCTCTCTCTGTGTTGTCGGGGGAATTGTGATTTGCACACGCTTTGTATATTTATAATTGCGTGCTTTTTTTTTAGACAAAAAAATAAAGTAATAATTTCTTATCAGTCATTTTAACATATACATATATATGCACATGTTATGCATACATGACATGGATCTTAAACAAAGAAGATAAAGTAGATACTACGGACAATAATGGAAAGAAAAAATATAGAGGTTTCATTTGGAATCACAGATTTCAAGAAAGAAAAACAGCAACATAAAAATATAGATAAATGATTTAAAGGTTGTGGGCACTGATGAAGAACCACTTGTCGATGGAAGCATCAATGGGGGCAGGAGGCAAGACATTCTCCTATTGATATTTAAAAAGAAAGAAAGAAAGAAAGAAAGATTATAAGGTTATGTAAACATAGAATATGAGATGAGATCCGCCATCTTTTTTTTTTATATATTGTGTGTTGACTTACAGCAGGGACAGAGGTGACGACCTCATCATCAGTAGAGAGCTTGTAAGGAGAGTCCTCAACAGAAACGTTGGAGCTAAAGAAAGCGGCGTTTATTAAACATTGGCTTATAAAAAGAAAACAATTAAGAGACTTACGTGTTGATATCCTTCTTGTCGAAAGCACCAGAGATCAAACCCTTCCAGGCCTCGTGGGTCTCGTGGATGATATCAGTGGCGTATTTCTATTTTAACAGAACCATGACAAAAGAAAGAAAGAATTCACCCCTGAATATATTAGTTTCTAAGAAAATAAAGTCTTTATGTCATCTAGACTTGCCTTGTTCTTGGCCTCACCGCTGAAGGCAAAGACGTTCTCGGGCTTGCCATCGGGGATCTTGTAGATGCGGAACCATTCGTTGGTAGCACGGACCAAACCAGGCAAGTGCTTCTCAACATCCTCAATGTCTATAAACATGTGTTGTAATCAAAAAGAATAAAATAAAGGATCAGTATACCTTGCACATACACACGCATTAACAAAGAAAGAAAAAAACTTACCGTTGAGCTTGGGGGCAAGGGGATCGTTGACATCGATGGCAAGGACCTTCCAGTCAGTCTCACCCTCGTCCAAAAGAGCCATGACACCGAGGACCTTGACCTGCTTGATCTGACCAACCTGAGCAACCTGCTCACCAATCTCGATAACATCAATGGGATCGTTGTCACCACGGGCCTTGGTCTCAGGGTGCTGGTGGTTGGGATCTTCCCAAGTCTGGATTATAATGAATTTATTTAGTTCCATCATTTCATTTCATTTTATTTCATTTCACTTTTCTATTCTTACCTGGGGGAAGGCACCGTAGTTCCAGATATAACCCTTGTGGGGGAAGCAGTTGCGGACAAATCTAAGCTTTCCCTTCTTGGTGTCCTGGACAATGGGGTTGAAGGCCTCTTCCTTGCAGATCTACATACAGTAAGAAGTATAATTAGTATTAGTATTAGTATTAATCATTGAATTTAATGATTAATTAATCACAATTAATCAATTTATATTTACCTCCAACTTGGCGTTGGACCAACGGGGAATCTCAACAACCATGTTCAAGATAGTCTTCTCGGCGTTGGCGAAAAGAGGGATATCATGGAAGGGAGAGACGGGGACACCGTTCTTCTCTGATTAGATTCAATAAACAAGAGTTAGGGTATTATTATAATTTAAAGAAGTAATATAAATATAAATATTAATCTTAATCTTAATGATTCCTTACCAAAGAAGAGACGGAACTCAAGAGTGTTAAGGGCACCAACCTGACGAGCTTTGTATTCAGCCATCCTTTAAGCTTCTTTTTAAAAAAAAAAAAAATATGCAAAAGAAGAACAAGAAAAAAATTATACAAAATGTACCTTTTTGAATTGCTTCTCTTTAACTTATTTATTTTGGGGTTTATGGATTTGATGACGCGATTTGTGCCTGTCAAGCCATCATCTCCGCTCACTTCTTTTCCTTCTTTTCGCTTCGTATATATGTATATTATAAAAAGTATTATATTGCATGTAGATTGTGCCAATTTATTGAGATTATTGAATTTTGTTGAATATTTGGGAGATTTTCACAATTGTCCACAGATTGATTCCATTTGTTTTTTTTTTTTTTGCGTGATTATCAACATCACCCACAAAAACACTATCAGCAACACAAAATGAATTGATTATATAAAAAAAAAATTATATATTTATAAGATGGTGAATTTATTTTCATTTTTATTGGTCAATTAAAAAAAAAAAAATATGTATATAATTATTATATGTCAGAGAACAACCTATAGTCTGGCGCCACGGTAAAAAGCCGCCAGTCCTCAAACGGTCTCCAATTGATATTGCAAGCGCTACTGAGTAGCATTGCACGCAAGAGCTATTATTTCAGCCAATGCGTACATATTTTGCGAATGAACTTGCTTAAAATTATATCTGTTTTTTTATTATTGATTTTAATAAAAAACAGTCACTTGTATAAACTTATATTATTAAAAAAAATAGAATAAAAAAAAATTAACACTGGTAAGAATAATAATAATAATAATAATAATAATAATATAATAATAAAATAAACAAGAAAAAAAAATTGCTTTTTTATTTTTTTTTAAATAAAAAAAAAAGTTCTTTTTTTTAAAAAATATTTTATTATTATTATTATTGTTATTATTATTACCAATGTTTGTTTTGTTTGGTTTTTTTTTTCTTTTTTAAAATACAAGTTAAAAAGGATTTATGCTTTCTGTTCAATTTTTTTGACGTGAATTTATATTTATTTATCGGTAGGTCAGTCACACAGCAGTCATAAATGTGACTTTATCGGAGGTTTAAATTAATTCTTACCATTTATTCTTTTACTTGGTTGGTTGATTAGCTACTAGATCCATTAGATCCACCACAATAATTTCTTTTTAGTCTTTCTATCTCTATCTATCTCTATAAACTTGATGTTATACCATTTTTATTTTAAAGAAAAATAAAGGAATATATTTGTGTGTATTTTGGTCGACTACCATAATCAGTTTGTACAAACGAACCATGCAGGCCTATAACATGCTTTATTTCTTTCGTTCACTTTCATTCACATGAAATCTGTAACACTTTTAACAAGAATGAATAGAAAAGTAAAAGGCAAAGAAGGTTTTTGTTATCTTTAAAATTACTCAAAGAAAATGATAATATAATGATTTCAGGTACCAAAAGAATATTGATTCGATATTCAGGAACCATTAGCATAATTCTTTCTAGGGTAAATGTAGATACATTGACGACAACAAGTCTGCAAAAAGAAATCTAAGCAATGGATAAGAGTATACCCACAAAATATCTATAGTCATACAAAAAAGACGACGATCTTTATATGCACACAAGTGGTAGGCAGATGGATTTGTTCCGAATAAAGAATAACTTTCTTTTTTTTTTGTTCAGTCTGTCCACACCAAAGGGAATAATTTTTCAAGCAAAAGAAAAAAAAAAGATTCAAAATAAGTTTAGCCAATCAATCTAATTTACAGCTGTCTGCCCCCCTTTTTTTAAAAAAAAGAAAGAATTGTTCAACATTAACCAATAGGATTAATTTCCAAAAAGAAAGAAAAGAACAAAAAATGTATCTTGCTTACCGTTAATGGATTTTGATTTTGTGGGGTTGTGAAATGAACTTTTATTGGTGCTGGGTAATGTGTAAAATTGTATACAAATCTGCTGTGTAATCATCAATGATGCAAAAACAAAGAAAAAAAAAAGAAAACTGGAGAAGCACTATAAAGTATTATAAATATTTTTGTTTTAATGGATAAATGATCATGAAGATTAGACTTGATGAATATTGTTTTGTACACCAATATACATATATTTGTATATTTGTATAGTACCATTGGCCATTCACTTTAACAATATGCTCTTGTCAATATTCTCTCTCTTGTAAAAGAATTCATATAAATCCAATTCTAACAAAGATCTTTAAATTAGCTCTATAATATATGTGTGGAAGAGACCAGCCAGCCATCAGGGAAATAATCTCATTGTTCACTTTTAATACTATAAAAAGTATGATTCATTACATAGAATATTATTACCTTTAATGTATTTCTATTTCTTTTTTAAAAGCGGGGTAAATATGCCTGTTTAACTTGAGTGGTTCTTTCCAAAAAGAGCGGTAATCTAAATGGCGGAAGAATCCGTCTCGTCAAAAGAATACATGTCCTCCCCCCTTCTTTTCTGTCTCTCTTTTGTGTATGGCTTAGTATCCTAATATATTCTGTACATTTCAATGATAATAGCAGTGGTACCAGTACCAGTATCAACATTAACAATTAGTATCTATAGCAACAAATCTTCATTCTCCGGGAAAACTAATTAAATAATTGATAGTTACTGTAAATAACATTACCTTATTGACTATTAGGTATCTCTTCTAACTTATACATACATTACTATCGATGCATGAATACCTGAAAGAAGAATCAATTAAAAATATTATGATCACTTTACTGTCCCATTAATTTGGCTTATATACCTGTTGCCCTGAATAAGTCTGGAATACTAGTTTTTATCAAGAAACACAAGGTAAGAGATTATTGTTGATTATGTAAGAAATGAAATGAAATCAATCAATCAATAAAAATGATTAACAAATGCCAGACTTGTTTTATGGGTATAAAAATATTCTCAATATTTCTGTATATACCCTTTAATTTTTTGTTTTCTTGTGTTGAGTATCAATATCAATAAGTATCAGTATCAATTTTTTTATTTTATTTTAAAATAATAATAATTATACAACATATATAATTTGGCTGTATAAATTTTCCCTTTTTTAAAAAATATAAAAAATAATATAATATAAAATAAAGGGCAAGGAAGAAGTATATCCATTACTCCACACATATACATTAGCGTGTTCTTCCGCATCTTTCCCCGGATAGGCATGTGAATATGATCAAAGACGCATGTGATGTACCTTCAACCTTCTAAAGGACTATTTTTTTTTCTTAGTCCAATTAGAAGATAGTAAGAAATATATAGTAAAAAAAAAAAAAAAGGTTGACACGGTGGAAGGAGTCACATAAAATATATATATGTAGTATGTATATAAAAGGGTTAAAGAGGAATCCCACGATTTTCTTTTTTCTTTTGTCTTTTTCTTTTAAAGTATAACAAGGTTGCTTATAAAGACAGATTAACACAAATCTTCCTCTCTTTCTTCTTCTTCTTCTTTCTGTTTCAAATCTCACTCTAAAGCAGTAAACAAGCCAACGCATCATGTCTTCTCTTTTGAAATCCATTGTTCCCGGTGTTGCCGTCCTTGCCCCTGTTGATGCTGCTCAGGCCTCAATCCTGTCAAAGGAAGCTCTTGTGTTCATCTCAACCCTCCAGCGCACATTCAACCCTATCCGCAAGACCTTGTTGCAGAACCGTGTCTACCGTCAGCAGGCCCTTGATCGTGGTGTCCTTCCCGATTTCTTGCCCGAGACCGCATACATCCGCAATGACTCCAACTGGCGCGCTGCTGCCCCTGCCCCTGGTCTCCAGGATCGTCGTGTCGAGATCACTGGTCCCGTTGATCGCAAGATGGTCATCAATGCCCTCAACTCGGGTGCCTCCACATTCATGGCTGATTTCGAAGGTAATAAACTCAAACTTATTCATATACATGCATAATGAGAGAGAGAGAGAGAAATAGAAATAATTCACACGGAGTTGGAGAGATCTAGTCTTTTATTTTTTATGTATAAAGCAAAGGGGATGTGTAACAAGAAGATGAGCAAATTGTTGTTCTTGCATATAGATTTGTGGATCTAGTGCTAAATTATTATTTTTTTGCTTATTGAAAAATCAAAAAAAAAAACATAGATTCAAGTGCTCCTACCTGGGATGTCTTGATCTCTGGTCAGGTCAACATGCGTGATGCTATTCGCGAGACCATCTCTTTCACCAACCCTAATGGAAAGAAGTACGAGTTGCGCAAGGATGGCAAGCTCTCTACTCTTATTGTCAGGTAAGAAGAAGAACAGTTACATAACTAGATATATATCCACACACACATTTTGTACATCAATCCCAGCCCAGCCTAGTTCACCCACTTCTTTGGATTTTATTTTTGTGTTGTGTGTCTGAGACTCAATATTTCTTTACAAATGTTATATGCATACGTACATGTACATTATCTAATTTTGATTTCTTTACATATACTATATACAGACCCAGAGGTTGGCACATGGTTGAGAAGCACGTCTTGGTTGACGGTGAGCCCATGTCTGCTTCTCTGTTCGATTTCGGTCTCTACTTCTTCCACAACGCCAAGGAATTGATCAAGCGTGGCAAGGGACCTTACTTCTACTTGCCCAAGATGGAGTCCCACTTGGAGGCCAGACTCTGGAACGATGTGTTCAACATCTCCCAGGATGCCATCAACATCCCCCGCGGCACTATCCGTGGTACTGTTCTGATCGAGACCATCTTGGCCGCCTACGAGATGGACGAGATCATCTACGAGCTCCGTGAGCACTCCTCTGGCCTCAACTGCGGTCGTTGGGATTACATCTTCAGCTTCATCAAGAAGTTCCGCCAGCACCCCCAGTTTGTCCTTCCCGAGCGTTCCTCGGTCACCATGACCGTGCCCTTCATGTCGGCCTATGTCAGTCTGTTGATCCAGACCTGCCACAAGCGCGGTGTCCATGCCATGGGAGGTATGGCTGCCCAGATCCCAATCAAGAACGACCCCAAGGCCAACGAGGTCGCCATGGCCAAGGTCCGTGCAGACAAATTGCGCGAGGTTACTGCCGGTCACGACGGTACCTGGGTCGCCCACCCCGATCTGGTCAAGATCGCATTCGAGGTCTTTAACGAGCACATGCCCCAGCCCAACCAGCTCCATGTCCGCCGCGAGGACGTCGTGGTCAAGAACACCGATCTGTTGGACATCAACTTCAAGGGCGGTGTCTCTGACAAGGGTATCCGCGACAACATCCAGATCGGTTTGGCCTACATGGAGTCCTGGTTGCGTGGTGTTGGCTGCGTGCCCATCCACAACCTGATGGAGGATGCCGCTACTGCCGAGATCTCGCGCTCCCAGCTCTGGCAGTGGGCCCGTCACAACGCCGTCACCACCGAGGGTAAGACTGTCACTGGTGCCTACATGCTCCAGATCCTCGACGAAGAAACCGAGAAGATCCGCCAGCAGTTGGGCGACAAGTACGCTTCCTCCAAGTATGAGGCTGCCAAGAAGGCATTTGCTACCAACGTCACTGGCGAGCAGTACGATGACTTCTTGACCACCCTTCTTTACGATGACATTGTCTCGGTCGGTTCCAAGTCTCGCTTGTAAAAAAAAAAATTCATTCGCCTGTATATCTTTTCTTCCTCATCTTTTTTTTTTTATTTTTTTTTTAAAAAAAAAGAATTAAATTTTTAACTTTACCCCTCCCTCCAAACACACACTTTCCTACCCCTAAATTTCTTCCTTCTTCTTTTCGATCCCTCGATATATTTCTTTATATTATTCTCTCTCTTTTTTACCAACCTTTGCTACCTACCACCATCAAAGCGGAAAAAACCCAAACCAACTACCTGTACGAAATGAATAAATGAAAAACAAATCTTTGTTTTTGTGTCTAATAATCAACCATGAATTCCTTCCAGCCATGTTTCATTTTACAAATACACATAATATGTTTTATATCAAAGGTTATTAATTTACCCCTTCCTATCATTGTTACAATAAGCAAGAAACAAATAGTACAAGGTGGCAGTGACCCAGATCTATATACCCGTTTTTGTCTTGTAAAGTACAATATGTTTCCTTTTTTTTTGGTTGTTTGTTTGAAAGAAGCATATCTATTTGATCCAAAACGAGATCTTTGTTACCTAAAATTTTATATCCTTGTTTCCTATATATATATTGTACTTGAAACATTATAAACTTGATCCAATACTGTCAATTATGAGAGTACAAAATAATAATAACAATAAATATCATCATCATCATAGTAGTCATTAGAACAAATATCCATTGTTAGATCCAAGTAATACAGCTAAAAATTGGATCAATTCAAGCAGGTCATTATTATTTATTTATTTATTTATTTATTTATATTTTGTTAATAATAAGGAGTATTATGTAGATTGGTCTAAAATATTATGTAATATAACAAAACTAAGATTAAACAGCTGTAGTAGCACCAAAGATCACACTTGCTGTGTAATGTATAGTTTAGTATGATATGCTGTGCTTTGGTGTGGTGTAATGTAGGACCTATCTTTTTCTTTCTCTTGTGTACAAGTAAAGAGAGATGCCACTACAGACTTCAAGATATTATATAGTAATAGTAACTTCACATGATATTATAGGATATGAGTACGTAATACATTTTATGTAGAGAATTTTTTTTTTTTGATTTCATAATTATCCTTATTTGATTTTGAGCTATAGAAATAGAAGAAATCACAACAACAACAGCAGCAGCAACAGCAGCAACAGCAACAACAGCAACAACAAAGAAATATGTATATTTCTTGATTTTGTAACACTAATTCTGGAATTTCATTTATTTAAATACTATTTCCTCAAGAACCAAATTCATAAGAATATAACGCACAGATACACTTTCCTTTCTTACTGTTATTTAATAGATTCTGTAAGCCTAATAGACTGGATCCATTTGGTTATAACTAACCAACCAACCAACCAATCAATTAATTAACTTGCAAGATAAATTGCAACTAAAACAGCAGCTACAGCTACAGAAATAATGAAAGTATTAATAAAATATTCAGGTTCAATATGGTCAATGTAATATATGTGTCTGTTTTTAATTTAATTGCTTTAATTGCTTTTCTTTTTCTTCTTAGGGTTAATTCTCAAATATTTCTTTTTTTTTATTATCTCTTCTTTACTAAACAAACTAAACAAGCAAAGAACAAAAAAAAAGACCTTTACTTTAATTCTCATAAGCTAATGACCATCAACCCTTCCACCACAGCAGCGACAACAACATCTCATCATGCCGTTGAAGTTACTGGCAAGAGTAAAAGTATAAATGAATAAATTTAAATTAAAGAGAGAGAGAGGGAGAAAGAGAAGAACTTGAAGAAATCATTAATAGTTGATACTAATCTAAAGAATCATTATTTGCTTGTCTGTCAAAAAAATATAATATTTTTTCTTCTTCTTTACATTCACTCTTGTATACAATCTTGTCATGATTAACACGCACAAATTTGCACATTATGCATTACGAATTACGAATTACGAATTATGCATTATGCATTACAAACCACAAAACTATACACTCAAGAAGATACTTTTTCAAGAAAAAAGAACTTTTCTATAGAGGAAGATGAGCAGATTTGCCGTTCTTACCTTCTTGTTGCCTTTGACGGAGTCAACATCAATAAGCAAAAAGGCGAGACCTTGTGGTCGAGAGTAAAACAACACTACAGGAAATTCGCCCCCGAAGATTCTGTGGAGCGCAATGCTCGTTCCTTACCTACTCGTTGGCAAGTTATAAACACAGCAGTGAGCAAATATGCCAAAATTCTGTATCGAGTAGAAAAATCAAATGCAACAAATGACACTAGTGATGATGAAAATGTAAGTTATTCATAACTAGATTAATATTTCTCAAAAATAATATATATATATATATGTGTGTGTGTGTGTGTGCATGCATGCATGCATGCATGTGTGTATTTATGCATAAACCATTTCTTCAGGGCAATTAAACACATAATATATATATATATATGTGTGTAGGATTCAAAGGCAAAAAAGATATACAGAACCGAAAATAAGTCAAACTTTACGCTTAATCACTGCTATCGTATTCTGTCAAAACACCCACAGTGGCTAAATAGCCTGATTGAAAAGCAAACAAAAACCAAAAAGCAAACCCAAGACCAAAGCCATATCGAAACACAACTGCCCAAGCTTAAGAAATCAAAAAAGCCGAGGACTACTTTCACGATTGTTGATGAAGATGCCACTCAAGATTTACAAGAATACCAAGTGCCTTTGGTCCTCCCAGCTGCAGTCAACCCAGCAGATAAAACTCGAAAATCGCTGAAAAGAAAAACCTTTGATGATGCCGATGATGCTGATAATGCAAATGAAAATTCAAGCTCTAGTGCGAGTGCAATTAGTGATAGTGATAATGGTGAAGAGCCGCTTATTCTCAACAAAGACAAAATGATCCACCAAATGGTTGAGATGTCTAATATCATGATGAAAGCCGTGGACTCTATCCAGAAAGGCACATATTTTAGCGAATTGAGCTACCGAGCCTTGGAAAGAAAAACAGCTACCCAGCAGTCGTTGCTCGACCTTAAGATAATGACCACTGATGCAAATTCAATAGTAGATCTTGACAATCGCCAATGGCTCGTGAATTTGCAGAAACAAATTAGAGAAAATAGTATTTAAAAGAAAGAAATGATAGAAATGATAGAAATGATTAGTAAACAATAAAATGGTAAACAAGGGATTTACTACCACAAGAACCAGAACCAAAACCAGAACCTGCACCAATAATACCAATATCAGTCAATTAGTTGTTTGACAGTTATAAATACAATAAATTTATGGAGTGCAAGATGTTATTTTTTATTTTATATATATGTATAGATCTACTATGTACTTGCTGTTGGATGAACCATAAAACTAAAGGAGAAAATACAGTACGATACATATACATGTATATATATAAAAGAAGTGAAAATGAAGAGGATAGTGATACTATAGAAATAAAGAAGTATAGAAAGAAAAACGAGTTGGGGGATGCAAAAAAGGCGAATTGGGAAAGGAATATATATGTGATTTTTATGTAAAATAGACACTAAATGTGAGTGAGGAGTTGATTTTTTTAAAAACAATAAATGGAGAGGGAAAGGAGATTTTCATGTTGTTTAAGTGGTTCGAAGACGGTTCTCGAGTTCATCGCGACGTTGAGCTATTAAAGTAATAGGTTAATTAATTGATTTACTAATCAAAGCCCACAAAATACATGTCACATCAAATCAAATCATATCACATCACATCAAATCACATCACATCATACTATTCTGTGTTCCGTTCCCTTACTCCACCACTACCTCCATATAAACACTATATTCACAAATACTAATATTAATATTTTGGTATACTTACTCTTGAGATCCTTGGCATCATCCATAGTGGCATTGTAAGCCAAGATGTTTGCCTGGTTGAAGGGGTTGTCGGGTGACTTTTGGAAAGCCTTGTACATGATGTCCTTCAACTGACTCAAACGAAGTCCGGGGTTCTCTTGCTTGAAACGAGGGGTCTCTCTTTCCTCGAATGCAGCCAAAGCTGCCTTGAAGCGACGCTCGGGATGCTTCTCGATATCCTTGGACTTCACAGGCGAGTTTCCGTCACCAAGTGTGAGCAAGTCAAGAGCATCATCAATGTTGGTGGCTGCGAACTCGGGAATAACACGTCTAGATTGAGAAGCAGCTTCGACCTTAGCAGACTTCTTGGCAGCGATTTTCTATATACATATAAAATCGTCAAGACAACTCATCAATAATTCGTTCTTTTTTAAAGAAATAAAAAGAAGAAGTAATGCTATGCTATGTTATGCTATGCAAACAAATAAACTCGAAACAAATACGCGTTTTGTTTCATTTTGCTTATTTTCTTTACAAAAAAAAAGAGAAAAAAAGGAAGACTTACATCACCCTTGGGTTTGGCCTTGGGCAAGTTCTTTTCTTCTTCAGCCAAAATACGGGCAGCTTCCTGCTTCTTAGCCAAAGCAGCAGCCTTAATAAATGTAGATGAGGGATAGAAATTGATGGTTAGTGTCATGTCATGACATGTCAAATTAAGTTGAAACAAAAAAATAATATATATAAATTATATACCTTTTTCTCGGCGTCATTGTCCTTTTTACCTTTACCCTTGGCACCCTGGGACCACTCCTCGGCTTCCTTGGCAGCTACTTCGTTGGCCTTTGCCTTGTCCTTTTCGGCCTTTGCAGCACCCTTCTTTGCATTAGCAGCCTCAGCCTTACTGTTGGGAGTCTTCTTAGCCATGACAAATCAAAATAAAATTTAGAAAACAAAAGAAAACAAAAGAAAAGCCGAAAGAGTCAAAGTATTACGCAATCCTTTGGTGTGACAGTTTCTCTGGAATAAAAGGAAAAAAAATATATTTCTGGCTATTACCGTTTTATAATCTCAGTTTGATTTGCTCTCTTTTTTTTTTTTTTTAAATAAAATAAATAAATTAAAAAGTACAAATAAAGAATCTTGAATTCTTATTTTTTTTCATATCTTCGGATCTTTTTTACATATATAATATATATATTTTAAATATAAATATATTCACTTGCTCAAACCTATCTGTCTTCTTTATCGACTATGGATAATCCTAGTCAGTGGACAATTCTATTTAAGCAAGAGGAGGGCTCCCTATGCCATGATCCAGAAGGCTGGGTATGTTTTTATATAAAAAATGCTTGCAAAATAAATCCTTTAAGATAAACTTGGTAGAACCAAAAAAATAAAATAAAAAAAATTCAATGTTCTTATAACTATCAATATTAGGGACCCTTCTCAGACACTCGAGTACCAGACTTTACACCATGTTTCGAAGACAGGTATAAAAAATATATATAATTAATGTCGAAATGGCGTACTTCAGACACACTAACTGGTAGATTAGTGTGGTAATGCTCGCACCTGCGGCATTCCTTATTGTCTTTGGTCTGGTTCGTGTCTGGACTCTATCAAAACGTGAATCTTTACCCGCAGATTATATCCGCAACTGGCTTTATTACACCAAATTGGTGAGTAAGAAGACAAAGAAAAAGAGAATACCAATATGCACTATAGTTAGTTAGTTAAATCAATAATTAAAGACGTAAGAAAGAAAAAGAAAGAAAGAAAGAAAGACAAAGGCTATTCACTGCGCCACAAAAAAAAGACATATTTACTAATTATTCATTCATCTCGTAATGTCTTTTATTAACAATAAATTTATATCTGTATATATAAAAGACTTTCTTGGGAGCCTTGTTTGTTACTCTGGTAACCCAAGCTGTCATCACATTTTCCAACGGCAGCATCCTTAATGATGCCCAAAAATTATCCCAAATCGTACAAATCTTGGTCCTTGGATTCGCTACTGGACTTCATCAATTAGAGTACACTCGTAACCGAATTCCATCAGCCGTCCTGTTATTCTACTGGCTATTTGTCCAATTTGCCAATGCCACCAAATTACGAACACTTTTGCTACTCAAGTTGAATGAGAAGAACTCTACACAATTCGGTCTTTTTGTAACCATCTCTGCCCTTTCACTTTTCATCTTTATTCTCGAGAATATCAAGAGACCAAAATCCCAGTACATCATGTTGGAGGACGATGAGGTGAGTCACAAGCAACCGCCCTCAGAAAAAAAAATGGCCTTATAAAGATATAGAAATAGAGATGTTTAAATTAAGCGGGATAGAAAAAAAAAACAAAAAAAAAGATTTGTCTCATCTTAATTTGATTGATTGATAGCATGAATGCCCGGAGTTGAATTCTTCCATCTTTGGTCGCCTTACTTTTGATTGGATGACACCCCTCATGCGCTTAGGTTACCAGAAACCATTGGTTATGGATGATTTGTGGTAATATACATATACATACATCTTGGAGTGAATATGTGATGTGCTGTGCTGTGCTGTGATGTAATGAGGGAATAGAGAGAGAGAGAGAGAGAAAGAGAGAAGGGGGGTTAAACAGGGAAATCAAAACAATATAGTATATTTAATAATTAAAATAAATATCAGGGATCTTAAGCATGACGATCAGTCTGAAGTTATTGGTAAAAAGTTCCAAGCCAACTGGGACATTGAGATGAAGAAAGAACAGTAAGTAAAGCATATGGAAAAAATAAAAGTCTGTTGACTCAATAACTGACTGTATTATTAACTGTGCTATAGTCCATCGTTACTTCGTGCTCTTGTAAAGTCACTTGGTGGTCCTTTCCTTTTGGCAGCCGTATGTACCCCCAATTAACACCCCCCTCTCTCTTTTAAACCTAAAAAAGAAAAAGAAAATTGCTGTGGGGCCTAATGACTTAATCATATTATATGCACCGTGTTCTCTATTTATTTTATTTTAGGTTTTCAAAATATTTCAAGACATTTTACAGTTTACTCAGCCTATTTTACTGCGCGAATTGATGGGATGGGTTGCTAGCCACTCTGGTGATGAACCTGAACCAGTCTATCGCGGTGTCCTGATCTCTGGTAAGTAAAAACAACGAACAGAAAGAAGAAGTAAAATAACCTACAAACTAAGTATTTATCAATACATTTTTTTTTATTTTTATTTTTGCTTTTATTCACGTTATATTACATTGCCTTACCTTGCATTGCATTGCCTTACCTTGCCTTACATAAAAAACCAAAAAACCAAAAAAAATGATAATTCACAGTCGCCATGTTCGTTACTGCTATCACACAAACAATGTTCTTGCACCAGTACTTCCATAGATGCTTCTTGACCGGAATGCGTTTGCGCGCAGCCCTGGTTACTACAATTTACGCAAAGACCTTGGTGCTCAGTAATTCTAGTCGCCAAAAATCTACTGTTGGAGAAGTAAGTTTTGCATTTCTTAAGTGATGTATATAATTACTCTAACAATTATTCTAAATTTCTATTTAAAAGATTGTCAACCGTATGAGTGTCGATGCCCAGCGATTAATGGATCTGTGTACTTACTTTCACATCGGTAAAGTATAAAGTTGATTTGTTTTTATTTGGTAATACAGAGAGAGAAAAAAGTGGCTTACCTATATATATATATTTATTTGTGTCTGTTTGTATGTATTACTCTATTGAAAAAAAACAATCCCAAAATCCCAAAACTAAAACAAATAGTATGGAGTGGTCCTTTACAGATTGTAATTGCATTGACTTTACTATGGAAAACAATGGGTCCAAGTATCTGGGCTGGTGTAGCCATTCTTATCTTGGCAATTCCTCTTAATACTTTCCTGGCCAAAAAAATGAGAAGCTTACAAAAGTCTCAGATGGCCAATAAGGATGCCAGAGTCAAACTGATGGTACGTTTATCATTAACCTCTTTATACCTAATATATATACTTGAGTAGAAAAACTATTATCAGCACATACTTATAACCTCTCCTTTACTATGAAAATTACTTTAGAACGAAATCCTGAACGGTATCCGTGTCATCAAGTTGTACGCATGGGAAACCCCCTTTTTGGAAAAGGTATTATTTTCAACTAACCAAATAATATACAATATTATATATATAAAGCTTTTCAATGAATACTAATTCGTAAACTCCAACCCTTTTTTTTGTTTTGCTTAGATCAGCTTTATTCGTAATGATCTTGAATTGGCTACCCTCAAGAAGATTGGTACTCTTTCAGCTGCCCAGAGTTTCACTTGGACTTCAATTCCTTTCTTCGTATCCTTGTTAACCTTTGCTCTGTATGTCTCAATCTCATCCCAGCCTTTGACCAGTCAGGTCGCCTTTGTTGCAATTGCGCTCTTTGGTCTTCTCCAATTCCCATTATCCGTATTCCCCAACGTCATCACATCAACTATCGAGGCATCTGTCTCTCTCTACCGTATCGAAGATTTCTTGTCTTCTGAAGAGCTGGACCCCTCCGCAGTACAACGCGAGGACTTCCATTATTTGCCAAACTGGACCCCCGAAATCCCTCTCGTTGAAGTCCAGAACGGTACATTCACCTGGTCTGAAAAGGAAACTCCTGTCCTGAAAAACATCGATCTCCAAGTTAAAAAGGGCCACGTTACTGCTGTTGTGGGACGAGTGGGATCCGGAAAGTCATCTCTGATCAGCGCTTTGTTGGGTGACACCGTCAAGGTGAACGGCACAGTCACTCTTCGTGGCTCGGTGGCATATGTACCCCAGCAACCTTGGGTCATGAACGCTACATTACGTGACAATATTGTATTCGGTCATCGTTGGGACGGTGAATTCTACGAACGCGTTATTGATGCTTGCTCGCTCAAGAGCGACTTTTTGATGCTCGCTTCTGGTGATCAGACCGAAATTGGCGAACGTGGTATCAACCTCTCGGGTGGACAAAAGGCTCGCGTTTCCTTGGCCCGTGCTATCTATGCCAGAGCTGATATCTATCTTCTTGACGACCCCCTCAGTGCTGTTGACGCTCACGTTGGCCGACATATATTTGATCATGTCGTTGGACCCAACGGCATTCTGAAGAACAAGGCCCGTATTCTTGTTACACACGGAATTTCGTACCTTCACCAGGCTGACCAAGTTGTCATGCTCAAGGATGGTGTGATTGGATCCCAAGGAACCTTTGATGATCTGATGAGCCAACGCTCTGAATTGTATGCCCTCATTACTGACTTTGGATCCCAGCTCAACAAGGACCAGTCTGGCGAAGTGCAGGAACAAGTTATCGAAGACGACATCACTGTGAATGATATGGGACGTAGCGAAGAAGAGATCAGCCTCAACCAAAGCATCGAGAACACCGTACGTCGTGAGAGACTCATGAGCACTAGCAGCAGTAACAGTGGCCTTACCTTGAGACGTGCATCCGTAGTCTCTCTTCAACGCAAGGCAAAGGCAGCTGCTCGTGGCGAGGACGCCGGAAAGCGATTGATGACCGTTGAAGAAAGTGCAAAGGGAAGCGTCGAGTCCGATGTTTACAAGCAGTATGCAAAGTCATGCTCGATTGTCGGTGTCGCCTTTGTCTTGTTATTCCAGATCTTGGCCCAGTTCTCCCAGGTCGGAACCAACCTCTGGCTTAAGCATTGGAGTAGCGACAACGAAGCAAGTGGAGGAAACGATCATGTATGGATGTACCTCGGAGTGTATGCTATCATTGGTTGGTCATCTACCATTTTCACCGTAATCCAGTCTCTCCTGCTTTGGATCTTCTGCGCCATTCGATCAGCCAAGGTTTTGCACTCCAAGATGCTTGATACTGTAATCCATTCGCCAATGTCCTTCTTTGACACTACACCACTCGGACGTATCCTGAACAGATTCAGCAAAGACCAACACACTGTCGATGAAATCCTTCCTCGCACATTCCAGGCCTACTTCCGAGTCTTGTTCTCCGTATTCTCCATTGTAGTCATCATCTCAGTCTCGACTCCCTTTTTCCTGGTCTTGATCATCCCACTTGGTTTCATTTACTCATATGTCCAGCGATACTACCTTGCTACTTCTCGTGAGCTCAAGCGACTTGATTCGGTCGGAAAGAGTCCTATTTACTCTCACTTCCAAGAAACTATCTCGGGTGTATCTACTATCCGTGCATATGCCCAGCAAGATCGCTTCATTTTCGAAAACCAGGGCAAGCTTGATGACAACCAGCGCGCTTACTACCCCTCTATTGCTTGCAACCGTTGGTTGGCCGTCCGCCTCGAGTTCCTTGGTTCTATCATTCTTTTTGGCTCGGCAATCTTTGCCGTCATTGGTGTTGTGTATGGCACCAACTACGTCGATGCCGGTCTGGTCGGTTTGAGTGTTTCTTATGCTATGAGCATCACTCAGGCCCTCAACTGGGTCATTCGCTCTTTCTGTGAAATTGAAACCAACATTGTATCGGTTGAACGTATTAAGGAATACATAGAGCTTCCTACCGAGAAGTACGACGCTGTCCGAAACGTCAACCCTCTTTGGCCCGAGAAGGGTGTGATTGAATTCAACGATTACTCGACTCGTTACCGTCCCGGACTTGATCTTGCCTTGAAGGGATTGTCATTTAACATTGCGGCCAGAGAGAAGATCGGTATTGTTGGTCGCACTGGTGCTGGAAAGAGTTCATTGAGTTTGAGTCTGTTCCGTATCATTGAGGCTGTCAGTGGTAACATTGTTATCGACGGTGTTGATATTGCCACACTTAGACTGTTTGATCTTCGTTCTCGCTTGACCATTATTCCTCAGGACCCTGTTCTGTTTGCCGGTACTGTCAGAGAGAACCTGGATCCCTTTGGTGTAAGCGACGACGCTCAACTTTGGGAGGCTCTCCAGAACGCCCATCTTCACGAATATGTTTCCAAAATGGATGGCAAGCTCAATGCAGTTGTGCTTGAAGGTGGTGATAACTTTTCTGTCGGCCAACGTCAGGTAATTAATACATAGATATATATTCTCTGTATTGTTTTGTTTGTTTAACTTGTGTGCTTATTACTAGTTGATTTGTCTTGCCCGAGCACTTTTACGTCGTACAACTGTCTTGATCTTAGATGAAGCTACAGCTGCTGTAAGTAGATTGAACTATTTGCAATATGATCCAATGACAAATTTGATGATAATTAATTGGCATTTTTTATTAATATAATAATTCATTTATTTGATAATTGTTTATGTTGTTGTTGAATACATATTAGATTGATGTTGAAACAGACTCTATCATTCAAGAAACTATCCGTTCTCAGTTCGCCGACTGTACCATCTTGACAATTGCTCACAGAATCAATACTGTTATGGACTCTGATAGGTATTATGAAATTTGACTGCAAAGAATGGCAACAAGATATCTAACAATTAAATCTGCAGAATTCTTGTCCTCGATAAGGGCCAGATTGCCGAATTCGACGCTCCTCAGTCACTCTTGTACAAGAAAGACTCGATCTTCTATTCCATGTCGAAGCAAGCTGGTTTGATAGAGTAATATAATATTTATTATTCCCCTCTTTCCCCTTCCCCTACCCCCTTTATCTTCTGCTTCAGGGATCATGATCATTTTTCGTTTTTTCTTTCTTCCTTTAAAGAAATTAATTTCTTCATGTAAAACCCCTATTGTGCAACAAGTACTACATACACAGATTATTCATATTTTTGAAAAATATTTAATTGCCTACAGTCTAAATTTTGAAAAATAAGTGCGTGCGTTTGTCTGTTTTTTTTTTTTTCCTTTTCTTTAAAAGATCAACCAGAAAATTCAAATGGTTATTTTTATTATTATATTGCAAGTTAAATATATATAAATATATATTATAGTTTAATTCAAATGTACCATAAATTGGCTTATTGTTCCTTCTTTTTTGTTGTTGTTATAAATCTAATATTGGTCTAATGACTGGATACCAATGTATGTACAAAGACATAGGCTGATTTATTCAGTCTATTTGTCCTCTTCTTTCTCTTCGTCTTCATTTTCTTCCGTCTCCTCGGGCAAATCGTACTCAAAGGACAAGTCCCATCGAGAGCCAGGAGCTCTTGCACTCACATACTTTACAAATCGCATCACATCCTCATCTCTCAAGACCAAAGATAGTTCATTGCAGCCGGCCGGCAAGGTTAACAAGGCACCTTCATCGTCGGCAGCCTTGTAGATGGCCGCATCTTCTTCGTCGTCGTGGGGTGCCATGTAGCATTCATACCCACCACATTCACCTCCTTCCCACACATTTGCACTCTTCTTGTTAGGAGTCGTAGCAAATGTGAGAGTGGCGTCGAGCACACCCTGGCCACGCGTGTTGGTAGTAGCTAAGGTGTAGTCATGCCCAGGTCTGAAACGACGTGCTTCACCACGGAATCCCTGTGGAACCATCTGGGTGACAACAGCCAACCAACGACGGAAAGGTTCGCTAGAAAGCTTTTCTTGCAGATCAGCAAACAGTTTGCTGGTTGGGTCGTCTTCGGACTTCAATGTCTTATCAAGGGTCATGTAACGACATCTATGAGGTGGTCCGTGTGCAACCCATTGCCCACGAGTACCAGTTCCATGAGGCACCATCACACGTGAAGTAAGACCGTCTCTCTTATCCGCTTCCTCCGTGGCTTGCTTCAACTCGGCAAATAAGGACTTGTTGATAATGTCTTTGCATTGAACAGCCGACTCGTCCATGAAACGTTCAGAAATCTGTCCTAGCATCTTGATGTTGAGATAATGAGGATTCATCCACTCTGCCAAGGCTTCAAGATCTTCTTTTGAGAGACCGTCGGTAGCCTCATCATCCAATTCATCTTCATATTTTGTAAATTTATCACTAGAATCGGTATCCATCTACAAAGAAGAAAAATAATAACATATAAAGATGTATACATACAAAACCATAAATTATTCTAGAAAAACTTATTTTCTTTTGTATATATATATATGTGTGTGTGTTTGTGTGTTTCTTTATACTCGAGGTAAACCTTACTTGCAATTGCTCAAGAGAAGACTTTGATTCGCCCTCTTCTTTTTCGGCCTGATATCCGAGCTCACCCTCTTGGGGAATATGGAACCACCCAGAGATACTCAACCGAGGTTTGTTTTCTGGTACGACTTCTTCCACTGAGTGGAAAGAGTGGCCAGGTTGAACGGTGAACATGACAAATTGATTCCACTGGGGAGGTAGGACAACAGTCGGTTCTGTGGCTGGAATACCCTTTTCAATAACGGGATACAATTCAAGAGCCCCACCGTCCTTGGGATCCCAAGGATTCTCGGGATCAGTCAAGTACAAGATATAAGACACGCGACGGGTGCCAATCACGTCATCGTGATTCAACAAATGACAACCTCCGTTGTAACTGTTGATGCTCATGTCAGTCTTGGTTCCCGAGAGATGTCCACAGCCTGTGACGGTGGAGATGAATTCACGGAATTCGGGAGAGTACAAGGCATTTCTCAATTCAAACAAGGATTCAAGTTTGGCTAATTCATCAGCCGGAAGTCCATCGAGATTAGCCAAATCACCAGTTTGATATACCTTTATTTTTATTTTTTATTTTATTTTTTAAAAAATTGTTAGACTTTTTTTCCCTATTATTGTGTGTGTGATTTGGAACTTACTTTGTAAATGTCAGTTTCCTTCAAGGTAAAATGAAGGTTACTGAGAATCTCTTTGCGAACTTTACGCAAAAGATCTTCATTGACTAACTTGTCAATCTTGCAATGAAGGTAAGGCTTGGAGGCTGCATAAGCGGTTTGAAGACTTGACGCGGTTTCAAGCAGACCTTGGTGGAACTTGTCTTTTTGTGACTCAAGCTTTGTACGCTTGGAAGGATGTTCAGTAGAATTGTCTGCTGATGTATGAGGTGACATTGTGTACTGTGCTTATGTGTACGTGTGTGTGTATTTTTTCTTGATTTTTTTTTGTATTTTTAAAAATGACTTGTAAAAAATATATACAAATATATATAAAATAAAATAGACAATTGACAAAAAAGGAAACAACACTGATTTTTCATTTACATTCCATTATAAATTCATGTATATATTGCATGTATATGTCGCACGTATATGAATATATTCAAAAGATCCAATGCATTGGTTTCAAGTAAGTATCCTAGCAACCTATTGCTTAAATAATAATTACCCAAAGTCCAAATATTAAAATAATCCTTAGATACACAGTATCACAACTAACTCAAAACAACTATATATTTGATTATTATTATTATTATTATTTCTGTGGATGTTATACAAAATAACCCTAAAAATATTATTATTATTTTTATGATTTCCTTCCATTTTCTTTTTTTTCTTTTCTTTTAAAAAGAAAAAATTACCTGTATTTACTCCTGTCATTTTTATTTTGACAGGCTAGAAATAGGGTGCATAGTAGTACGAGATATCATATTTAAAACCTCCTGTCTGTATGGGATCGGTAGTGAAGCTGTATTGAGAACATAGTAAGCTTCCATATATCCATTACGCAAAGATGTCAATTAAAGCCAAAAAAGAAATAATTTAGACAAAAAAAATGCCATTGTTTCCAGCTGTTGTGTTTGACATATCGGTGTGTAAATCGGCATACAAATGCTAGTGGAAGATGTGGTTTTGGTTCATTATACCTTTAATTGTACGTGTGTGTAAGTGTAAGTGTTAGTGCGTGTGCTTTTTTTTTGGTTTTAATTTGGGTGTTATATTTTAGATATATGATCCTTGGTGTTATTGAAGCAATGTATTGCGACCAGTTGACACCAAAGTATGACGATATAAATCTATATACAGGCGTGCTAGCCAATTTATAGTCATTATTATCATTAGTGCTATAAATGAGAGCAGCTATATATATATATATATTTATATGAGCACACGCACATATAAAGTATATAGTTTTTGTTTTTTTTATTAATGTTTATAATTGACCGTGCTTATCGAATAATCAGTTATTTCAACTCAATCAATATTCAACAATTCATTTATATTTATATTTGTATATTTCTGCATCTTCTTGTCAGTGATGATTAGATAGATAGCCTAGTTTAGGATACACTTCTTTAACATGTGGTATAATGTATGAAACATGTGGTATTGATTTTCGAAATTTTAAAGAGCTGTAATAGCCTAAGGATATTTATACATGTGTAAGCATATTACCCTCGGGTGTAATACAATAAAAAATAATAATACAAAGACTTTCAATCTGACCATTGTAGGAATTTCGTCAGATATCTTCTTTGTTACCTCCAAGGCACACATGGTCTCCTTTTTTTTAAAAAATTATGAGCTTGACACGCGCCTTTTGCCTTTTTTTATTGATCCTTTTTCATATTCAACACTTGTACGAACTATTTATAATATATATATATATATAAATACATACTCTAAATTCTCATTCGACATGACATCTCTATAGTTAATATTTTTATTTATTTATTAATCTTATTGATAATGTGTGGTGAAAAGCAAATCATTACAAGTATGTCAGTATACCATATTAGTCTCATGTTTTTTTTGGCCCTTCTGAATTCTAATTGCCCTACACAGGTTACGAGACATATTATTTCTCACAATTTTTGGGTAGTTGTTCTTTATATGATGGACCCCTTGTCAATCTTTAGGGGTTTTTTTTACGATATTTTTACTCCAAAAAAAATCCAAAATGTGACTCGGAAGAAGGAAAAAAAATGTCGAATTTTATTCATTTAATTATTATTTTAAAAAAATAATAATAAATAAATAAATAAATAAAAGGGTTTGAATGCTTTAGATCCGTGTCTTCTATAAAACTATCTTTGAAATTTACCTTTTTTTCTTTGTTCTCTCCAGAAAATATATACTATCGAGAAAATCAATCGTTCAATACCAAAACACATTCCCTCCTTTCATAAGACACCTCTCTTCAAGATCCATACAATGAAATATCCGTCTACTCAAGATACATTCCTTTCAAGAAAACCAAGACCGAATAACCCAAGGCCTTCTACGGAACCCTCGCCAACCCCTTCTCCTACACCTTCGCCATTGACGTCTCCATTTCAATAATTCTATTGTTATTATTATGAATATCCTGTTTTGAATTCATTACATAATTATGTATTTGTATTAATTCTATATGATACCTTTTTTTCCTTTTTCATAATGTTTTATAATTTCTATTATTATTATTATTATTATTATTATTATTATTATTATTTGCTTTTAACTGCACCTATGCTTCATTATCATTAGTATCACTATCAGAACTCAATAATCTTGTACAAGAATTATCATGATAATAAAAAAAATAAAACATTCAGCCAGCATACTTCTTTTTTGTCCGTATCCCATAGTATAACATTTTGTCTCTCTCTCTTTTTTGTCAGCCTCTTTGAAATACCGAATCACCGCTTATATTAAAGCGCAAAAAATTATAAGGGTGACCAATAAGGGGGAGCCAAAGTCATGAACAATTTCAATAGTCAAGATAAAATTTCACCTAGTTACTGTGCGATCAAGAAGGAAATAAATAAAAATAAAAATAAAAATAAAAATAAAAATAAAAACAAGCTTTGGACAAGGGCCCGAATCGTATCGAAGATTATGGTTCTATCGATCGAATATTATTTCTTTATTCTTTTTATTTTTTATAGATTATTTTCTTAAAAAGAAAGAAAGAATTAATCGTGCACATCAGTGAATAGTAAGCAGCAGAAATTCAAGAAACAGATGATCTATAAAATCATAGTAATCCGACAATAATCATAATAATAATAATAATAAAGGGGACAACGACATGAAATTTGGCTGGTATACCTAAGACATAAAACTTATTTTTTTTTGAAATCGAAAGATGAACCAAAAGAGAATTATATGCTTAGTATTGTCTATCAATTGGTTGGCGTATCTGACAAGCGGGATTTTTTTATATGTAACTTCTATGACAATTTGTCCTATTCACTCTCAAAATCTCGATCATAATTATATCACGCTATTTTTTTTATAATAGCCGCACTCCACAGAAACCAGTCTTTTTTAAATAAATAAATATATATATATTCTAATATATTAAAATAGATTATGTATATATATATTGGAGACAAAGTAAAACCTTATTGTACAGAGCGTAAAGCTAATGATTTAGTATAAAATATCATCATCGATTCCTAGAACACAGATGCAGATATAGATTTGGCTATAAAGAATATGGTATATTATACATACAATTCTCTCGGTTAATATTTCTTTCTTTCTCTTTCTCTCTTTATTATAGTTTTTTTTGCATTGCTTATTGTGGAATAAAATCATTTCTTTGCTATAGCCACACCTTGATAGTTACACGAATCTAATATTTCCAAACTATGTCAATCCGAAAACCACATATTGATCCAAATGAATATTTCCGAACCTTTCACAGCAGAAGATGTAAGCTGTGTGTCACTCTACGTCTCAATTTTTTCTTTCTTTCCTTTGTATAACAAAAAACAACAACAACAACAACAACAACAACAACAACAACAGTACCTTTAATGCAAGTCTTTCTCTTTTTTTCAAAAAAGACTAGCAAGATAGCTATCTCTACATTATCCCATGTACTACTCGTTCGTTTATCCAAACTAATATCTGCTATACTCACCTTATAGAAAATAATAAAATAGTAATAAAGCGCAAACTATATCGAAAATATTTAAAGTATATTCTAGATAAATTATAATATATATCTATACATTATATAATGAAAAAAGGGGGAGGAAATAGCGCTTTATTTTTATTAAACACAAAGGGGGTGTTAATCGTGATCGACCAGCTCGGAGTCATTGCATCAAGCTCGAATTAAATCATTGATTAATTGAGGTAATATGTGGCAATACAATTGTCTTAATAAATACATTAAATAAAATAAAATAAAAATTGAGAAATCAGGCCACAATGAATAAAAAAGAAAAAAAAGAAGGATAAAAGAGAAAAGTTGAAGAACAGTTCTATATTAAGCAAAACGTGCCACTTGAGCTTAGCGATTATTGTGGTTGAACAAATAAGACAATCTTGGGAGTACCAAAGTTTCTTTGGGTCTGTGCGTGAATATGGATAGATTGTAATTAAAAACCGAAGAAAAAAAAACTTCCCTTCAAGAAATCAGAAAAAAAAATTGCTAGATTATTTAGGTGTCATTGTTGAAGAAGGATATGAATATCACAAATGCTCATCCTGACATAATTAAAAACACAGTTAATTTAGCTTAGATTCATAATGTATTTATATATAAATGCCACACACGAGGAGAGCATCTAGACATATATAAATGAAATTATTAATTATTATTTTTTCAGCTTGTACAATATTAAAAGAATGTCTAGATCTTGGTCATAAAATACACACGCTTAGCTATAATTCATTTACGACTTAATTGATTTTATTATTATTATTTTGTGGGATTTTTTTTCTCTTTTATTTTTCTTTAAATCCTACAAATAAAGCGAGTGAATTTTCCCTAGCTAGTATAGTACCCAATCTAGCTTGCACCAAGCTATTGTGTATTACCAAACATATTATTAGTCTTTGATTAAACTGAAAAAAAAAGAAAACTTAAAAGCTGCCCTGGAATAAATATATATACTCTTACAATATTCGCTCAGGAACACAAATATTTCTAAAAGTTACAGAAATATATATGCATTCGTCATTTTCTTCTTGATTTCAATCCAATATGTGAGAGCCATATATACCTCTTTTTCTTTATATCACATTCTCCCTCCAATATTTGCCTGAAATAAAACATATAAATATTCTTAAAAAGATGTGTTTGTTGGTACATCGAAAATATGAAGAAATATTGAAAGAAGAATTTAATTCAAAGTTTGATATAATTATTCTGGTTTTACTGATTAAAATGCTTGTAAATACTACTCGAGCTATTTGACAGTTGAACTACTTACATAAATATTCCTAAAGGTATGAATACTCGCCATTTGCCTTTATGGTTTATGTATTCCATGAGATTTATAACTCAAGTAAGCTGCAAATCAAATAATAATAACAAACCCTCCCACGGCTCAAATAATCCATGGCTAAATGGCAAAAAAAAATTATTCCCATTATTTTCAGAATTTCATAAACTTACAAAGAGAACAATTTGTGGCAATATTACCTCCTCTATATACATATATAGTGTGGTTTCTCATTATACCCAATAAACGTAGGATGATACAAGGACCAATGTATACCCTTAGAAAGAATATGTGTATATCTATAGAATAAAAAAAACAATAGATAAGTCCAATGACATATGCTGATATAATCAGATTATATATATATATATGCTTTAATATTTGCTTATCAATTTCATACAGTTTTTTTTTTACTATTTTTATATACTTCCGTTTCACCTCTACAGACCATTTGTACATATAAAGAGAGAAACCGCTAATATGACATTTGTATTCACGATTCTTTTTTCCAAACAATTTCGGACGTGTTAATTCTGCGGAAGTCACTGTAATTTATGTATTTTATTATAAAAACAAAATATCTCAAATTGAAAAATAAAATAGTAAGCGTATAAGTTTTCTGTGTTTCGTTTCGTTTTGTTTCGTTTTTTTTTACTTCTCAGATGGCTGGTTAGTCATATAAAATCACATGTATTTTAGTGCCCAAGCTAGGGATAAGTATCGAATACCCTTTTGATACATGTAATAAATAGTCCGGGTAGTAATATGTTTGATCCCAAATATAAAGTCTGTATTCTTGCAATTTAAAAAAAAATCTCATTTATCTGTTAATACTACAAATTAGAATTCCCATGAGACTGAATGGTCTCTAAACACACACACACACACACACACACACACGTACGTACGTATATATATATAAAGGGAGATAAACGCGAAAAAAAATTGTACCTTGAGATAAAATCTATGCAAATTGTGTGTTTAATTTCCTTTGTATTATAAGCATATTCTAAATATCATCATCTCTCACTGTAGCTTATCGCATATAATAGCGTGTAAAAAAAGAACCCCAATTAGAGAAAATATGTGAAACAATGTGAAACAATATATTTAACTTTTGAAGGGTGTTTCTGATACCAAGAATATATGTCTCATGATAAATGACCATAGCCGTATCTGTGCTTGTACTTGTGTCTGTGTCTGTGTTTGTGTTTGTGTTTGTGTTTGTATCTGTGCTGGTGCTGGTACTGGTGCTAGTGTTAATATTGATAAGATTATTTAAATAGAAGAGTAACAACAACAACAACAACAACAACAAGAATAATTTAATTGAAAAATTATTTATTCATAAAAATAAATAAATATTTTTTTATCAAAAAGAGCATTTGAGAATTCGATAACGACTTTTTTTTTAAAAAAAAAATGTATATATATAAAAGTAAGGTCCCGGTAAAGTATTAGAGTAGAGACCTCAACTGTCCCCAAAAAAGAGCGGAACAAATATAGCTGAGATAGTTACAAGGGAAACAAATTAAAAGAAGTATATTAAATCATTAAATCATGCCTACTGTTTAACTCACAAAAAGGGCGATGTAATCCAAGTATACTTAATAGAAACAAAAGCTTGTTGTTGTTGTTGTTCAATTAACAATATCATATTATTTGCACAATAGTTAGTCTCCCAAAAAATAAAAATTGCAATGAAAATTATTTACGCGTGGGAGTGATTTATAATCAAATAATTGGATGTTCAAAAAAGTTAAATAATACACACTTACTGTTATTCTTAATACTCAGACTTCTTTGTTAGTGGTCTATAATTCAAGTAATGTTTCGATGTGCCAAGCATCGATATTAAGCCGATGACAGTAGTATAATACTTTAAATTACGCTCAGTTTTGGATTTTTTTTATATTATACACAGGAACATCCCGTTTAATCCCAACATCCCAGGGTAAAAATAAATAAAAAAATAACAACTCCAAACATAATATTTCAGGTATCCTTTCTTTCTTTCTTTCTTTCTTTTTCTTTCCTTTTCTCTATACATAATATTACTGGGAATAACGCTAAATTGACGCGAATTCCAATGGAAACATAAACCCTTTTCTTTAGAAATAAGAAAGAGCGGATATTGAGCTTGGCCTTAAACTCGAGAACTTTTAAAATATTTTGTAATTGATTAATTAAAGAATATCTCCAGTGGTTTTTTTATTGTATTACTCTTCTTTACGTGTAGTTTAATTCGACACAATCTTCTTACCATATGTTGCTTTGTATCGACTTATTTACGAAGAGAACTCTGCTCAAGGTCTATTGGTGCTAAGTCTCTACGCTTGCTGAAAATGTAAAACGTCACAGCGTATTTTTGGGGGTATTTAAATTGTAGATTTTGTTTACAGATTTACCTGTAGATTGAGATTATAGAGAGAGAGAGAGAGATAGTGCGTGTGTGTATGTGAACAAAAGAATACAAGGCTATAACTCTTTAAAAAAAAAAGAGCATGTAAAAGTTTTGATTAAAAATTGGTAGAAGATAAGGATCAACCAAGAAAAACAAAGTCTGGGAATCAGATATACATTTTTTTTTCCTTTGCAGAAATAATAATAGCTCTAGATCCATAACAAATTGCTCGGAAATAAAAGAATCACTTTTCACAAACCTTGAAAGCAATAAAAGGGCATGAAAATAGAGAAATGATAATCTAGTACCTTGGTACTCTTAAGATCTAGTAAAGAAAAATGAATAATAGATATATACGTACCAGTAGTAAGGAAACATCCATATTTAATCTTTTCATAAGATTGCAAACTCATCACATCATCTTATTCCATTTGAGTGAGATATTTTAAATGACTGGATTGGAATATTCGATGTAAAAATAAATAAATTATAATACATTTCAAAATTTTACATGAAGTAGCAGTTTAGTATAGTAAGCCCAGACCTTCTAAAAATGTAATACTAATGAGATATAGGGCAAATCAACTTCCTGTATTATCTAATAATACCACTTTTACTAAAATAACAGGATGTGCCTATAAGTGAGCAAACAACATTTAGTACCCAGTTTAACTACAGACCTTAACGTTTTATTTTATTACCTCCAATATATACTTTATAAGAGCATTGTTTTTTTATAACCTCAATACAATATTTATTCAAGAGTATTTCATCAATGTATTTTACAGATATTTTATAATATGCTACTATTTCTATAGATCTAGCTTCCTATGGAAAATAAAAATAAAAATATAAAAATATAAAAAATCGTACGTTAAAGTTTAGGTATAGGCGATCCAAGTCATTCCCGATAGAGAAAGTTGATATTTTTGTGCATTCAATTGTATATAAATAAATATATATTTACATTCTCACCACACTGAATATTTCCAAATGTTTTTTTTCCTGTAATTATTTACATCGTATAATAATAATATTCGGGCTTATAATACAGTATATCTATATATATTTTGATATATCAATTCAGAACTCTGGAGACAATATCAAAAATACATAGAAAATATTACGAAAAATCAAGGTGTTAAATTTTATAGTATAATATACATTAAAGTATATAGTCTTACTAGTATTCAACACATACCCATACAAATATATAAATATAAAATATACCGTATTTAAATTAATGATATACTAATGTACCTGAACAAACTATTAGCATTTACAGGTTTATTTTAATTTTCGTCTTTGGTTTCATCGATAATTTATACTATTATCTTTAATTTTTAAAATTCGTTTGGATAACTAACTGGCTTACTTGTGTATCACCAAAATTCATTTATAGATAGGCTGTTTTTCTTCTCTTTTTCTATTAGGAAGATAAAAGATCTTTTTTTTTTATCAAAGCCAAGATTTTTACTTGTAATATGTTCCCAGCAAAAAAAAAATGAAAAGAAAAAAAATTGAAACAAATATCAGTATGTATGATATCTCCATTGTTATTCTTGTCTACAAGCTCAAGAACCTAATAGAATAGTCTAGAAAGTCCAATATACAATCAATCTCCCCAAAGAAAAGAAAAACAATATCAATTTTAAGAGAATAATTGGTAAATTTTAAATTAGACAGTCTAGAATATTTATCTAACAAACGATCGATTGGCCAATGCCAAATTTTATATTATCTACTTTTTTTTTTAAAAAAAAAAAGAAAAAGAAAGAAAGACTATCCCACCCAAACAAAAAATAACTAGAAGAAGAAGAAGAAGAAGAAGAAAAGTCCTCGACTTTCACATGTTTTATATTTAGCATCTTAATATTGAATATTAGCATTATATTGATACCTCTGGCTTAGACTTATGATAGTAAAGTAAATTAGGATAATACTATGGTAATTGCTCCAAGTAAACTAAACGAGAGATCAATCGCGTTAATAGTATATATAAAGCACAATTATATGATTTAGTTGTGATTTTTTTAATGACTCATTCCGTGTAAGTCAAATTGATTGAATTGAATTCCAAAAACAACAATGCTAATAAAATGGATAAACATTTTATGAAATAAAAAAATGGGGGCCTATTTTAATATGTCATTTCATTTATTAATTCGACTGCGTTAATATTATAAAATATTTTTTATGTTAAATGTTACGAGAATATCCGAGAAATAGGATTGTCTTTTAAAAGTACAATACTTATTGACTTATGGGCTTATTATTCATTGGTACATCGAAAAAAAAGTAATATAACAGTATATTAATACCTTGATTTTATTGAAATTTTTACCAGATGCTAGTCATAAAGTAGTTAATAGTAGTATATGATCCAGTGCTCGCCACAGGCTGTTTTCTCGGACGATATCTATAGGGAACTTGTATGCAAACAAGTTCTTAATTATGATGGCGCAGTATTAAATAATATACCACGAAGAAGGATGGTGAATATGGTAATATAAAAGAACTTCCGGGCCGTTTAAGAAGCGAGCTATCATCTTATCCCAAATAAGTCAGCAGACCAAATACAGACATCCTACCTTTAGCTCAATAGATCTCTGAATGGATCGTAAGTATCAGCAGAAATCAGCCTTTGATTCACAAATAAGCTTTATTTTTTCTTAATGCAACATCTGTACCTGGCTTAAGCAAATAAAAAACCCGCTTTATGTAGTTAATTTAGGTTACATACCTTCTTATTGCCCTCAAAGACTTTGATGTTCTTTACTTCTTTATTTATTTATTTTAGCTGTTATTAAAGTGAATGTATTATATTATTCGTGGCATAGAGTTATTTGGTAGGTTTTAGGGATGGCTTACAAACCTTTAGTAACCTGTATATTTGCATCTTTAAAGCTCAACCTCCTGAGTTTGGTATTGTGGAGCACGTATACCGGCCAGGCGGTTCGCCCAATAAGACTATTCTTTTTGATTGAACAATTGATTCAATTGAACCTGATCTATAACACTTTTATGCCGCTTTTTATTATTATTATCTCTTTTCAAAGTTCGCTCCGAACTTATATTTTAAATATATAATATAGATATATAGGAACTTACCGGGTTCGACTTGTCTTTTATTAAGAGTTTATGGTAACAATAGATTTTATGGAAACTATTGAATATGAATTTACAAAAAAATTAAAAGACAAAATAAAAAGTTGTTTCAATAGAATTTCTAGATTTGTTTCAAGAAATATGTCGGAAAAATTAGTTGGATTTTGAAGGGCAGTACATTAATTTTCAAAACGATATTTATGTATATACTTAATATTTAACTATCAGACATTAATTTTTAAGTATTAATTTTGATACATATGAAATCAAATAAGAAAGAAACCCTTTCAGAAACATAGTACGGCTATCAATTTTGGTAAGATGAAGTAGTCAAATGGCAGAGATAATACAACTTCTGTTCAAGTCAAAGCCACCTTTTTTTTTTTAAAAAAAAAGCTTCTCTTCCTATTATAGTTGACTTGGTTAATTCGCTTAATCCGTCGATCGTGTACAGACCTATTAAATTCGATAATGAATGAAAACGAGCAAAGGAAAATATATTATGCGTAATTAAAAAAAAGGACTTTTACTTAATAATAATTGTAGAAAGAGACAGGGCTTTGGAAAGCGGTGTTTTTATTTATTCCAATTAAGAGACAAAAAAAAAACAAAAAAAAATACTGCGCATTTTGTGTCAATTTAATCAATGGCACTGCGCACAATCCTTTTGAAAGAAAGGAATTAGAAAAGGCTGATTAATTTTGCTATTTGACTTTTTATGAATTTAGATAATATTCGGTTGCCTTGGGTCCAGAGCAAATATTCATAAAACAGCTCCTATTACACAATACCATTTATAACCTTGATCCGAGAAATAATAAAAGGAAGAAAAAAAGCGTAAATCTATATATATAATTTCCTACATTCTGATACTATTTAACCAAGAATTTCATACTTGATTCTTCCCAAGACAAGTTAATGACATATATCTTAAAGATTCCATAGTTATTTGACCAATGAAGAAAACATCTTTAATCTCAGACTACCCCACAATCTGTTTTTGGTACATTAGCTAACACAAATTATTGTGCTTATTTTTTTATTTTAATTTTTACTTTTGGTATGCAGGTGTTCACTTGAATTTTTTTTAGGTTTTGAAATATTGCGATTATTGTATACATTTTATTATAATATTTTTTATTAAAAAAAAATAATGTAGTGCAAACAACAATAATAATAATTTTAGCACCCAACCTTTAGAAGAAGAAAAAAAAACACACAATATTATTTTCTATCATATCTTAACCAAGATCGTATTTCTGCAATTCAGAACTTCGACGCATGATTTAAGGTTTGTCGATATCTATATATAGAATATACCATTATTTTCATTGTACAGAGAAACAAATTGCATTAAACACTATCTATACCTTCCTTTGCAATAAAACCAAAATTGTCAAGTACAATGGCCTATACGCTATTATTGTCAATATTAGCTCTACTGATTTAATAGTAGTATTTAGGGTAAAAATCTGATTAAAATTCATAGAAGAAGAAAATTGTGTCTGCAAATACAAGTTTATTTTTATCGGGTAATTTCTATGAACGTTTTTTTTTTGGTATTATAAAATGTTCAAATGATGTGACTATTTTTATTATAGAAAGGTCTTACTTTTTACCTTATATCTACTAAGCGTAACCCTCTGTTATAGCTGTTGTTTTTCTTCTTCTAATCATAGACAATTAAAGTTGGTATGGGAACAATATCATAAAAGCTGTATGGTACATTACAGAGCATTAAAGTAAGGGTAAAAAAAAACAAAAACAATTAAACTAATTAATTTTGTGTATAGTGTTGAAACATATTATTTCATACTGTAGTTTGTTTTATACTAAGATATTTGAAATACTTGTTTTTTTAAGAGAAAAATAAAATTAAGCGTCTTGAGCTATCATAGATTCTTTGTAAGGATGTATTCTAGTATAAATATTAAACTTCTCGGATTTGTTTCAATTTCTTTCTTGATTTTCTTTCATGCAAATATTATTTGAACTCCGCAACTTATTTTCTTGGTCACATGACTTACTTTTTTTTAAAAAAATATATAGAAATATTCAAATAAGAAGTAGAGAAAAGTATTCTTAGGTTATTAAAGACTGTATTAAACATCTTTACACTATTTTTTTTATATAAGATTCACTCTAATTTTTGCTTAAATATAAAAAGGTTTTGAAAGAAGTTTCTCCCAAAAATGCGTTTTAATGTATTCCAACACAGGCTATGGGAGTCATTCAAAGTGCTTCATTATATTTAAGAATAATTAACTTTTGCAATAAACCTACCATAACATCCTAACTTTGAAGGCATAGAACTTTTTATATAGAAGCTGTCAGTATTGATCTTGAAAATATAATTATTAAACATGTGCTTATCTACCATTGCATTTTCTCAGTACATCTTCTAGCTTTTATTAACTTTATTTGTATAAGATTAATATGTTTTTAAAAAATAATGATGCCCTTATAGATTAGTGGTTCTTTTTTACTGTACTAAGCCTATTCAAAGTATCTAATGTTACTCTTCATTAATAAAAAAAACTATTTGATATGTAATATATAGTATCTTTAGAACACTACTTTTGGAATAAATTATATTTTTGTATATAGACGGAATTTTGTAAAAGACAGTTTATGATACTGGATCTCATATATTTATTTTTGGTCGATTGGTTTTATCTTAACACCACAGCTCATAATTATATTTTCTAGATTTGATATATATATATATTTAAGACTAAGCACGCGATTAAGCTACTAAACAATTTCAAGTCTGGATCAATAGTCTGTTTTATAGGTATATGACAAAATGGTTTGGAAGTACAACAACAAACATAAAGATATGGGTAAAATGATGATTTTACTATGGTGACTGCCATTGGATCTTGTGCATTGATGCCACTTAATCTCCTACATTTAACAGAATTTCTTGCCCAAAGCTTTTTACTAGGCAGTTGGAAATGTCCAAAATTCAAGCAACATACAGCAAGTCTTATCGTACTGTGCTATGTAAATACCCTCAGCGCCTGAAAAGTGGATCAACCTTGGATAAAAGCTCCAAACAAAATAGGCTTAATTACTATTGCGTCAAAAGCAAGTAATATGTAATTAGCGATAAAGAACTCTCCAGTTAATATTTATTAATGCCTGTGCCAACCTATCTGGGATCCAGTACTACTTATGTATGCCTTGATTTGGATTGACTCGGATTATATAGTCTAATAGAGCTTGATATCACTGATATTAATGTCTATCCTCTACATTATTCCAATACAACAAGTCTAGAGCTAGCAAAAATCGCATGCTTGGTGGGCTATCTACGATATAAATAATGCAGCGTCCTCAATTTTCTCTAAATTTAGGTCCTGTATACGAAGTCAATAAAAACCAATCGTGCAATAATCAATCTCTACAAGCCCTTCAAGTCACTTTATATGTGGTGCGATTGGTTGTCTTGCTTACTTGCTTTGCAACATGATATTGGTCGAGCCACATTATTCACTAATTTTGAGCCAGAACTTCACTCTAAATAATTCATCTTCGACCTTGCCATTAATATTCGTTTTATAAAAATAAACATTTTACTCCTTCCCACAAAAGAGTCTATCCTTAGTGATCTATTCTCAGGAATTGTCTAATGTATTTCTACTATAAGCCGCCAATCCATTCCCTCTACGCCCACACAATATGCTTGGTATACATATACAGTATCCCTTAAAAAGTTACTTCTTCTCAATTCTTCATGTCTTATATCTTATGTCTTATTTTCTGTTTATATATTTCTTTATCATGTATTTTTATAGACTATATATATATATAGACAAATGTGCCAGTTTTTTCTTGCCTTTCGAAAGTACGTGTCATTTTCTCTAGGTGTAATTAACTTGGGTTTTCTGTACAATTCTTTTTACCTGCAAAAGACAGTCGTATTATATTGTCTTGAAATCTTAATTTCTATATTTCTTAACATTTTATTCATTATAAATGACAATCATTCCATCTTCATGATGTCCAATTATGATTACATTCTTTACATTAGAATGCTTCCTTTTTCTTTTAGAAGAGAAATGAGAACAAATGCATTGTAATTTGAGCATGACATTTGACAATTATTGAATTCAAGGCTTTTTTTTCTAACAATAGGTAAATGTAATATATAAAGGTTTATAGAAAAATATACCGTTGGAATTCATAGAATCAAATAGTACTCAAGCTTTTTTCTCTATAGTGTATACTTTCATCTTTGGTGTATTGTGACTTTGAGAAATGAACCTTTCAAACTCTAACAAATAAAAGGTAAAAAAAAAAAGGGAGGAAAACGAGGACTCTAATATGTAAAATCTACCACCAGCGCAGATTTATTAATTACTTTAGCTTTTATGGGATTGCTTGAAAGTGAGAGTATTGAAGCTATAAAAGGACTATAAAATAATTCCAAAATATGGAAGTGTTTTTGTACAAAATATCGTTTAATAATTTTGTGTATTTTGCATATCTTTTTTTTTTTTTAAAAAAAAAAAACTAAATGTTCAAAAGTCTGTTATATTGATGCCATTTATTCATCTACAGATCTACAAATCTACAAATCTGATAATTCACTTTTTATAGCATCGTGTTCACGTGAACATCTCGTTTTCCAGGTTCAAGTTGATTGCTACACAAGGTGCAGAATTTTTTTTTGTGATGTGCTTCAATCTTGTGTGATGTATAGATCTATTGTATCTACCTTTCATAATTGTTTCCGATGTACCCCAAAAAGATCTTCTTTATAATAAAATAAAATCAACATCTTTGATTCTGTATAATTGATAGGTTCAGTATAAAGATATATCAATTCTACCTTTGACTATCAGTAAATACTTCTTTACGCATATATTCTTCCTGTTATGCATCCTGTCTCTATTTAAAAAGGCGCGAATCTTTTAGAAAAGAAAAAAAAAAGATTGTCTTTGACACACAAGTAAATTCTTGCTTTGTACTTACTGATTATCACATATAGAATTAAAGATATTGCATTTTTTTGGTCTCAAAGAAATAAGCATCAATAATATCCCGCCCCCCAACAGATCATACCATCTTTAGGATCCTTTTTTTTTCACGTTTACTAATGATTTTTATTGTTTCTTTTTACAAAAACGTGTTGAACTTTTTACAGGCGAGAGAGCGTGTTGAACGCAAGCTTACTAAAGGCTAAAGTGTGGTTATTCTAGACTACAGTCTAAAGTAGCTTGGCTATAACAATATAACGGGGGAAATATGGTGGATGTGGGGTTTTTTTTTCATTTGCTGATATTTTTGTTTTGTTTTGTTTTGTTTTATATAATAAAATCTAAACTTCTTTTTTTTTATGACTTTAAAGAGTGGCGGTAGACTTGATGGTCTTGGGGTCAAAGCCGGGCATAGGGAAGGAACGAGCAAACTCCATGACTTCCTTCTTGAGCTGAGCAATCTCCTGGTTACCGTCAAGAGCAGCAACAAAGTCCTTCATCATCTTTGAGCCACACTGTTCCTGGACCTTGAGAGCAATCTGGACAGCTCTGTGGAGAAGGTCACCGACCTTAACCATATCCTCTTCCTTGAAAGAACGGGAGGTAAGAGCGGAGGAACCGAGACGGACACCACCGGGAGTGACAGCACTCTTGTCACCGGCAATGGAGTTCTTGTTGATGGTGATGTGGACCATATCGCAGATACGCTCAACCTTAGAACCGGTCAACTTCTGGGGCTTAAGATCCCAGAGAACAAGATGGTTGACAGTTCCACCAGTCGCGAGCTTATAACCGTGACCAACCAAAACCTCACCGAGCTTCTTGGCGTTAGCACGAACCTGCTTAGCGTAAGCCTTGAATTCTGGGGAAGCGGCCTGCTTGAGAGCGACAGCAATGGCAGCAATGGTGTTGTTGTGGGGACCACCCTGGCATGAAGGGAAGACAGCCATGTTAACACGGTTCTCAAGATCGTCGTTCTTGTCGCGACGGAAGAAGATGAGACCAGCGCGAGGACCACGGAGAGTCTTGTGAGTAGTGGTAGTAACAACGTCGCAGAAGTCGAAGGGAGAGAGAGCCTGCTCACCGGCAATGAGACCGGAGATGTGAGCCATATCACACATCAAGTAGGCACCGTGCTGGTCAGCAATCTTGCGCATACGAGCATAATCCCACTCAGCAGGGTAGGCAGAGGCACCGCAAATCAAAAGCTTAGGACGGAACAATGCAGCGTTCTCTTCAAGACGCTGGTAGTCAATGAGACCAGTGGTCTGGTCGACCTGGTAGGGCATCGACTGGAAGTAGATGGAAGAAGAAGAGATCTTCTTCTTGTTGGTCTGGTATCCGTGAGTCAAGTGTCCACCGGAAGGCAAGTCGAGACCCATAAGACGATCCTGGGGCTGGATAAGAGCGGTAAGGGCGGCGAAGTTGGCGGTAGATCCAGAGTAAGGCTGGACGTTGACACCCCACTGCTCAGGGTTAAGGTTGAAGGCAGCAAGGGCGCGCTTGCGGCACAAAAGCTCAAGTTCATCAATGAACTCGTTACCACCGTAGTAACGAGCACCAGGGAGACCCTCAGAGTACTTGTTGGTGAGAGGGGATCCGTTAGCTTCGATGACAGCTTGGGAGGTAAGGTTCTATACAAGAATAATAGCGATTGTGAGTTGGTGGAATTGATATAATTATGCAAGGAAGATGTATATATATATATTTATATATATACCTCGGAGGCAATCAACTCAAGTCCAGACCACTCTCTAAGCTTCTCGTTCTCAATGATGTTGAAGACTTCCTGATCCTCCTTCTCGAGGGGAGTGTTGAGGCAGGCGTTCCAGGGGTCGGTGGGCTTGACGGACATGATGATAGAAAAGAAGAATAGTGTGCAGAAGATGCGATCAAGGCCGATTTTAAAGGTCAGTATTGGCCTGGTGGCTTGTTTAGCTGCACTGGTGAGCGGAGCTAGATTATAAAAATTTATGAATTGGAGTCCAATCAATGGGCGCCATCGTCAAGACGCTGTGAAGAGATAGATCATCTTGGGGGGCTAAAGCAGATCTCCAGCTAAAAGATGGTTGGACTCCGCAAAACGAGTCATTTTCAAAAGATGGCTGAGACTTGATGTATGATAGGGTTAATTGCCTAAATGATTTTTTATCTGTTACATAATACACTGTAGAGGTACTCTTTTGTAGCTTTCTTTTTATCATTAACAAAGTGTGTAAAGAAAGAGAGTTATTAAGAAGATGTACTGTAAAGAGAGAAAGAGAGAGAGATAAAGAGATAAAGAGAAATAGGTATAAATTTATGTAAAGGTTAGTCCTAGATGCGATCGGTTGCGAACAGAGTCTAGTAATTTTTAATAGATTGTTTCAATCATTAAACTCCAACGTTTCAAACTGTAGGCTTTGTTATTAAAGGAGATTTCGGATAGTTCTTATATTTTATTGTATATAACAAAAGTTTTAATAGAATGTTTTTATTAAAAAAAAGCTTGAGAAAACTTCTCAAATTCAAAATATAAACAACCCCTTCTTTTTCTTTACATTGGCTTTGACTTTGACACCTTTAGTTCTTTACTACAATATTTTCGATTGAGATAATTACTCAGAGTCGAAATGTTAAATATTACTGTTTATTTTAAGCTACAACCGTCAGTATTTTTTTCCCAATATCATATAGCATTTACGTAGTATTTATATGTTTTTAGTATTTGCTAAACATGTTTTCGCATATTTGTGCTAAAGAATATTTATAAAAGACCATAGGAATAGTGAGATCCTAAAGAAACTTACCTATATATTTTTCTTTCGAGCGTTTTTCAGTCAATTATATAGCTATATTAAAGCACGAACCGAGTGATGTATGCAAATGATTCAATGTAATGATTTACTATTTTCGTTGATAGTCTTATATACACAACTAATTATCTTGCGAATCGATGTACTATTTTTCTTATTAGGAAAATAGACCTTCTAATATCCTGCAGACCAAATAATAAGAAAGCGCGTACAGCTTTTATAAAGTCTATATATTGTAGAAATCGAAACTTCTTATCCTTGACTCTAATATATATATATATATATATATATATATATACTTACTTTTTGAAATTATAGGATTTTGCCAGCCACAGGTATTTTCCGTTCATGCAGTGACATAGACCTGTGATACATTTTTTAAAGGGTAGCCAAGAAATTGGTCTATTAGAGAACGTTTTTTTATATGCTTGGTATGGCTATTTTAGAATGTAAAAGCATTTAACTAAATACTTGTTTAATATTTTAAAGAGCAATTATAAGATGTGGAAAGAATACAGTAAATAAATAAAAAAAGGAATAAAGGGGAAAGAGAGATTTTTGGGATGAGTATATTCTCAAGAAATATCATTAAATCATACTACACAGAAACTATGGTATTTCTAATTTTTATTTAATACTTTAACCTTATACACAGCTAAAATAATTACTTTGGTTTAAGGCGAAATGATGACCACATCTTTACTGCTTTAAATAGACTTGCTCGCTATTTATTAACCATTACTTATAACAATACACTAAATTTATTCGCTTTAAAGTTTGGTACCTAGTCAGTGCTTATCGACAAATAATATCAAATTAGAATAGTATATAACAAACCAAATCATAGAAAATGTAAATACTTTGTCTATCGAATAAAAAAAAATATAACTGTGAGTAATGGATCAAATTCATCTTGTGGTCAAATTCGGACCTTTGCGTGTCGTAAATAAAGGTTGATAACACCATGAATTGGTATCCAATACGCTGCTTTCTGTGCACTTTTGTCTATGTCTCATAACACTTCATTGAATATTTTGGACGAGAGAATTTAAGAATTACTCAAAGAAATCTTCTATACGGATTTAGAGTTTGAAAATAACATTATTTAAGATTGACAACCTCTTTGTGACCACACAATCAACTAAGCAAGAAGGATATCTAATATATCACTAATCATCCTCCTCCCCATCATCCCATTAATAATAATATATATATAAGAAGATTCATACATACTGTACAATTTCTTAACGCCATAACTGCTTGCAGCCTTTATTGAAAGTTTCTATAACATTATATATAATACTGCCAAAAGTTCGAATCGGACTTTAGTTTATTTACGCTTTGGTAAGTTATGATTGTTTGTAATCTATCTTTTGCTATAACATGAATTATAAGCCTGTAACTTATATTTCGAAAAGTTTTATATTATAATAGCTTAAACCAATGTCTGGTTATCGAGCCTTGGCTATGAACTCATATCTTTAAAATATGTGATTAAGCCACAATCAAATATAAAAATGTTATATTTATAACAATTGACCTGTCGTATAAATTAATATTATGAAAAAGACAAAACGAACTTATTCTCACAAACTTTAGGTTTGCTTAAAAATATGTGTTACTGTTCATCGTATTTTTAACAAGAGAAATTTGTAATTTATATACATACATATATACATAACATAAGCATTTCTCCAAGTGTAGAGACGCAGTAAACCAAGAAAGGTTCCAGGATCAGAGTGTGGTAAGTTGTGGCCTGATACCTAAATTGACGACATTGTATTCTTTTGAATGAAGGTAAAACCCCCAAAAAAAAGATTTATCAAACAATCATCAAAATTATTGATGCTTGATTTAAAGTTTATATTATCGAAAATTAAAGAATAAAGAAAATATAGAGGGCAAGTAGAACACATTAAAGTTAAAAATCAAAGCACAGAATACGTGGGATTAGTAAGCACCTATTTTAAGCATTTATAAACAGTTCAACCAAAAAGTTGACATGCAGGCCATGTATAGATATTTATATAAAGGCTTTCAAGTTTATTTTTGATAGTTTGATCATAAAACTGACTCAAGCTTTAATACAATCAACCCTTTATGCTGTTGCCAACAAGGTAGAAACATTTGTAGACAAGGAAGATGAAGATGACCTTTTAATTAATGGGCGGGGAATATGCGTTTCTGTCCTGTACCCTAACCACATGAGAGTTGCCAATAGAATCATTAGAATTTTCGATGTGTCCACAATAAAATAATGATACTTGTATTTCGCAGTGTTTCTAATTGATAGTAGTTGATAATAAGGTTGGCCGTTTTAATAACTCAAGGGGAAACAAGTAAATTTCTGGGGAAGTTGGTACACCCATTATTAAATTAAAATTGGGTGTGGATTAAATTTTAGATAGTTCCAGCAGTTATATATAAATTATGTTGGAAACAAGTAGTTTATGTAGGTCTAGTTTTGACCTACCATAAACAATATAAAATGCAGTATCAAAAAAGAGATGTTACGTGGATTGGGATGACAGAGAGGAAAAGCAGTCAACAAGGTTGTACGCAACATCTTATGCCGCTCACTACCTAAAGAAGTCGAAGAAACAACCTCCGCTAGAGAGTATGGGGGGAGGAAGTCCTTTGTATTCCTCTTCTTGTTCTCATACTTCCTGTCCTTTCATTTCACGCTTAACATTGATTCTATATAAGCTACCAATATATATACATATAAGGTGAGGTTTGTTATTTATATATAGGGGTATCAGAAAATTCCCATTTTAGGAATATGATAGCATGAAAATAGGATAGTGATAGCAATGGTGTGTCTTTTTTTATGATGATAAATATTTGAGGATGATTATACTATATAAATATAAATAAAAGTACAAGTACAAATATATTATACTACGAGCATATAATGCTCATAGTCTGGTATTCTTCATCGTATATGGACAAGTATCGTCCGACCATTTGTAAGAAAGAAAGGAATACTACGGAGACAAGTGATTCCATAAATACGGTTAATTATAATGAATACACCTAAATCCACAAAGAAGATGAAATTCAAAGCTTTGGTTGGTTAATTTACTTTAATACATATCAAATAGCAAAAAAAAAGAAGAATAAGAAGGGAAGAAGAAGGATAAGAGAAAGTTTTATTCTGGATTGGCTATATTGAAAAATAAGGGAACATAGATGTCTAATCTTTTAGACAAAGAAGCAAGGGTTGATGTACAAATAGGTGGGCCCAATAAAAGCAATGGAAGAATAGAAATTTCACTTCTTTGCATGCCCCCTCCCCTTATTTCCCATGGACTTCTGCTCACCCGACGATCTATCCCCGCCAGCAACACCACCCAGCACTAGCACAATGAGCCTGTGTCGGACAGGGAGAGCCCGTCCAACCCTTCATCCATGCGCAATCCCTCCGACACATCAGAACAAGATTGATTACATTGGCCGGGCCAAGAGCATATTCCAATTGTTTGATGGCCATTACAAGCAATTGCTAATTACAGAACTACTGGGTTGTTGCGACAATCAGCTCCTCAGTCAGATCCATACCCTAATTGCACCAAAGCTCAAGGTTGATTTCTTGAGACAATTGCCTAGTGAGATTGCATTCCAAATACTATCCTTTGTAGACCCACCTACACTGGCCCAGTGTGACAAAGTGTCGGGTTATTGGCACTCACTTCTTCAGGACGACACGACATGGAAATCGCTGTGTTTGAAACATCATTATTGTCATCGTTTCCCGGTCCTTCAGTCCATGTCCTTCAGAAACCATTTCATCCGCCGCTACAAGATAGAGCATGCTTGGGCGCAAGATACTGGAAGCATAGTCCACTGCCCAAACGATATCGGATCTGGATTGGTGACGTCGCTTCAGATGGACGACAAATTTATAGTCGTAGGCTGTGACAACCGCCGTATCGAGGTCTATGACAGCACCAACGGAAAGTTCATTCGTACTCTTCGTGGCCATGAAGGGGGTGTGTGGGCACTTCAGTTCATACAGCTAGAAAATGGAAAACACCGGCTGATCTCTGGTGGTTGTGACAGGTGAGATTCACAAATGGTGTGAATATCTATTTGGTTATTAAACAAGTGATCGCTTTGATCAATAGACAGGTCCGAGTGTGGGATCTTCCAAATGGTTGTCCACTACATGTCCTCAGAGGTCATACCTCCACAATCCGATGTCTAAAGGTTCGCGACTCCAAGATCGCCGTTACGGGCTCGCGAGACACCACTCTGCGGATTTGGGACATAGAGCACGGGACACTAAAGCATGTCTGCACTGGCCATCAGGCAAGTGTTCGTTGCCTAGAGGTACATGGAAACTTGGTGGCATCTGGATCCTATGATGCAACTGCACGTCTTTGGGATATAGAAACTGGTGAATGTATCTTTGTTCTCTCTGGGCATCACTCTCAAATTTATGCCATCGCATTTGATGGTATACGCATTGTAACAGGCTCTCTTGATTCCAATATCCGTATATGGTGTGCACAAACTGGAAAATGCATCGCATTCCTCCAAGGACATACTTCCCTTGTAGGACATCTCCAACTCCTCAAACCTATAACACCTTCAGACTTACCTTTGCTTGTAAGCGGCGCATCCGATGGTTGCTTGCGTGTCTGGAACCTTGAGACGAATGAATGCATACACAGGATTTCAGCCCACGACAACTCTATTACATGCCTCCAAGTTGAAGGGAAACGCATCCTCAGTGGCGGTAGCGATGGTCAAGTCAAACTATGGGATATCGACACTGGTCATCTTTTAAGACCATTTACTCTCCCTGGAAAGAGCGTGTGGCGCCTTCAGTTCAACGATACAAAAGCTGTTGTTATTCTCCAGCGACGTTCTCAACCCGACACTGAGACGCTTCACACAGCCATCGAACTTCATGACTTTGATAATTATTCCAAACCATAAGCAGTCTCTTAGTATATGTATATGCATCGTTAGAAACCCTTCTTCCTCCTCTTCATTTACAACCTCATTTACAAGTCTTCATTATAAATCCCAAAGAAAGACACCACTTTAATGTAGTCATGTCATTTTGTGTGAAATATGTCGGAAGTTAAATGTGAAAAGAGAGTTGTATGTACACCTGGCTTTATTTCCTTCCTTGGCAAAGGATGGAACTTTTCACTAGATAAGGAGCCTATTTAAACCCAAAATCTTTTCAAGTATATTACTTTAACCTCTTTTCCTTCTACTTTTATTGTAAACTATCATGGGTCCCATTATAATTCCTTCTGAATACGGCTACGTAAGTACTTCAAGTATTTTCAGAACCCTTGTTGTTGCATTAAACGCTAACGACATTCACAATACCAGGTTCTTGCTACTGCTGTTATAAGTGGTATCTTTGTTGTCACCCTTGGTGCCAGTACTGGATATGCCCGCAAGGCTGCTAATATTCCATATCCCTATGGTAAATATAAATATAGTATCCATGTAACATAAAAACATCAGGACTAACACGAACAACTCCAAGTTTATGCCGAGAGAGCTGAAGCCGAGCAAGATCCCAAGAAGCATATATTTAACTGTACCCAGCGTGCCCACCAGAATACACTTGAAGCCCTCCCCCTGTACAACCTCTTATTGCTTATTAGTGGTATTGAATACCCTAAAGTTGCTTCCGCTGCTGGTTTGGTCTGGGTGGCTGGCAGAGCATTATATGCCAGTGGCTACAAGTCTGGTGACCCCGAAAAGCGCCACAAAGGCGATTTTAGTTATATTGGCTTGTTTACTCTTTTGGGTACTTCTATATATACCATCTACCAGCTACTGAAGTAGAGAGCGTATTATAGCTTACATACTTTTCTTTATTCTTCTTTTTTTTACTGAACTACATGAACTATATTGTTTCAATAGACATATGCTAATTTATAATTGCGTAAGAATTTATTTGCGCTCTATAATAAAAAGCAAAAAAAAAGAAAAAAAAAGGTACCGGGAAGGTGTCAATGGCTTGACTGCGCAGTAGATAATACAAGTGTGTTATTTGTGTGTATCCAAGATTATATTATCTCCTTTGCCAAAATGAGAAAATACACGTAATGAATTTGGCTCAAATCCACATTAGAAACAATTTTTAATAGGCCTAGAAACTGAAAGAAACACCCGGATATCAACTTGCTTTATTAAGATTTTGTCTGTTAGGCCATAATCACGCCTAAACCCAGCGTAGGCCGCCCTTGATCCTGCCATCCCACACCTGCTGCATTACATCCTCGCGGCCACCGTACGTTGGGACCATAGATAGACTCCATTTCTCGCATGAATCCACCAAAGTAATTCCATTCTGGGGGTTCAATCTTTCCTTGGCCAGGCCACACCATGCTAGTGTGTTCTTGGTGAGCTAGAAAGACATTTCTCCAGACTCGGAAAGTGTATTGCTCTGAATTAAGCTGAAGAGCATGGGATTGTTTGTCTCCACCTTGGTTCTTGAACCGGACATCATACATAGGAGTATGTCGACTTATCACATAATAGGGCTCCCATTGGGATTCATAGCACACTTCATCATACACATGAAATCCATGCGATAAACCAAGCTGGCGGTAAAGTGTCGGGCCATGTCCTGCACCTGGATCAGTTATGTAGGCCTTTTTGTTATCAAGAGCATTACGTATAGTGCTGACTTTGGTAGGTATCGGGTAGTCTGATACGAGACCAAAGCAAGGTACAACCCAAGCAATCTTGGGTGATTTTGACATCCGAGTGTACTGTTCTTGGAGAAAATTGTGTAGATTAGGAGAAGGTACAAAATCAGCATCAATGACGAGGATATAATCGGTAGTTGAGGCAGCCCATGCAAGGTTTCGGAGGTGATTAATTGGATAGGCGAGCCGATCTAGCGTGTTATAAGGAGGTTTTACAAGTGTGAGATGAATATGTTCATACGCCTTGAAGTTTTCGGGAATCTTTAAGAATTCGTCGAGCTCATCAATATCTCCTTCTTCTGTAAGGTAGCTAATGAACAATTAAATATCTAGTTAAATAAAGAAAAATTTAATTAAAATAAACATTATACTTACATAGCTATAGAAATAGGACCTTTCCACACGTCAAGCACCTTGTTAAATGTATTCAGTCTATTGACAGAGAACTGGGTGACAAGAGTAATATCAAAAGGATCCACACTAGATGGTATATGGTTCATCACAATCTCTTCGTTATATCGATCTATACTCATCATACCTCAGTATTCTATCCTTTTTCTTTCTTTTTACAGCATCCACTAGATTAAGTAATTATTTACAGCCTTACCTTTTACTGTTATTTTGAGCTGTGAAATCAACAATGTAAGACTGGCTTGGATAAAATCAGTCACCAATTCATCAAGCATCATACAATACAATCCAGTTGATTTTATTTCTTTTACCTTTGACTTGCATGGATACTAAATTGCGACACTCTGGAACCCATCCAGTCTGTCCATATTCATCCACACACGACGTATTTCCTTCCATCCGCATCCACCCTTGCTCTGGGCGAGGGCCTTCACCGTCTACTCTAAGTTCAACCTCACATCCTGGATCCACATTTATCTTTCCAAGATCTCTATAAAGGCCGTTTTCTACCAAACCAGTCCAGTTTACAGCACCAGAAGCTGTAGACCATGTAGAGCACCGCCCGGCCGGATTGCACATTTTGGCCTGGCACGCCTTTGGTTGCTCATATATAGGTTGATCTCGCAGTTTTCCATGTCGTATGGGAAACATCCACCATCGGAATAGAATTAGCAAAGATGTCAGCAACAAGGCAAGTCGTAAACGATGAGATCGCAGCTTTGGTGTATGTGATTCGAATTCATCCAATGATGTGCTACTGTTGCGATAATGACGTCGAACCGTATAGATTGATTCATTCGGTGGACTTGTTGACGTCCAACTCTTAAGAGCTTTGAAGCGTTCCATATCAAAGTTGCCTTTTTTATTATTTCTGGTTTTTTTTTGGACGACCAGGACTGGAACCTATTCTTAGTGATCGCCTTTTTTTTTTGGGGGGTGTGTGACTTCAAATTTGAAGTCCTATAGATAAATCATGTCAGGGAAAATACAGTAACCCCTCATCTAGTTGTGGTCGACCGGTTTTTTTATAATCTACCAGTTTTGATTATACTTTAAGATAAATATATTTCTTTTTTAAGGGGACTACACAACTACTCTACATGTAAGTCCTGATTTGTTCATTAACCAAATTATATTGCTTTATAGTTGGACAACAAAATGCAAAAGTAGAATTTTTGTAGAATCTTTCTATAGCTTTAATGTGCTAGGATTTTAAGTCAGATAAGAAATTTAGGGGCTCACTAATAGATCAACACCTGTAACTCCCTATAAACAAAAGTTGTATAAGAAAGGATTATAACTTATATATAGCATAGCAAAAACTAGATAGCAGAGCGGCTTATGTTGCCATCTTTGAAATTTCTACTTCGTCATAAGAATTTTCGTCTAATAATAGGGGGTTTCAACAGTCCTTTAAGCTTTTAGCTTAAGCTTTGAGTTTTAAAGTAGTAACCAATAATACGTAAGAGTTACTAAGTGTTTTTGAGTACCCTAAATACTTCTCTCAGTTCTATTAGGCATTGTGATAATAGAATTTTAAGTTTAAAGTAGTATTGAAAGAGGCAAAAATATTTGCATCAAGGATTTATTAAATTTCCAAAAAAAAATCAAATTTAAGCAAGGATGTATTGAAAGATTATAGATTCATTTCAGCCAATCATTTCTCAAATTTAAACTCAAAAGCTTAAGTTTAAAAGTTGAATAACTGTTGAAATCCCCTAATGATCCTTTTTTAACCTATTAGTCTTAAAATTAACTCTTCTTTGTCTCAATTTTATTTTCTCTTCGTCCAAAAAACGTAAACAAAATGTCTAAAAACTAATATTGATTTGTCCAGAAAAAAACTAACATCACTTGAATTTAAAGTAGAAACACTGTATTCCAATTAAAGTCAGAGATGTTCGATTTCTCGTTGGGTTTTAACTCTAAAGGTTTCCAAAAATCCCAAAATTCTCACTGGATAGCAATCTCTTGTTAACAAAATTCCAAAGTCTACAACAGTTAACTGTGAGAATTTCTAGCTGTTAATTTGGCACACAAGAAACGTTTTATAAGGCTGATGAGACAAAGTAATATATGATAATGGCACTTGGGAAGAAATGGAAGAAAAGAGAGATCAAGAAAACTGAATGGACATGGGGTAAGGACGACCCTATTTTAACCACAGTAAATTAATGCATGTAAAAAGTACAGGTCAAAAAGATTATTCTTTGTGTAAAGTCTTTCGTCGCTTGTTTGTCGGGAGCCCACCGCCAGGTTTGTTCCATGAGAGGTAGGTCGGGTCACCCAATTTTCTACGTAGATAATATGTAAGGAGAGAGTTTTCTTTTTGTTTTACCTAATTAAACTTCATCCGTTTTCACTCTTTACATACCTTGGCTTAATACAGTGGCGAATGGTAAAAATAAAACCAAGCAAAAGGCACAACGCACCAATTGCCATATAGGCAATACCAAGATATGGGTTGCGCCCACCTAAAGGAGAAGTAGTTGAAAGTACAATCCATTTCTCACCACTGTATTGTACAGTATCAAAGTCTTGAAGAGTGGTAATAATAGAAAGCCATTAGTATTGAGATAATTTTTTCTTTTTTGATTGTTTACTCACTCATATCAATGTACACACGCCATCTTCCAGCAACCAAATCATCATTGTCATTTCTTGCCCATATCTTACGGAAGTCAGGAAGAGCCGCGACATGCATCCAAACCATCAAACGCTCCATAGAAGATAGATCTGGTGGTGGATTACTGTCGTCAAACTTTCCATTGGGATATCTGAGAGCCCAATTGGGTGGTGGTACTATCTCTGATGTTTGATACTTTGTAGGCTTATATTTTTGTTTGTCAGTGGGCCAAGCAATGCCAGTTGTTTCAAATGAATAAGTGGTAGCGGTGGATTGATCGACGGAAATAAAGTTTGAAGCGGTGTCTATAAAATATTCTCGTCAGCCATTTGTAGGAATTCGTTTACCCAGCCTACCGTTAAACATCGAATTAGCAATTAATCCGCACGGATAAATAATTCCGTCGTTTGTGGATGTTAATGGATCACAATTAACACCAGCAGTACCCGAAGATACAGCATCGCCTAATAGCTGGTTTGCGTCATAGTTCTTAATATATTGTCGATGATTCTGATAGAAATTTGTCAGACGATAATACATAAATATTGGGCCAGTCATTGTTCTAGGCACCGTGAAGTCAAGTATACACTGTGGAATGACCAGATTGTTTGGGTTATTCCAAGTAGGGTCGATAAAGGTAGACGAATTTTGGTAATGATAAGCAGGGACTTCCATGTCAGTCATATTGGCATCCTTGTTGAACAGATAGCTGTACAAGCTGGGTGCAAGGTACACTGGCTCAGCATATTTTGTGCAATGAGAATAGTTAATCATTATCTCATCGACCTAGATTTCAAGGAAGAACATATTAGCTCAAAGATCTATTCATTTATATCTCGAATCCTTACACGACCGCTAGACCAGTATAGAAGGCCTCCAATTGGTGTAAATAGAATGCCAATGATGAAGAATGTTGGAAGAACAGTGCGTGGGGTAAGAACAGGCTGCCAAGCTGGTAAACGCTGTTGTCTAAAGGCTCCATCTGAAAAATGGCGTAAGTGTATTTGTTCGTCTTGAAAAAATTCAGAAAAAGAAGTTGATTTTACCAATTGGCTTCTTTGATTTCTCTTCTTCCTCTGACATGATTCACAATAAGAAGAAGAAAAAAAGAGGTGCAGCCACTTGTCCCGATGAATTTTTCTTCATTTGGGCGCATAGCCCAAAGCCCATTCTCTCACGTGATAGGTTATATTGGTGACATTTGGTGTGGTGTGGAGTCACACAATAGTTCATTATTACCACACATACACCTGTGTGTTGGGTGAGCGTGTGTTTCAGAATACAATTATAGTATAGTAATGCGGATGACCCCTATACTGTAGAAGTACAATTCTAGGCACCAATTGGCTAAAACATTAAAAGATGTACACTAAGAAAAATATAAAGAACTTATCAAGACAATGTTAAGGATGAAAATATAAGCAAAATAGGTTTAGCCAGAAATTTAATATAAATAAATATGCATACCTGTATTAGGGTAAACATGTACGCTATATAACTCTAATAAGCCAAGACCTCTGCACCCAATCTTGAAATGATTGATAGCATAATTTATCTACATTCTGCCCTGGAGTGTGCCACTCGCATTTTAAAAGGTTCTTTTGAAACACCGCGGCCTTGGCATAGCGATAAGTTTATATACTACAAAATACAGGCAGTCACACTTTCCTGAACCTGAAAGAATTCGGCAGGTCCGGCACAAGCTGTATTTCTCTTGTTATTCATATTTCTCTGCTTAATTCATCTTTTTTTGATGCATCTGGTGCATTCCATCTTTGCATCAAATCAATTTTTATTTTTGCAACGAATAATTTTCGGAAAAAGTGTATAGGAAGTGAAGTTCATTTTTATAAAACACGTGACATAATAAAATTAAAAAAAATTGAAATTGAAACACTTCCCCATATTAAAAGATAGGTCACGATGCTCAGGGTCATTCATATTTGGTGTGGGCAGACTAAAAGCCCAGAAAGAAAATAGCAAGAAAAGGGCAAAACGAGCTCATCTTGAAGTTAGTCAAGCACACTAATTTATGATTGACCACACCTTTCATTAAAAAAAAAGCTTAAAATTAGTTCAAGTACATATTAGGTAAAACTGTGCTTATAACTCCTTGCCTGTCATTAAGTAAAAACCTTTTATTGCAATTTTTTTTAGGTATTGCATGCTATAATACATTGTTCCCATAAAAAAATGTTCTTCTTCTCAATCCTAATGGCAATGGAAGAGGACTACCCAATCGAACTAGTTTAAAAAGGGCAAAATATTTTGAAGCTGTCATCCAATAATATGGCTTATACTTTTTTTTTTACCTTTTTTTGAACTATTAGGCTGTCGACTACTATTTCTTTTCCTTTTTTTTAAAAAAAAAGTGACTGTCTGCATTCTGTGGGGAAATAAAGGAACTTTTGTCATAGAAGTAGCTTTGATTAATCTGCTTCATTTATAACCTTTAATTATATATCGATCATAGCCCAAAGCCTTAAAATCAGCCAGCTTTAACTTAGCCACGAGCTTATAGCCATACCCAATACTCCACAAGCCAACTGAGCGTACAATTTTTTTCGAGTACTTTATATCTTTATTTTGCTAGGAGGAAAATACCTAATATTGCTTCTTATATATGTAAATACAAGGATAAATAACTTATTTTGAATAAAACATATTGCTTTGAAATTCAAGTGTCGATATTCATCGAACACAACGGTAGACCAATAAATCCTAGAAAAAAAAATGTTAAAAGTCGAGTGACTTGGCTTTTCATTACGAGCATCAAACAGCTTGACTACTTCTCTACCTAGAATAATTATTCCACAATGTCTTTACCAAATAATTCATCACCCACGCGAAATAATTCCCCTTATACTTTACGAGATGGTGGTCGATGGACTGTTGACAACTCAGAAAGCAGATTTCTGAAATCATCTATTAATGTATGTACACATTCATTACAAATTCAGATTCAACAATAACACTCGATATTTGGTCTAGTCTCCAAAAAAGAGCATCCTTAAAGGATCGCGTACACCAAATACATTCTTTAGGCCGCATTTCTTTCATAGTCAAGAGTAAATTAATTCCTACCATTCTTAAAGTACAAATCAAAAGTTCTAAGCAACTCATCTGCATTGTTCAATGACCATTTTCAGACAACGCCAACGATTACTCCAACAAGTTGAAAGACGTGTGAGCTTTGCTCCAGACCCTAGTATTCGGTATGATACTATCATTTATATTCAAAGATTGATACTAAATGTATTATATACTCATTTTATAGCACATTTAACGAAAATGAAGCATCCTCCAGCGTTAACCGTGATACAATAGTGAATCAGACTCAAAGATCTCATTTTTCTCAAATGTTTGGTGATAATATGGAGCAAAGCTTACATCCGAATCCAAATCAGGATACAAAGTAAGGGTCAACAGCGCATAGAAAAAAATAAAGCATTAGTGGTGTAACCATATCCTTATTTATTTTAGTCAACAGTATACCATATTATCAGGGTCTCCAATACATCGTAGAAAAAGGTATTGTCATAACTGGACAAAGATTGAATATAATTGACAACTAAATCTTACTAAACACAACTCTTCTTATAGAACATCCGACCTACTTGGAAGTCCTTTAGGAAACGAGAAAAGCCCCAAGTTAAATTTTGGGCAGAAAGTACGACTGTTGGCCATTGATCGACTTAAAAGAGATGAAGAGGGGAATGATGAAGATACCTTGATGCGTTTTTTAGAAAACTCACATCAAAAAGGAAAGCGAAATATATTTGAAGATATTGACGATGAAATACATACACATCATAACTCTGATGTAGAACACACAAACAAAAACAATACTGTAGACCTTATTACAGAACGAACGGGTCAATCAAAAGGAGACTATTTAAAGGAGCAGGAAAATACATTACATTCTATGAATTCAGTACAAGATTTATCACAGCTCACTATGAGTGAGGCTCATACCATCAATATAGACTACGAAAACCATATAACACAAGAGTCCCCGCCATCTCTGCTTAATGCTAGTATTATTGGTAGAGGGGATAATGACACACAAGACGTACTATTCGGACAAGATTTATCACCGAATATTTCAGAAAGAATTGAGTCCAATTACTACGATGCCGCAGATAACTTTATGTTGCAGGATTTCAGCATACTAGATACATCTGATATGGAGCTGACACAAGAAAATCAAATGTATAAACAGGCATTGGATACACTCCGAAAAGAGAGGAATGAAAACATAGACCATGCAAGATCTACTCAATCAGCAGATCGTATACCTGGAAAAAATCACCGAGATGAGACAGTCGCTATACAGTCAAAACAGACTGCCCGATCACCTAGACCAGCAGAAAGAGACAATATACGCCAAGACTACACATCTGATATGCAATTGACACAAGAAGTACAGCAAATTGAACAGGACAATAATGACGATAATTACAGAAATCATACTATTGATATGCAACTGACACAAGAAGTGCAGAACTTTGAACATGACAATAATGGAAATAATTATGTTTACCATAATTCTGATATGCAACCTATACAAAATATTCAATCGGTACACCGCAAGCCAATCGATATTAACCGGGAGGATAGTGATATGATGCAATTAACGCAGGAAATGCATCCATTAAAGCAACCTTTAGTCGGTAATCACCTGGAAGAAGCAGTCGACATGCAATTGACCCAAGAAACTCGATTATTTAAACCGGATGTACCTGATGACTATTATCAGGAGGAAGCTGGTATGCTACCAACGCAGGAAGTAGAGCCATTTAAAACAACATCTACAGATATTGGTGGCAAAAAGGGAAGTGTAAATAGTCAACCGACACAATATTCTCGACCAGTCACTCCAGTATTTCCTCGCACACATCAAGGAACTATAGTTGATAGACGTTTGATTGAGGGTACTATACAACTTAGTCCAATCCTTCCCGTTCGTTACCAAGATAGTGTAGATGAAATAGACGATATAGACGACGTAGATGATATGCAGATAACACAGGAAGCGAGACAATATGATCCATTTTATTCTACCTACAATCAAGAAAAAAGTCCAACACAAACAACAAAATCTAATCAATTATTCAATCATAAAGCGACAACTGATTCTCACCAAGATGAATATGACGATGATTATATGCAGATTACACAAGATACAACACCATTGGATCGTATGCGTATAAATCATAATGAGTCTTTTAACTATCCAGAGCAGAGCTCAAACCTGGCAAAAGAATCCACTCAAGAAGTCGGAAACTCACTACCTAATACTCCAGAGACACAAAGACGACACACACTTGATCAAACTCACGGCCAATCTCTTATATTTGAAGATCCGGTAGATCAAACAGTCTCTATTGAGGACACCCAACCTATCCATTCTCCACTACGTCAATCAACCGCATCACATATTAATATGGGCTACACAACACCTCTTGCCCTGAGAGAACTGTCATCCGTAAGACACAGTGTCAACTATCTTAGCCCCTTTTCGTCTCTTCGTTCTCGGTCAGCAATTCGTCCTCAGTCGTTTCACGGAAGAAGCGGATTTCGCTCAGCAATTTCTCATCGCACATCCTCTATTCATCCAGAACATGGCACCACTCCAAATCACTCGGAATTTCTATTTGAAAGTTCAATAGGACAATCTAATCGAAATCCAATATATCTTAATGCCTCACAAACCTCTCGACGACGACGATCTTTAGGGAATTCAGAGGCAGATGTATTTTCAAGAGAACAAGATAGCTCCATGGATATTTATAACCGTAAGCTTTAAATTGACTAGAAGAATTTTCCAGTAAAAAATAATAATACATTAAACCATAGTTCTAACTCAAAAACTTATTTAGAAACAACCGAGAATATTTTGGGAATCGATATAGAAGGGCTTTATGAATCCCCAAGAGTAGAGGTAGTAATTCCTTAGTTCTTTGAAAAAAAGGCACTTACTTATTTTTACATATTATCTTTTGTAAACTTATAGCCATTGTTTCCTACTCAGATGTCATTACCTTCCTTCTTGAAACACATTGGAATAAGGTTCGAAGAAAATATATCTAATGATAATAGACCGCCTACAACATTCTCGGTTGAGGAAGGTAAAGTTATTGTCTCTGATTTATGTACCGTATTTATGTTGGTTAAATGTATATTTGTATAAATTGCTGTAGCTACCCCTGCTACTATGGCCGAACAAGCAGCCACAGCTGCTACTACACTACCACAGCTAGAAATTTACAAAAAAGTAAGCAAAAACTAACAAACTAACAAACTAACTAACTGACTAACTAATACATGTATCTAGATGTGTATTGATATGAGGAATACTCAAATGCATTGCAAAGAAGTTGTTGAGAACATATATCGTGAAAAAGATATAGAAAGCCAGCAATTATCCAAAGAGTTTTTCTCTAGTGATGCAAATTCTAGATGTGAAATGATTGTACGTAAACTGTGTTTTTGTATATGGTAATAAGATGTCCTATTAACATTATTGCGTTTATATTAATAGAACCGACTGAAGCTGATAAAGCAATTATCTCTCATGAAATCAAAGACAATTGTAGATGAACAACGGTCTAGCCAAATAGAAGGACTAAATGAGAGACTTCGATCGACGTATGAAAAATTGAAACAAGTAAGTGGTCAGGGTGTGTATGTGCGTAAATATATTTAAGTGCTAATATATATATATATATATTGAAGGATGTGAATTACAATAATACATTTGAGAATAATCTTGAAGAAAAATTGCCAGAGTTTTACGCTTATAAATATAGGGTAAATAGTGCTTTTGGAGAAGCAAAGAAAAGGTATATATTAGATCTCATATTCAATGATACACTTGCTTTTTTTTAACTATTATTATTTTAGAGAAGAGACTTACAACAAGGTCGACCACGAGGCAATGGGTAGATTAGAAGTAGAGATCGATGAACAAAGGTTAGTATAGTACCTAATGCGAAAATACCAAAACATTACTCATATAGATATATTATAGAGCGGCTATGCAAGTATTCCGAGAACAGAACGAGGAGTTAGAATCAGAAGAATTTCAACTAAGGGAAAGGTCAGAAGCGCTTCAACAACGCAAGGTCGAATTATTAGAGGTAAAAAGAATAATAACTAAAGGTATGATATCAAGTTCTAACTTTTCTAACAGGCCCTGGAACTTGCAAAGAAGATACGAGAAGAGAACAAATACTCAACCGAGAATGATGTTGCTCAAGCGAAAGGTAAATATAATTTTAGACTTTTAGTATCAACAAGTTAACCATTTTACTGTCATTAATAATATATAAAAGAACGCTTCAAGAATAATGCGTCTAAGCTGCAATTAAATATCATCAAGAAAACAGAAGAAACGACTGAGGTGGTGATAAGCAATGACATCAGAGTAACGATTAATATCAAAGAACTTAAGAAAAACCCATGTGAGGCTGTGTCTGTTCGGGTAGAAGAGAACAGAAAAAATGTTCACGAGGAATTTACCGAGCTTATTCATGGTATCAATATGATTATAAAAGACGAAAAGAACCAGTACAAGGTGGGATAAATTTAATCCACAATCAACCTAACTATTGAATTAAGTTTTGATTTTTGGCTTACTTTTTTTCTCATGAAAATTTAGGTTTTGCAAAAGATAATATTCTATTGGCATAGAGTGCGAGCCATTCGACGTGAGATTGTGTTTGTAGGATGGAGGTTTGAATCTGTATTGAAGCCCTTAACTGGCGAATCTTTGACCCCAGATAAGCGAGGCGTCAGAGTTGATATTACAGTATTTAGCTATGTCTCAAAGGTCAAATTCAAACTATCGTTACAATTTGTATCAAACGATATTTTCTTATACCCGGCTTTGGACCTTTCAAATGTAGAAATTGTGGTTAGCTATGGCGACGTACCGTAAGTATTTCATATAATGAAAAATATTGACGATAGCTAAATAATGGTAATTTATTTGTAGAGTTGAAAAATTACGTGGGTTATTAGCAGAAAACGGTATTGTCAATCTAGAGCGTACCCTTTGCAATTTTCTTAGTAGTTTACAAAACAAATAAAAAAAATCTTACAGATATGTAATGTATATAGTTGCCTCGACTTTATCGTTACTTTTCTCTAATTATTTATTTAGTTGCCACAATTACTACATTTCTGGGTGATACAATGGAATCAAATAAGGGCCAGACCCATACACCCTTTTCCGGGTTTTTGCTATCCTTAATTGAGTCTTTCAAGTAAATCCAACGATCGACGAGAATTATACTCTCCAAAACAGGAGCTAATAATGCTCGCAAAGTCCATAGAATGGCAATTTGTTTGTCTACCTGCCTATCTTTATAGGTGTGATAATATTCTTCGGCCTCTTCGACTGAAATTGAATCTGCAGGAATATTCAACCGTTTCAGTGCAGCCTGTACATAAACTCCAAACGAGAGAAAGTCTTTTTTTTTGTTAAGGCGACCAATTATGGGTGGTGAATCAGCTGAAGCCAGACCCTTTTCAACCATAATGAACTGAGTTCTAGTGGTAAGTATGTACGCTCCTTTAGATAGACTATAATATAGACTTTACCTGTAACAGTGCCCTAAAGAAATGATGCCCAAACGCCTTTAAACTTTCTTCTTCTTTATCTTGCCATCTTGAGGGTGCTTGACAAGCGAGCATACATGCCGTAGATCCCAGGCGATAACCCTTTGATTTCAGTACCCGGCTCATTGGGAATCCAGTGGACTCATCTTCAGTTTCAGTTAGGAAATGATAGCAACACCCGACATTAACCAAACATTTCATTTCATTACTCTCAGTAAACATTCGAAGCATCAAGCTAGTCAGGTCGCCACATGCATGAAGACCGCACACCAACCAATCTTCTGGTCTATCTATATTGCTCCAGCGAGCGAGAACATCCGAGGCGTTTTGAGGTGACATAGTATCGGTAACATGGTGTATTTCTAGAGACGCCAAGGCCTTGTAGCCTTTCATAGCTTTTTCGTCAAACTTTTTTGCTCCACAGGTTTGAATAGTGGACGAGTCAACTGCTAATACTTTGAGATGATGTTGAAATGCAAGCGCACGCGACAGGTAACCTTGGCCAGCACCAAGATCAATAATGGATTTTATATTTTGGGTTTCCGCGACATTATTGATTAACGCACTCATACGTTCAACCTAATCATTCAAAATAAATTGAGTTAATATATATATATATATATACGAATTTCCTTGCTTTAAATGTAACTTTTATATTACTTCATGAATCTTCTTATCTGTCATTCCTGGCAGGATATGTCTATCAATTACACATTTGGTCTGTTCAATATTGTCTGGGAAAAAAATAAAAATTCAGGTATCAACAATCAGCTACACAATACATCGCACTGTATATTTATCTCGCTGTATTGGTTTACGCATACTCAACATCCTGGTGGAGAAACTCTTGGAAGGGCCAATGCCTTGGATTTTTTAATATAGTCTTGAAGGGAGTCTGGCCAAGAAGACTAAATATAAACGTAGTTATAATGTGGCAGTTTATAAGTTAGTTCGATAAAATATTTAATCTCTGAAAATACATACATCAATATTGCTTTCCGAAGCAATCTGGATCATCAAAGATAGCCAATCCGACTGAGCCTGCCGATTATGATGCTGTGCAGGATCGGGTGAAAGGGCCTTCCGCCATTCGGGATCTAGGAGCTCCCACTGATTATAAGTGAGGAAGTCGACGACATGAATGTCGGTTAAGTGTCGATACCTTTCAAAAAAGGTAATTAATTCATCAAGATACTCTTCTGGAGAGTTTTGAGCACATTCAGTTGGAAGATAAAGCTCATTAGCAGGTAGAAAGGCAGAAGGTGCCATGTTGTTATTGGTATCAGGGTTGGAAATAGGCGAACGTTTTATTTCATACTTTAGCGAAAAAGAGGTGGCTTAACGACATCCGATCAATGCTTAGAGAAGCCAGCCACTCACAAGTATTCAACACCAGCTCAGGGTCTCCCATGTTCTGTGTAAGCTGCTTTTCCGTAGATATACATTTGCTTAGATCCATGGATTATTTATTGTTGTCTACCCTTACTTTTGTCAGCTTAAATGAAGTTTGCATTTAGGGGAATATTTAGTCCAGGAATCGATATATATATATATTGCCCAATTTGAAACAGTAATAAATATTTAGCTGCTTTTACCTGGATGGAAAAAGAAAAACCTTTTTTTATTTACTATCGTAAGTTTTGAGTTTATCTCTTTCACAAGCATTAGCAATATTAATAATGCTTTTTTTAAATACAATACCAGATTTGTCTAGTTTAACATGTAATACATTCCTCATCCAACTCCCCTTGAAATAATGCATGTCTTTACATGTTGATTCCGTTCATGTACCACCCCTCTAAAAACTTCATTAGAATATTGGCCACAGAGTACTTTAAGGGACATCGGTTCGTGACATTATTGTACTTGAATCATTTTGTATTTCTGTATAAATAGACCGAAGTTTCATTTTCAAAATAGCTTTATCCAATAGGGTCAACAACTATACAAATGCTTAAGAAATGAAAGCGCTTTGATGTCTATTCCACAAAAACCAGGTATATATTTCAGGACTTTCTTTATTTTGACTATAATTTGTACTGATTCTATTATTTTATAGAAAACTACAAAAAAAAACTCTTCACTTTATATACCACCTAGTCTAGAGATGACCTCAAGTCGACTTCTTTCTTTTTCGTTTCGTATAACAACTGTATAGATATGTCCATCTTTGATAGACTTAAGACGAGTGGCAGCATATAAAATGGTAAGTTACTCTGCGACAGACGTAAGGTGTCCAAGTCTCTTAATCTAATATTTTTAGCGCCAGTTAAGGATTTCATTACCTAAGACGATGTTTTACAGCATATACACGAACACACAAAGATTTATACTGCATCATTTACCTTTACCAAGCCAACCACTCTAGTCAAAACAAATTATACACGCGCAAAAATAATAACAATTCCTTATATTTCATTATAAAACAATAACAATAACAATAACAATAACAATGACAACAACAACAACAACAACAACAACAACAACAACAACAACAACAAAAACAAAAACAACAAAATTTCCAAAAAAAAAAAGCATTTTACTGTAACCAAAAGGACATCTTCTGGACCAGCAACCACATTATTTACCATATATGCCCCAGGACACCACTAAATTTATTTATTCCTTTCATTACTACATTGGTTATCTTTAACTCTATATCATTCACGCACATTTCTCATTGTATATAAACCACCTATACCACATTCAACTGCTAATACCTTTATCAAAAAGTGTGCATTTATCAAATAAACTCATGTCTATTAAATTTACAAAAAAAAAGAAAAAAAAAGTTCAAACCAAATTTATTTATTATTCTTAATAATGATCCGTTCTGTCGGTATTAATTTCTCTCGGGTATCTTTAGAATATTACTGACCAAACTGAATTTTGAATACGTATGCTCATAGGAGTAAACGCCTAATCAATAATTGGCATGCGTTGCAAGAAAGCTCGACACTTTATAGATTTTATGTATCCCTTTTTAATAAATGATAATTTAGTCTGTTATTCTTATTTTTATCTATACTTAAGAGAATGCAACATGACTTTTATATATACTCGTTGATTCAAGGTCATCCCATAGGTTATACTCTTAGTTTTTACAAGATATAGCTATAAATTGGTTTGTGTGATTCACGTATTTGCCTTATATAAATTCTGTATACTTTCTCTTTCATATATTTTATTATGTTTTTGTCTTAAGAACTTCAAATAGTTTTAAGAGGGAGTACATGGTTGGCTTCTAAAGTACACGACCGCATCATTGTTCAGGTACAACATAAAATATATTCTTCTGATGGAGATGCGTAAATGAATTGTACCAACGATATTTTTGAGTTTTTCCCTACTTCTAACAAAGTTCTCCCTTGTAGTTCTGTTTGGAACACAATTTTGATCCACGGAAACAAAATCTACACCCGTTTTGGTCTAATAATGAACCTTGGCATCCATTTTAGAAGAATTATTGGCTTAAAAATGATACAACCTCTAGTATTTCAAAAATTACATTGAATACACAAATATTGAACATTTAATATTCTAGTAATAAGTACAAAAGATTCTTTTGGAGTATTGCTTTGTATTGATTAGAGTCTATTAAGCGTTATATTCTTGATGTCTATCACCTGCCTTTTTAATCCTTTTCTTTAGAATAGCTCCAAAAGATTCTTTAAGAAAGTCTTTAAACTAAAATAGAAATCGCAATTTTATTTCAAATTAAAACTTAAAGCAAAGCAAACCTGAAAGCGACACTAGCAGCTTCTTTAAACAATCTTTAGAACCGTAGCTTTAACGCTCAAATTTTAGAAGACGAAGAAGAAGAAAAAAAGACTTAAAGATGAAAATTCAAGGGAACAATATAAAAATGAAACTAATGTAAATGACAGATTATTTACAAATCTTGAAATATTTTTGAGATGTAAAGAGTATGATCCAAAATCTTAAGATATTAAGACCACTTAGGCATAAATATTTTCTGTAACGAAGCTGTTGTAGCTGCCCTAAAATTTCATTTTTTTTTACCATAGTGTAAGTATATATATAATAAAGAGGGTGACTACTTGTTCATTTTTGAATAATGCCATTCACCAGCGTACGAGGGAATTGAAAGAAAAATTACTTTTCATAGTAATTTATTCGATTCCGAATGGATATATTTGTCAATTCCCTCGATGCAATTCCCTCGACAATTCCCTCGTACGCTGGTGAATGGCACAAAAGAGCAATATATTTCTCGAAAGTTTAACCATTTTTCTTTTCGAAAAAAGTACTTAAGTGGCAGTGAAATTACTGTACTTAGATATTTATTCAAATTTAGTAACAGATTAAATGAAATTAAAAATAATTATATCCAATTAAAAAAGAAAAATTGCCTAAGTTTCCTTTTGTGAGCAGCTGAAATTAAAATTTTAAGTGTCCAAAGAATAAAATAAAAAATTGAGATGGTCCGAAAGGGGCTTGAGGTCCGAAAACCAAGTAAAAATACTAAAAAGTCAGCCAGTACGAACACAAATCTTCAGTCTGTCTTTATATCAAGCGCATGTTTTTTTTTTAAACTTTCGGTTGTACGACTACTCCCCCATCAATCACGGCGTTTTACGGTGTACAGATGCTATTTTCATGACAGGAGAAACTGTACTGCCACATTTTGATGATTACGGAGTAAAGAAAACAAAACAGAATTATACCTAGTGTAAAAAGATAGTAAAAGATACAAAGAAAAAGAAACATTGATAATTAAATCATGATTTGTTACCTCTTTATTAATAACTTTACTTTCAAGCTGTTTAATAGACATTGAATAACTACCTTAATATGACAACCTCCTGGTCACCAGATTCTAAGTAGAAAGTATCAATACTATAGAGAACGAAGCTCAAAGACACACAATGGTAAGAAAAAGTAATATTAAATAAAAGAGTAATTTGGAGTGTAAAAGTGTAGCCCTATCATGCAGAAGTATGTTCTATTGCGTGTTTTGTCTCCGCTACTTTTAATAGGCATCGTTATGGCTGAACCCCTTTTTCTGCTCATTTCCTCACCTTCTTTTCCTTCTGTTTTTCTCTTTATATTTTACGCGCTTCCTCTCTTTATCTGTCTTTTTGTGCCTCAATTATGAGTAGCTCACTTCCATCGATACCCGTATCGCCTTTTATCAAGGCGTTGCTCCAATGCGCAAGTACCCTTGCCCAGGCAACAAAAGATCTTTCAGAGGCCTCGGCAAGACCTCCGACCACCATCAAAGCCAAAGGAGAACTAACTCAGCTGAGCCAGCTGGTCCAAAGTCAACGAAACTGGATTGATGATTGGACAATGCAGATGCATTCCGTTCAGGGTGTAATGCCATCTCATTGGGATGCAGACATAATGGCAAGACAGATCGCATCGATTGACAGTCAGTTGTTTGATCTTGTTGTACTTGATCAAACCTCATTGCTTCACATTGAGACCAGACAGAGCAAATGGAAGCCTGTCCTAGACTTTCATCGGTATCTTTCCCACAGTTTTTCACATCAGCTCATCTACTTTTCTGGAAATCCAACCGAGAGTGATCCCGAGACACACTTGGTTGCATACCTTGTACGAGTGGCCTATTTACTTTTGAATACCTACCGAGACTTTTCGGGGTTCGCCGCAATTGTCTATGCACTCCAGTCACCTGCTGTCCGTCGTCTGCACTCCTTGTGGAAGTCTTGCCCTTCACTTTCCTTGGCCTCCATAGATGAATACCTCTCGGTGCTATCACCCGAGAATACATACGAAGCCTACCATAAGATGCTTCATAACACACTTGTTCCTTATTATACACGCGATCAAACCACAACCAAGAGAGTAGCTGTACCATGGGTTGAGGCCCATGTGGGTCGAATTGCTTTAAATCAGCGCCAGGGAGATCGAAAAAATGTGAATCGCCAGATGAGCATCACTCTAGGCATCTTAGAATTATGTCAACGCAACACGAGCACACAGCCTGCTGCTTGGATTGAAGAAGCCCTCAATTTTAGCGGCACACTTATATCTCCTCCTCCCCTTCCTCCTCCTTCCAAGGGCTCCTCCTCCTCATACAGACCCTTTCTGGACAACGCATTAGCCAACATTCCTGCCCTCGATCTGCGATTTATCCTTCCAGAAAACTCGCTCGTATATCATTGGATTGTATCCAGAGTCTATATGTCTGATGAACAACTAATGGAAGAAAGCTTTGCAGCTGAGCGACCAGTTTCTGCTCCAATAATGATTCAATCTGCAGAAGAGATTTTGGAAGAACTTGGTTTAGAAGAAATGGAAGTAGATGCTGATGTCGATAATCAAGAAACAGAAGAAGTCAGACGAGAAGAAATATTTGATGAAGAAGTTTTGGAAGAAGATGAAGTCCAATACGAGGCTCAGCAACAAGAAGAAGTTATTGAAGGGGATGAGGGTCTATTTAATGATTATGTACCCCTCTCAGTTATTGCTGAGCAAGAAGAGGAGTACGAAGACGATGTAGTTATGGTTGCAGGTGGCAGTAGCGTAGATCAGACAATCCATGCCCAGCAATTTACAGATTCTACGGTGGGTAAATCATTACCTATTGTATACCAAGAAAACTCTGCACCTCAAGTAATCGATGAGACGCAACCTCATACAGATATGGGAACCGCTGCTACTACCTCTGTCAACAATGACATCCCAAAATCAGCAGATACTAAATCAGAAACACAAATAGCAGAAACGGTAAAGGAACATCAGGATGATGATAAAAATAAGGAAGAAGAAGAAGAGGAAGAAGAATGGAGAGGATACCCTGTATCTACAGAAAATGATGACGAAGAATCAGAGAAGTGGGAAGGTTATATTGGTTCTTTAAGTAACACCAATTTACCAAATACAAGCGAAGACAAGGAGGATGTATGGACAGGCTACCGTGAACCTTCAGACCCATCATCACGTCGTGAATCTTCACTCTCTGAGGCATCCGCCGAATGGAAAGGCTACTGTGCTACATCTGAAGAGGCCAAATGGGAAGCAGAGGCCCGCCTGAAAGTAGAAGAGAAAGACTGGCAAGGCTACACTCTTGAGACACTGCCAGATTCAGATATGGAAGGTTCTTTATGTTTAGATAGTCAAGATCAACGTCATATGGTAAGGCAATCGTCAGACCAAGATCATGGATATACATCACTCCAAAACACCCAACTCAAGACTATTGGTAAAGCAGCTGCACGCAAAATTCAGCAAGGACCTCCTGTCAACCATACCATACCTGCCTTCTCCCCATAAATAGCAGTAAATACAATATTTTTCTATAAAAAACTCGATCTTAACAAATAGCACTGGGCCTTTAACGCAACCAAAAATAAAAGAAACATACTATAGTAAATTCAAAAACCGGGCCAGCAAATGTAAAATTTGTACTCCGCAACTTATATCTTCTTGAGTTCTTATTCTTTCGCGATAGTTTTAATACACTCTAGGACGTCTGCTAAAGAGCTACAACATACTATGCTAGTATAGATATATATATAGTATTAATAAAAAGTTATATGAAAAAAAGTGGAAATTTTCAGTGGCCCGGTTTTTTAGGTAAAGGTATCTTTTTTTATTTTTCATTAATAAGATACCCTTTCTTCAAAATGCATTTATGCATTCTGCTTTGCATGGATTCAATTAGATTCTTGCACATCTCCTCTGGGATACTATCCCACTCATTCTGGAAACGGGATCACAATTCCCTCATTGAGCTGGCTGACTCTTCATATTGGTAGAGTTTACCCTTTGTGTACGCCCAAAGGTTTTCGATGGGATTAAGGTCAGGCGAAAACGGTGGGAAATCAATGACCTCAATCCCCTCTGCCTTCAACCACTTTCTGGTATTGGCTGCAGTGTGTGACCGGGCGTTATCATGCAAAAACATGATATCGGACTTGATGAGATTCTGCTTCTTCAAGGTCTTCAGTAAGCCCTGCTCCAAAACTGTTACGTATTTTGGGCTTGTCATGGTTTCATTGATCTTGAGAAGCTCTCCGTGACCTCTGGACGAAAAGCATCCCCAAACCATAACGTGTCCTCCAGCACGAACAGGGGAAGTCTTATCCTTATATTTTTTAATTGCCGACTTCTTCAACTTCCACCTCCATCTCTTTCCATCCGAGCCAAAGCGATTCACCTTACATTCGTCTGAGAAGACAACACACTTCCAGTCCTCCACGGTGAAGTTGATATAGTTCCTTGCGAACTCCATAGGCTGCTTGCGGATAGCGGGGTTTGTTTTTACCTTCGGAGGTGGTTCCAAGGTACAGATGAACCCAGATGCTTTTAGCAAGGTGCGGATTGCTGGAGCCTTGACAGCAAAACCTTCACCACATAGCCGTCTCTCTGCCTCTGTTGTTGTCATAAATTCCTCATTTAGGAATGCATAGATGATATGGTGGGCGAGCCTTTCATCGATTTGGGCAGGTCTACCCCCAGGAACTGAGGTAGAGATGTTCAATTTTCTTCGATATCTCTTGACAGAAGTCTGCGAAACACCAACAATCTTTGCTACCTCGGCTGTAGACTTTCCATGTCTAAGTTCAACTTCAATTGAGAGTATTTTGTCGCGTGAGATGGGAGAAATTTTTGTTTTAAAGTTGAGCAAAGGAACAAGGAAAACTCTGAAAAATTCAATATAATATATCTATTTTGTTTGCATGATTGTGATGTAATGACAAGACACACTCCGTATAAAAATTATCATAAAGCAGTTCTGCATTGAAAGTAAAGAAATAATGCTTTACTCTATTTTTTGGCCCATACCTAAAAAACCGGGCCACTGAAAATTTCCACTTTTTTCATATAACTTTTTATTAATACTATATATATATATCTATACTAGCATAGTATGTTGTAGCTCTTTAACAGACGTCCCAGAGCGTATTAAAACTATCGCGAAAGAATAAGAACTCAAGAAGATATAAGTTGCGGAGTACAAATTTTACATTTGCTGGCCCGGTTTTTGAATTTACTATATTTATTGCTGTTGGTGTTGGTGTTGGTGTTGCAGTTGCTATTACTATTATTATTATTATTATTATTATTGCTATTGTTTTGTACATTGGTATAAGCTATCTCTTTCTTTGAGAGAATCATGTGTCGGTGAGTTTTTATGGCTTATGTAGAGTCCCTGTCCTTTTCAAATGGCCCCATATAACGATTCGTAAGGAAGTCAAAGGTATCAACATTTTGAGTTGCTTGGTAAACATGGTGAGGCACCAATAGCTTTTCTCCTGGATCTGTATCACGTTCCCTTTTCCATACATCCATACTTGCACCCAATAGACGCTTAAGAAATACACGCGTAGCCTTCACAGAACGAGCAGAAATAAGTACATATCAAATTGATATTTGTATGTACGATTTTCACAATTAACTTACTTGCGCCATGATATTACCAACTTCCAAACGTTGGTCAATTGCACCGTTGAGATCAAATGAAGGCGTAGGGCCTTGAAGACTGCCGTCCCGCGCCAGTGCTATGTCGTTTGCCACCACAGTTTTGAGCCGTAACTGGTTTACCACAGACCAAATCCAGTCCACATACCGCTCGTTTGCAACATTCATCCTCTCATGGGTACCGACTTCTCGTGCATTCTCAAGTAAGGTTCGTTCAGGAGATGGTCGCCTTTCTGTATCGTCTAATAAGACCTCGTGTGTTTTCTGTGTTGCACTGGTATCTACATCAATATCCATATCCTCTATATATATATATATATATTCAGTCTCATAATAATAAATAATTCCGTATTTTACATGTACTCCCTGCATAATCTTTTTTTTTAAATATACTTGCCTGCTTCTTTGACTATGTCCCATCCAGGCTCCAACTGATTTAGTAGATGTGACACACTTGTCACGCTACTCAATCCAGATGCCCGTTTGCGCATTGACCAACCAGGTGGTCTTCGTGGGCATGCTTCCTCAGCATTTACATTTCTATCGTCGTCTTGACCATGCAATTCCCGCAGACATCCACAGAATTTGCATATTCCCATGCCCTCGTATGCAGGGGTAGTGTCACTCATTTCTGACTTTTTGGGTGTATGGCGATTATCTTTGCACCATCCGATCACATCTTTGGTCGATAAAGATGTAGCCGCTACTCTTAATACAGTGTCCATGGTTTCAAATGCTTTCTGCTGGACTTGGATACGCAAAAGATGTGCCCTATGCCACTAAAATTTCCATCAACCAAAACATCCCCTTTTTTAGTTAAAATCACACAGATATCCTTAATTTTTTCAAAGAAAATATATTTATCACTTACTTCAAGAGCTTTTCGCTTTCCAACTGACCAATTAAAGTAAGCGCGCAAACTTGGCGCACATGTATAAGGTAAAGCGACACCTTGCGAGCCTAAAACAAAAAATCATTGAGAAGAAATAAATAAGAAAAAACAATATTTTAGACTTTAGACTAACTCACCAGCGCGAATAATAGGCAGTCGCCGTACAGATTCCTTAAGAATACCATGTAACAAGCTCAATCTTTGTTTTGAACCTGTTGTCACTAAAGGATGAGCTTCTTGTATACCACTCTCTTTTGGTAATGTATTTTGGTGAACAGTAGCAGACTCAACCAACGGTTTCGAAGGTATTTCAATATCCTTGAAGTCTGTATTTCGATCCAATTCTATATCTATTCCACGTTCACTTCCTAAGACTTGTTTTCCAGAATGCACATCATCCAGCTAATGTGTTTTTGTTTTTGTTTTAGGGTATTGACAACAATAAGTATACACTTAAACAAGCCAGAATAGGTTTTCTTACTTTTAAATGATGGATTACATCGATTATCTTGTTACGTCGTTTATCCACAAAATGAAGTTGGATTCTGATAGGAAATTCTCCCCAGCCAAGGCGAGTTAGTCTAAACGGTGGTTCGTTAACATCTACAACATCATGCGGCTTATAACTCGGGTGAAGATGAAATCGCACTCCAGTAATAAATGCAGCAACTTCTTGGGCCTACACAAATATATATATACATTAGACTGCATAATCCCCTCAAAATTGCTAGCCGCAAATACACTTATTTATATTTATTGACAGTTAAATCACACTTTGTTATATATACCTGAGGAGGCTCCACTACATAGATCATCCATTTGTGTGTAAAATGCTTTAATGTAGGGTCGCGCTTTTCTACGGGAAAATAAAATTTAATAAGCCTAAAATATACGAGACCGGCTGACTTACCAGGTATTATGAATTTGCTCACATTTCCAACTATTATCCGACGTTTTATATAGAATCGAGACCCTCCTTCATGGGCTGCTGCAAAAGATTCCACGGGTGCAACTATTTGTCCCACTTGTCCCACTTGTTCCTCCTCTTTTTGTTTATTATCACGCCCTTTTTCATCTATCTTTTTCTCATCCTTTTCCTGTTTTTCCGTTTCCGGCAGGCATTTAGACGATTCGAAGGATCGTCTTTCAGGTGAAGGGGAGCGCTTATTATTGTGTATATCTGGTTCATCGTCTTGCTCATTTATCGATTTATCGGGAGTCTGATTATCCGACTGACTGTTACGTCTGCTTTCAACTACATTGTCAGTTGGCTGCTCTGTGGATGATAAAGTTTCTGGATTCAAAGGCTGTGTATCATTTTGGTGTGGTGCGTTCCCTTCATGGTCCAATTCAAGATCCACATCCTCTTCAAACACTTTGATCGTAGGCTATGGACCACCACACGCAGAAAAATAGGGCATTTTTAGTCTTCCCCAATAGTATTTCTTTTTGTTTGGCTTGGCTTACTCGCTCCTTCTTCACCGAGGACCTGCATATTCATTTAAACAATTGATATACACATACACATATTGATTTAGAGCAATGCTTTCGTTCAATTATAGCTTTATATTCTCGTTTTGAAAATGCTTCTTACCCTTGTGTTGATAATGGCACTGGCTTTGTCACAGGTCTCATACGAGCAGGGTGATCAAATGGTACTTCGGACTCATCCACAACTTTTCCACATCGTAGCATAATTTGCTCATATGGACCAAACTCTAGTCCATGAGCCAATCGACAGTGATTCAAAAACCCCTGTTGATTTGCGAAATCGTCTCGTTTACAAGCAGGACATGACAATCTAAAATTACAAGAATTAGCTAACCCTTCCTCATTAAATATTTAAGATTTCTTGCCTAACATAGAGACCATCACTCCGTCTTCCAAAGAGAGAATAACGATGAACTGGCTTGGAAATTTTCTTCTTGGGTAACGGAACCGGAGGAATGTACATGGCAGCGGCTGCAGTACGTCTGGTATAATGAGATGCTTCTGGAATTGATGATGCCATTGATTCTAATAAACAAAGATATTTTATGTTGATTTATATAGTGAGAAGACAACCTATATTTTTTGGGTCCTTAAGCTTGTACCATTCTTGACGGCAAGGGTAAGATCCTGCATTGCACTTTCTGCTTTTGCAATCTCTTTTCGAATAGTCGCTAGTTCACGATGTTTTAGGCATAATTCAAGATCGAATTGGTGGTCTATTATATCTGCGATTTTTTTTCGCGTTGCATCGTCTGAAAAGAAGTGAGGTCAGCTTGCTAGTAAAAGAAATGCATCCAGAGGTTATAATGGATTGTACCTCTCGGAATCTCTCTAGTTCTCCCTAGATTCTCATTTTTTTTACTCGAATCTTCTTCTATGCAATTTATGTCTGTACTATCTTTATTGTGGTTCATAATGCCCTCAGTATGAGCTTCTTCAAGAGAAGCATTTTTGCGTTAAAATAACGTAAAGGCACTGACTGTGGTTCAAGAGTGTGACGTTTTATTGGTGACAAGCCTTTTTCCCTTCTCTCGTTCACTCTTTTGATATCTAAAGCTCTCTACTTCCTCGCCTGTCGGAGGCTAACAGAAGTTTACGCGCTTGTACAGAATAACTATCAGCAGCCTTGAAGAGCTTAATTTTTTCAACTACACTCTCTAGCATACAGAGAGCCATTTGATAAACCTCAGTTCCTTTACGATTATACATTAAAGAATTGGTTAGCATCAGCACAATATCCCTCTCGAATTCAGCGGTTGTCTTTATGATCTGTGCAACCAAAAACAAAAATTTAGAATATTATAATTCATTCCTTCATAATCCTTACTCCGTCGCGAACACGAGCTTTGATCATTTTAAGATCCATAGGTTGACGTACGATGGTGTAATACATTGGAGCATTGGCCTCTTTAATTGGGTTCATAAATATTGTTCCGTTTTTGTGGTTAGCAATTTCCTGCCACAGCAAAAGTATATTCTTTTGCCACGACTTTTGTCTCTGGTCTTCTCTTGACCGTTTCCGGTCAGACGAAGGTGTGGAAGGTGTATTTGGAGCAGTCGAATCGCCTTCCTGACTTGCATTTTCAACAGGCTCAAGGTCACCAAATATACTAATATCGGCTTCTTCTTCCGTTTTTACAAAATGTGGAGGATGCCATAGTGTGTTGTGTATAGCAGGGCATGTTGAGGGGGCACTTGTATGACTATTACATGGTGAAAGACAGGGCCTTTTCTGAACAGAAAAATCTGAAAATGTATCAATAGAAGGGGACTCTTCAAACTTTCGTTTGTTCTCTTTGGTAGTACAAGATGGGCTGATGTGTGGAGTATGAGGAGGAGTATGTCGCAAGGATGGTGATCTGGTATTTAAATGAGTTGTTTCGATTGTTAGACAAGGTTGTTTCCGCTCTTGCTTAATGGTGTGAGACGAAGGCACAACATCAGAAGATGACGTTTTTTCGGGTATATGGCAATCTATTGAAGGGTATGTTGAGTGAAAGTTGTTTTTTTGCTGTGATTGTGTTTCGTATTTTTGCGGCTGTAGTTGAGGTTGCTGCGGTTGAGATCGAGGTTGAGGTTTAGGTTGTTGCGGTTGCGATTGCGGTTGCTGTGGTTGAGGTTGAGGTTGAGGTTGAGGTTGAGTTTGAGGTTGAGGTGGTTGAGGTGGTTGCGGTGGTTGAGGTGGTTGCGGTGGTTGAGGTTGAGGTTGAGGTTGTGGTTGAGGTTGAGGTTGAGGTTGTGGTTGAGGTTGAGGTTGAGTTTGAGGTTGAGGTTGCTGTGGTTGAGGTTGCTGTGGTTGAGGTTGAGGTTGAGGTTGCGGTTGGGGTTGAGGTTGCGGTTGGGGTTGAGGTTGAGGTTGGGGTTGAGGTTGAGGTTGAGGTTGCGGTTGAGGTTGCGGTTGAGGTTGCGGTTGCGGTTGAGGTTGAGGTTGCGGTTGTGGTTGAGGTTGAGGTTGCGGTTGAGGTTGAGGTTGAGGTTGAGGTTGCGGTTGAGGTTGCGGTTGAGGTTGCGGTTGCTGTGGTTGAGGTTGAGGTTGCGGTTGAGGTTGCGGTTGCGGTTGAGGTTGCGGTTGCTGTGGTTGAGGTTGAGGTTGCGGTTGAGGTTGCGGTTGCGGTTGAGGTTGCGGTTGCTGTGGTTGAGGTTGAGGTTGAGTTTGAGGTTGAGGTGGTTGAGGTGATTGCGGTGGTTGAGGTTGAGGTTGAGGTTGTGGTTGAGGTTGCGGTTGAGGTTGCGGTTGAGGTTGCGGTTGCGGTTGAGGTTGAGGTTGAGGTTGAGGTTGAGGTTGAGGTTGAGGTTGAGGTTGAGGTTGAGGTTGAGGTTGAGGTTGAGGTTGCTGTTGCTGTTGCTGTTGCTGTTGCTGCTGTTGCTGTTGCTGCTGTTGCTGCTGTTGCTGCTGTTGCTGCTGATGCTTATGCTGATTCTGCTGTTGCTGCTGTTGCTGTTGCTGCTGTTGCTGCTGTTGTTGCTGCTGCTGTTGCTGCTGTTGCTGCTGTTGCTGCTGCTGCTGCTGCTGCTGTTGTTGTTGTTGTTGTTGTTGTTGTTGTTGTTGTTGTTGTTGTTGTTGTTGTTGTTGTTGTTGTTGTTGTTGTTGTTGTTGTTGTTGTTGTTGTTGTTGTTGTTGTTGTTGTTGTTGTTGTTGTTGTTGTTGTTGTTGTTGTTGTTGTTGTTGTTGTTGTTGTTGTTGTTGTTGTGGCTGTTGTGAATGCTGTTGCTGATGCTGTTGTTGCTGATGCTGATTCTGCTGCTGCTGCTGTTGTTGTTGTTGCTGATTTTGCTGGTTATTTTTCTGATTTTGTTTTTCTATAATTTGTTGTTGTTGTTGTTGTAGCTGTTGTAGATGTTGCTGTAGTTGTAACTGTTGTAGCTGCTGTAGCTGTTGTAGTTGTTGCTGCTGCTGCTGTTGCTGTTGTTGTTGTAGTTGCTGTTGTTGTTGTAGTTGCTGTAGTTGCTGGTGCTGTAACTGCTGTCTTTGAAGCTGTAATTTAAGTTGTTGCACTTGCTGTTGTTGGTGATGCTCTTTTTCTTTCAACTTCTGTTGTTGCAAATGTTCTTTATTGTGCAATGTTTGTTGATGTGTATGTTGACTATGGTGTTTATGTTGCTTATTTTGACTGTTTTGCTGCTGCTGTTGCTGCTGTCTTTGCATTTGTAAATTCATGTGTAGTTGTTCAAGCTGCTGTTTTTTTCGGCGCTGCTCTAATTGTTGAAGCTGCTGCTGCTGCTGTTCCTGGAGCTGCTGTTTATAGAATTGTTGTTCATGGAGTTGTTGTTCGTGGAGTTGATTTTCATGGAATTGTTGTTCCTGTATATTTTGCTCATGGAAGTTATGCTGTGGTTGCTGCTCTTGGTGTTTCTGTTCCTTGAACTTTTTTTGTTGCGGTTGTTCATGGAACTGCTTCTGCTGTAGTTGTTCTTGAAGCCGATTATGTTGCAACTGTTCCTGTATTTTCCGCTGTTGTAACTTTTCCTGGGTTTGTTTTTGCTGCAATTGTTCGTGAAGCTGTTTCTGCTGCAGCTGTTCCTGTTGTTGCTTTTGTTGCAACTGTTCCTCGAGAAGCTTCTGTTGTAACTGTTCCTGGAGCTTCTTTTGCTGCAACTGTTCCTCGAATTTCTGTTGTTGTAACTTTTCTAGGAATTGGGTTTGCTGTAATTGTCCCTGAATTGATTTCTGCTGTAACTTTTCCTTTGCTTTCTGTTGACGTAACTTTTCCTGCGATTGCTCCTGGTGTTTCTTCTGTTTTAATTGTTTCTGCTGTTCAATAATATTTTGCTGTTTTAAAGAAGCCTGATACTCTGCCTGTTGCTTTTGGTCTTCTTGTAATTTATGTTGTTTTTGTTGTTCCATTTTCTTTTGTAGCTGTAGTTGCAGTTGTTGCGGTGTATCCGTCTTATTTGGCTGCGCCGGCTGTTGCTGGTTTATTTTCTTTTGTTTTTTATCAAGATCTACTAATTGAATAGAAGGAGATTCTGTGATGGATGATGAAGATGAAGATGGGGATGACGAAGCAGACGGAATCCAATGTCCTCGTTGAATTGTGTCAATCTCAGACATCACATTCATAAATTCTTGTTCGTTTTGTTGCAAGGCTGCTTTTATCTCAGTAATACGTTTTTGGTGCAGTTGACGCGCTAATCGCACTACGACAGGATCAGATGACAAGGACTGAGACAATCTTTTAAAGTTTATGTATGTGGTGAGCTGGAGTAATATAAGACAACAGGAAACCTACTGTGGATCAAAATCCTTTGCTAGTTGATGATATTGGAGCGAGCATGTCTAAAGAGGTATGTGAATATACGATCAGGTCATTTCTCGGGACTCACTATAGTGGTGTAAAACTCAAGAGGTCGGTTTATAAGATGGTGGTTGCGTAGACACTGCTGGATTTGTCTCCAGTCTTCTCCGTGTTTGTAGACAGCCTGTATAAGAAGGAGGTTTTCAAATGGGGTCCAATGATGTGGCATCTCAAACAATAATTGAAAAGGAAGGGGAGATGAGCATGCTAATAAAGAAAAGACTATTGGCTGCCACCAAAAAGAAAAGAAAAAAAAGAAAAAAAAACTTTTTTTTCTGTTTTAGGATGTATCGGATGGTGATGGCATGGGAAGGTTACCTCAATGACATCACACTTCTTTAATAAAATGAAAATGTTTCTAGTCTCTATAGGGCATTGGGAGCGAAGGATCAGTTGGAACATACTTCCAAAGCCCTTCAATATCATAGGATTGACGCACTTCAGGCGTAAATAGATGGATCACAAACCGGCCAAGATCGATCAATAACCAGCCTGATTGATCATTACGGCCCTCGATTCTAGGCGTTGGTTGGGCAGCGAGTTGATGAGGATGGGATCTGATTGTTTTGCGTACTACTTGCTGTACATGATCCGCTACACTTCCAAGGAACTTGTCTCCTTTAGGGCTTTCCGCGATGATCATATAGTCTGTCCAGTCGCACTTTTCACGCAAATCCAACACCTTTACATTCTCCATCCTATTTTCCTCTAACATTGCTTGAATGGTCTCTGCTGTCAATTCACCTGACTCCATTAATTGTTTTGACACTTCCTGAATAGCCCAACGATCCTGTAGATGACCATTCATTGCTGTGCGTTGCCACAGAGGAATAAACTCCTCATTTCCTTGCTGATCTTGATTCTCAGCATCGACAAACCATTCTGTGTCTACTTCACCAGTCTCCATGCCTGTGTCGTCTACATCTGAAAGTACTCCTTCTCCAGTAATTTCTGTTGGTATCGTCTCCTCTTCAGTGGGGTACAATTCGGGATAATCTTTAGGATCTATCTCTTCTAAATCGTCTTCTGCTTCTGAATGCACTATAGGAGGCGTAGTAGGGTTCCCCTGATTCCATGCAAGAGTTGTCTGACTGAATTTACGCAATACAATTGTTGATCCACGCAAGATCTGAGGTTGCGCAAGAGTATGAGCAACTACAGGTGCACGAATAGTGCGGGCGAGACTAGTAAGACGGAACATGGTTGAGAATCTTAATACTTTGTGTTGCTCTGCCCTGCTTCTTCGTTTCTAACGAACAAGTTAAGTCACGTATATTTCGGCGGTGATTAAATATTGACTGGTGTTCTGAGTCAAAGTATACGAACTGAGGGGTTGTAGGGTTTGTGTGATTTGTGTCAAAATGGTTCAGCGATTTTTTGCGAGGTTAAGTATCAATAGAAAAGCTGGACTGCCCAAATAATGGCCTTACCAAACTTTTTACTAACGTTGAATTTTTATACTCATTCTCGTACATAGTAAGTGTTCACATAGCTGTGATCGACCGGTTCTCCTTTTCGCTTATACAGCATTTTCATTTCTTAGGTACTCACGGTGAAACGGTAGGTGTGGTAGTTGCTGGCTCTCCACCCTTCGGAGAACGAAATGAGCAAGATTAAAATATTGAAATGGGTGTAAGAACGAAGCAGTGCCAATTATCAGTATAGGCCATTTCAGAGGAATTTTAGTGAAGCATAATAAAGCAACATTTTTACCTCACTAAAAAAACACTTTTATTTTTCTAAAATTTTGTCGACTAATTCTTGCCCCCATAGTCCTAGCCATAAAAATATTATTTGACTCATATTAACTATTCTGAGTGCAGATCCATTGCCTTGAAAACGCACCTTCTTGAAATAATTGATTCTCCTTTGTTACCATGTCCCTATTGAAGACATACAACCCTTACAAGCTAGTAACTTGGCTGTAAGTATTTTACAGTTTGAGGGCCCTTTTCATAAGAGAGTCGTAACCAGTTATTTTGCCTTACTCAAGTATCTTACGTGTCACAATCTTGAAAGGAAATGTTTACTGACTTTAGAATCAAGTACCATATTTATACTTAAAAATCTTCCAAATTAGTCGATCGAGCAATTTGTGTCGTTCGAGTAATTACTGCGACCACCTAAAGAGCCAGATTTTATGGTGAAACCACTTGTCATCAAGTAGCTATTCTCAGTACTGTGAGAAACTATTTTTTCTAGGGAGTCCTATTTGGGTTTTAATGTGGTCTCTGGGAAAATTTTGATTGAAATTCACGAAGCGGATAGTCAAAAGGCAATATGAATCGAAATACCCTGATATGACTAGTTTTAGGAAAGAGATAAAGTACATACCTGCAACAAGATATGACCTTGCGATTTTGTCTTATCATTAGCGTCGTCAATAACCGAGTTCCCCGAGGGTTGTAAATAGACCTTATCAGAAACAGGCCGTGTTTTTCGAGCATCTTGGGTGTATCACAGATCAGGTGCAGACGGTACGGGCCTTTTATACGATCAGTACCTTGTAACAAAGCTAATTTTACTGAAGATTATAATTAAGTGTTATTCTAAATTAGAATTGCTGTATTTTATCTTTCCTATTATTTCTTATCGTATTTGGGTCATGCATACAATTAAACTCCTCAAGACAAAATTGTAGTTATACGACCAAAACGTTCCACATTTGCGTGTAACAAAAACGAATTCAGAGGCAAAAACGACAGGTCAAGATCGAAAAGTATATCTTATTATCGCTTTCTGTAAAAGGTATCTGAGTAACCTAGCTTTTAGGTACAACAAAAAGGTAGACTCCTGTATTCTCCGTGTGCAAGGATGAGTTATAATATGTCTACATAATAATATATCATAATTGGTAAAAGGTACGATGTACAACTGTCATAAACAAAGGTAGTCCTGTTTATTCGAGCTGAATCATGGATCTATAGCCTTAACCTACTCATGTTATATTTTAAATTTTAAATTTTTAACATATGTTTGATGAGGTTGTGAGAAATAAAGTGTGTGAATTAAAAGTAATATGTAAACCAAATAAGGGCACTTGAGAAAGCAAGTATCATGTGAGTTAAACTTAATCGTAAAGAGAGAGAGATATAGATATGTCGATATATTAGATAAAGTTAGTACTTTAATCTATCGAATATAAAAAGGGTCAAGAAAATCAGTATATTTTCTAGATCATTTACTTTCTTTTGAATCTATACATCTTCTTTTTCACAATGCCTCCAACAGGGAAAAATAATGTTGAGACTATAAGTATATCCAATCAATCCAAGGTTGAAGCAGACACAATGATCCATGATAAAGGAGACGCTGTTTCATCTGCTTCTCTTGAAAGCCAAGCCCATGGGGAAGGAGGCTTAAAACGTAGTCTCAAATCTCGCCATTTGACTGTAAGCTTAATAGTTACTTCTTAGCTTGTACATTAATTGACTTAATCTTATTACGGAATTATGTAGATGATCTCTCTTGGTGGTGTCATTGGTCAAGGTCTTTTCTTGTCTTCAGGTGGAAATCTGGCAGCGGCTGGCCCAGCTGGTTCTCTCATTGCTTATGCTATCATTGGTTTCATCGTGTTCTGGGTTACCTTCTCATTGGGTGAGATGGCAACTTATATTCCTGTATCTGGATCATTTACCATCTTTTGCCGTCGTTTTGTGGATGATTCTTTTGGAGCTACTATTGGATGGAATTACTGGTAGAATATCGCTTCTTCAAAAACTTTTTGATACCCGTATATCATATCCAATACGCGTATCTCACAATTAACCTTCTAGGGCTTGTTGGGCTATTATCGTTGCAAGTGAATTGACAGGTAAATTTATTATATGATACTTTGGTTTCAATTAAAAATACTCACTACTCACTAATCATCTGGATTCTAGCACTTCCTTTGGTTATGAATTTCTGGACTGAAAAAGTACCTTCCTGGGCTTGTAAGCTTTGGATCTCATAAATATGGCTATTTTGAGCGATTAAATAAATCTCATCAAGTATTAATATCTATATATATGATGGAAAAATAGGGTCGGGGATTTGGCTTATCGTAATCTTTGTTCTCAACCTGTTTGGTGCTCGAAGCTATGGTGAAGCTGAGTACTGGTTCAGTGTGGTACGAGATCAGATAATCAAAAATACAATTTGGCTAACATCAAAAACAGATTAAAATTCTTGCTGTACTTATCTTTATTATTGTTGGCTGTTTTACATCTGGTGGTGTTATTGGGTAAGTCTAATTCCGTCTTCCTAGATTACAAAATACTGATATTATCTTTTCGATAGTGACGAAGTATATGGCTTCAAGTACTGGGTCTCTCCTGGTGCATTTACCAATGGTGCTCTTGGAGTTGTAAATGCATTTGTTTTGGCCTCTTTCAGTATGCAGGGTACCGAAATTGTTGGTATCACTGCTGGTGAATGTGGAAACCCTCGAAAGGTTAGTTGTACAGTAATATAAATCATAGATACGTGACTTATTCTTCTCACACCTTTGTATACAGGAAGTACCTCGGGCTATTCGAAATGTGTTCTGGCGTATCATCATCTTCTATCTTGGCTCAGGCAAGTTAGTATATAACTTGATATTGTTGATAATCTTGCTAATATATTTTTCTTCCTTAGTCTTTGTCATGGGCATGATAGTACCTTCTAATGATCCTCGAAACTTGGATAGTAGCAGTGGAACAGCTACAGTTTCCCCGTTTACTATTGTATTTCAAAAGAGCGGAATTTCCGGTATCACCCACATTATGAATGCGGTTATTCTGATTACTGTAATATGAGTAGAATAGTGGTACGATATACAGAGAAAATTAACTATGTGTTGTGTCAATAGGTTCTATCTTGTGCGAATAGTGGAATGTATGTAGCTAGTCGTACACTTTGCGCTCTTTCCCAGGAGGGGTTAGCCCCACGCAAACTTGGTAAACAACAATATACATCATACAACTATTTGACTTATCTCTTTGTCTATATATTTAGCCCATATTACAAATCGTGGTGTCCCAATATACGCTCTTCTTTGTACTGCTTTTATTAGTTTGATTACCTTTGCCACATCATTTATCCCTGGAAAGGCTCTCTTCATTGTCCTTACCAAGCTTTCTGGTGTAGCTGGTTTTGTCACATGGGGTGGTATCTCATTTGCTCACTATCGTTTCCGCAAGGCTTACATTTCCCAGGGTCGTAAACTGTCTGATTTGCCTTTCGTTGCTCCTTGTTATCCATTTGGTGACATATTTGGAATGATCGCATGTATAGTCATTGCTCTGATGGCTGGTTATTCCTACTTCTCTCCTGCAAGTGCAGTCGGTCTAATCGGTAACTACGCCGGTCTTATTCTCTGTGCGGCTGGGTTCATTACTACCAAGCTTTGGACTAAATCAAAGATGGTTCCAATCGATCAAATTGATCTTGATACCGGGCGCATGGATATGGACTACTCTAGTTTTGAGGACGAGCCTGAAGTTACTGGTCCATGGTACAAGCGTTGGGGTGCCAAGCTTATTGCTATTATTACTTAATTACCTTTTACATTAATGCTTCTGTCATATTTACTATTTTCTTTTTCTTTTTTATCCTTTATTCAATGTGTATGTATAATTATTTCTCCTCTTTGTAAAAACAAAAGCAAAATATTACAAAAATAATTAATATTTTAATGAATATATATAAAAAACATATAGCTCTGTAATTAGTATATTATCTCTATAACTTTTTTATTGGACAGGACCTAAAATGTCTATTCAAATTAAAATATTGCCATTCACCAGTGTACGAGGGCATTGAATGAAGAATTACTTTTCATAGTAATTTATTCGATTCCGAATGGATATATTTGTCAATTCCCTCGACAATTACATGGTCAATGCCATTCACCAGTGTACGAGGGAATTGACAAAAAATTCTAAAATAAGGACTCTAGTTACAAAAAAGGATGTACTAAACAAACATACTTTATAAAGCTCATTTTCTATAGCCAAAATGAAACAAATCATTAACAAAAAAATAAAAATGAGCAAGGTATTTTAGTAAATACTTAAAAAGCAGATGCTGAATAACAATCTGTATCGTATATGACGTGACTCAATTCCCTCGATGCAATTCCCTCGACAATTCCCTCGTACGCTGGTGAATGGCATATATGCAAAAATAATATGAGATTTCGTAAATCATATTGGACATATTCTGAAATCCCATAAATAGTATTTGCCCAAAGTTCCGGCTCACCACGCGCTTCTACCATTCTGCCTGCTCCCATCAACTGTCTGATGCTCGTCCCATCCACCCTCCTCTCATCCCACGACAACTTCGCTCCTTCTGGTCTTTTGCCCTCCCTCACCGGGCTCGGAATGTCTGGTTTCGCGGGTTGCACAATAAGCTTTCGTGCCGAGCACTTCTGTACCGCATCATGCCATCCACCGTCTCTTTTCCTCTCTGCACTATTTGCCAGGTGTCCATCGAGATGCAAGAACATTTTCTTCTCGCTTGCCCGTTGAAATCTGCTGTGTGGACAGGAATTTGGTTGGAATTCTTCGGCACCGTCCCTCTGCCCTCTGTCCTCTCAAACGCTTTCCAATCCTTCGTCTTCCCCCCACACTTAACCCTGCGATCCCTGCTTCCTCCGTCTTTGGCCTAACTATCCTGGCTATTTGGGATCACCACTGGTCTTTCCACTTTAACTCTGTCCCTTTCCTTCCCTCTGCGGTGCTCTACACTGCATGCAAGTCAATTTCTCGTCTCTGCTCTGAACTAGAGCTGGACTCTCCATAACTCCTCCATTTTTTTTAAAAAAACAAAACAAAACAAAAACAACCATAAAATTTAAAAGCCAAAAACATCATATAATCTACAAAACCTTACAAACAAATATTTTAATTTTCTCTTTTCCTATTCAATCAGAGACCTTTAATAAAATCCTGAGCTTTTTCTTCCTGGCTCCATACAAAAAAAAGTATTTGCCCAAAAGTAACGTTGATAGGTTAATGTCTGGCATGTTATTGGCCATAAAAGTTGCTAAAACGCAACTGAGTTGCGCATACGGAGATTTAAATACTGCCATTTACCACAGTGTACACTTTCCTCGACAGAGAACTTTAATAAATCTGAGCCTGTCACAGCTCCATACAAACAAAAAATTCCTCGAAGGTCGCTATTCACTGTAAGTAATTTTAATTTACTAAAAGATGATATTCTATTGGCAGACTTTATAACTCCGTAATCGTAGGAAATATACGGATTCGTAGAAGATATACGAATTCGTATATTTCCTACGATTACGGAGTTATAAAGTCTGTCATTTACTACAGTGGTATTCAAGTTATGTCTGCATGAATTTAATCCTTGACTTGTGGCTGTTCATATTAAATTCTTTCCCTTTTACACGTTATTAGGGCATAGTATCATAAATATAAACATACTACCTATTTAAGCTCATGTCTTCAAGTCAAAAATCTGACATGACGAACATTGCACCTTTTGTGGCAAAGGTAATTTCACATTAGAATCACGATTACGGAATCACCCTTAGTTTTATTAACAGAAGCTATATTAATCCTGGTAGTTTGTACGAGTATTGCATTCAAGGGAGGTAAACATAGAAATTCCCTATAGCCAAACCCAATTCGGGGTTGTATTAATGGTTGATGTTGTTGGTAAGTGAAAGCCTATAATAAATAATATTCTGTGTGTAACACTGTTTTGGTCAGGCTTCAGCAAGGTAAAAGAAAATCCTTTGATCAATATCTAGTGTACATCAGCTGAATTGATCAAATGGCGTTAATAACCCATAAGAAAAGCTCTCTACGCTTGCAGCTGAGAAAAGCCAGTCGGGTGCAGAAGCCATTTCTATGGAGATCGGTGCCTACATGGGCGAGGTGAGTACATAAGTATTATAGAAGCACGTATGGTAAAACGAATTTATGCCTTGAGTATTATTGTCTAATATAATTATTTTAGTGTATACAAATAATTGAATACTTCGGTGGAGATGTTGTAAAGGTAAAGCAATCCATATACATATATTTCTAAGACATACTAATATGCCTCTGCTTAGTTTCTTGGTGATGCCGTCCTTGTGTGCTTCCAACAAAATATGTATGACCGTCGTCTTTCGGATGCTACATCGTCTGGTAGTGAAAGTGGGGAAAATTCATCGCAGACTCGCCAAAGGAATGTCCTTGTTAGAAAGGCCATCGAATGTGGGCTACAGCTTCTCACAAGATTATCTCACTACCGTGTTTATCTCACAGCAGAAGAGCGATCCAGACATCGGAAGCTTAGTGCCGATGTTGGCCAAACTGTGCCCGCAACCGGGCGTAAAAAGGTGGCTATTTTTGGTAGCCTTAAGCCGCTAGGTTCTGAGGAAAGCCTTCAGCCTCAACCTCAAAATATAGATCTCTCTTGGTCGGGAGACAACACGATGTCTTTTGACAGATGGAAATGCTTCAACTTTATCCTTGCAAAAAATAAGAATCTAAAATCTTCCCAGTCCTCTAGACGTTTCAGCTCATCCAGTGAACACTCGTCTCACAACTGCACGAGTGCGATCGATCTCGAATTACATATAGCATTATCATGTGGAGATGTAACGAATGTGGTTGTTGGAGACATTGTCTCTAATTCTCTCCCTCCAAACGACAGGGTTAATGTCTATCCACAATTAAGAGCACCAAATCAAGACAGTATTCCCCCACTTGGCGCATATTTTCTGGAATACTGCGGACGTCTCGAATACGCTATTGGTGGTCCCGTTGTTGACGCTTTAGATGACGCACTCTCAACAGCCAAGGCTGGAGAGATGTGTATTACTCAAGAAGCTCTCGATATAGTCCGTGCACAAGGGATGATTCTTGAATGCGAGCAACGAAAAAATTATTATATTGTTCGAAGTTCAGAATACCAGTCAATGTTACGTAAACCTGGTGTAACTCTAAGACCACAGCCTTCACAAAAGCGTATCACTAGCCAATCAAGTATTGGAACTGTGCTAGATCGACGCAGACTTGCCATGGAGCCATTGATCCCTCGTGTTCGAAACTCATCTTTTTTGAATTTACCTGTGAATTCGAACCCGCATTACTTCAAATATATTAGCAGAAGTTCTCTATATCGCCTTCAAAACAGTGCTTCTGGGGACATACTTGCACAGTTTAGAGAAACTACGATCATGTTTGTCAGCTTGGGCAAGATGGAAGTGGTAACCAAAAAGGGGTTAGATATAGTTCAAAAGGCACTTGTTACCTGTCTTCGTGCTCTTTTGAAATATGAAGGTCTGTCGTGGGTCTCCCTTTTTTTTGGAAGCGGCTAGAAATGACACATTAATATTCTTATTTTTCTCCCCTTTCTATTTCTACTTTAATATGTTCATTTAAATAGGCATGTTACAGCAATTTGCAATCGATGACAAAGGCAAGTATGATTACTGAATTTAACCTTCTATTAAAATGGTGTGACACTAATAGTTTATCTTTAACATACACAAAAAATTAGGTGCCACAATTCTGGCCGTATTTGGACTTCCCCCACTTTCACACGAACGTGAGGCCGTATTTGCTGCAAAGGCAGCAATCGAGCTCCGTGATGCTTATCGAGAACAGGACCTACCTGGATTTGCTATTGCCCTTGCTACTGGTATCATATTTGCTGCTATTGTGCCCAAAGATAATCCATTCCGTCGTGATCCAGGAATCTCGGGAGATTCAATCATTCTCGCCGTACGCATGTTAAAAATTCGTTCCTCGAGACATAATGTTGTATGTGATCATGCCACTAGACAGCAGATAGGTGATCTATGTGAATATATCAATCTTGGAGATAATTATGTCAAAGGAAAATCTCGGCCGATCCAGGTGTACGAAATCAAACAGTTTGCGTCAATGGAGGCAAGGCGTCTTTCAACTCAAACTACGGCTTCTAATACAAATTTTATTGGATATCAATCTGAGATGGATGCAGCAGTAAAATTTGTTAACGACTGGAATAAGACAAGAGAGCATTATGTTCTTGTAATATCCGGACCATCTGGTGTCGGAAAAAGCTATTTTTGTCGGACTCTGTATAATACAGCCTCGTTGTCCAATGTCGTATGCTGGTAGGGATTGATAGAAAAGACTGGTCTGATTGCCCATTACTAACTTCTTGTCTCAACACAAAGCTGGTCAGCATCTACAGAAGGTGAGATGAAATGGTTTTTTTGTACCCAATGATAACTTTATATTAAATATAATTTCATTTAGTGGAAAAAAGCTCGAAATTCTATTTAATTAAAAACTTGATGTTTTCGATATTTGAGACCATTGATTCATCTGAAATACCCACAAGCACAAAGCAATATCCGACTTTGTTCGAAGACATATTGAAAAAGAGTAAAACATTTGAGCCTTCATCAAGCCCATATACTGAAGATCAAAGAGTTCACACCATCGACGCACCTATAGCATCTAGCTCTGTGCATAAAGACTGGGTAAATAAACCCATCCGGTACCCAATTCTCTCACCGGTGTCTGCAGGTTCCTGTCCGGATTATCAAGCCTTTAATAAAGAAGTCGAAGAACTTATTCAACGATGCCTTCTCAAGTGCGGAGAGAGTGAGTCATATTTACCACTTTTCAAAATGATCTTTCCAGTTTTGAACAATATTTCCGAAAACAACGACACAAAAAGTCTCGGTGGACGTAGTCGAGATATTGTTATTTCACGTATTGTTATAAAAATGATAAACTATGTTGGAAAATTTTATGGTTTGTTGTTTGTGTGTGATGATGCACAATGTAAGTAAAAAAAAATGGTTTACTCCATAGTAGACCTTTTGAAGCTATAATCTAAAATACATTATATTTAATAGGGTGTGATAGCGCATCTATCAAACTTTTGCAAGAGATCCACGAGAAGTGTCGAAATTTAATGCTCATTATAGCTTCACGGCCAATGCAAGATTATGATATTACTTTTCTCAAGCGATTTTCTTCTAGTGGACAGTATAAAAATATTGCTTTGGAAGGTTTAAACAATAGAGATATCGCAGAGGTTATATTAAAGACATTTGGTCCTGGGGTGATGACAGTTAATCCAGATGTTGTTAACGTTGTTCAAGTAAGTATTTAAAGTTCAATGATCAACTTACCATCTTGTCCAAATATATTAAATTGTTATTTAGAAATGTACAAAGGGAAACCCCCTTTACGTCAAGTAAGTTTATAGAATAAATTAAACCAGCTTTTAAATTATTTTACTAAACAATTTTCTGATATATGCATATAGAAATATGGCTATTATTTTAAAAGATTTTAACCATGTTACCGTAGTTAATGGTGAACTAATTCCTATAAGTGTTCGCTTCGATATGGATGATCAAATGGGGTACTTTGATTATAAGCGTCTTATTAAGATGCAGTATGATCGACTGGATATAAACTATCAGGAGTTTCTGGCTGTAAGTAGAACATCATAAGGAATATGTTATGTGAGTTGCTAAAATAAACTTATAAAGGCTGCTAGCTGTCTAGGACAAACATTTAAGATTCAAGAAATTAAAGCAGCTTTATCTGCTAAGAACTCCATCTTAAGATATGATGATACAAAGAAGACATGGGGTATTATTAAGGCTTACGATATTTATCGGTTTCTACGATTACTCGAAAATGGAGAGACTCGTGAACTCGATTATAACGAATACACATTCAGTCACAGTACTATTCCACAGTGTATCAACGTAATGGTGTCCTACGAGACGAGAATGACAATACATAGCCTTTTTGCCACATACTATGAAAAACGACTTACAAACGAGAACTATTACGAGCTTCTAGGAAAAGTTACCAGACATTACTTAGAAACAGATAGTCTAAACAAACAGCTGTATTATCTAGAGAAACTCGCTAATTTCAACATGAAGTCGTATTTGATACCCGAAGCAACGCTAAATTACGAGCATATTGTCAATATACTGGATAATAATGAAGATCTTTATCTTAAATTTGGAAATATGCACATAAGCAATATATACATCAACTTAGGTTTGTGCTACACTATGAGAACCAAGTTAGAGGAAGGTGAAATATATCTATTCAAGGCACTTGACTGTCTCGGTAAACCTTGGCCAAAAACCGAACGGCAGTTTTTATGGAGGTTCTGGGTTAATAGAGCAGATCAATATCGACATCGACGTTGGGGAGCAAGAATAAGACATAAAAATGACACGAAGACCGAGATCTGGAAGCGAGTAATAGACATTATGAAGCCGTTATCGAATATTTATTTTTACAACGGAAACGGGAGAGAATTTGTTTACACATGTCTTATTGGACTTAATGCTTGCGAAAGACTCGGAGATATCGGACCAAAGTATACCATGTTTTTGGCTCGAAATGCACTTTTATGCTGGGTGAACGATCAGAAAGAAAAAAGCATCTTTTATATTACCAAGGCTTTACGAAATATGGATTTGCGCACTGACTCTGATACTTTGGCCATTTGTGCTTTCTTGAGTTTTGCAGCGGGAAAATTTGATAACGCAAGAGAGTTACTTTATCAATCCATTCAAGCATCATTAACCCTGGGAACTGTAGTCGAATTCCAATCATTTTATCGGTCTGTGAAACTCTTGGTAACAATGGGTATCTTTGGAGGAAACCTTGACAGGTCTCCGCGCGATGTTGCTTTACTTCAACAGATGGCCAGTACTGCTCGGAACAATGGAGACAACGAAGTAGATATATGGCTCGGGGTGTATCATGTGGGTAATTCCATTGTAACGAATCGATTACATGAGTGCTTGGCATTTGTATCACTTCTTGAGGCACATTTCCATGAAACTCCGATTTACAATCAAATTGCCATCCACGGAACGCTTGTTTGCTATTATGCAAAGACGAGAAACTACGAACAAGCAAGAGAGCACACCCAAAAGCTCATAGCTATATTACCAGCTTTGACAGGCACACGTAAGAAAGTAATTGAGGTTATATTTTTGTCTATTTTGGCTAATACAAAAAGTTTAATTTGATAGCCAACCTTTTTCCCGTATATGGTTTGATTTTTGTAACCATGGGACTGTACACCATGGTAGAAGATAATGAAGTTGAGCTTGTATGCTCTTTGGACTCTGGAAACTACCAGCGTTTTGCTGAAGGACTGACAAAAATTAATCATGCGTTCCAGCAAGTAAAATTTTGGGAATTTACTCAACCTTGTCTTTATCTAGCAAGAGCGCTTCCCTTTATTCTTACAGGGCGAATTGTGGAAGGCTATATGGTAATTGAATATATATATATATAATTCATCTGAGCATTCAAAGCTAATTACGCCAACTGATATATGTATATATATTTAAATTAAAGGTTTTACATCATGGGGTTCTTGAAATGCATTTTATTGAAGAAATTAGATTCTTGAAAGCATACTACTGGTCGTTTTTGGGAAAATACGCCTTTAAACCGACGGAAAGAATTAAGTGGACTGAACAAGCCCGCAACGAGTTTCGCAAACTTAATATTCCTGACGAGATCTATTGTAATCCTGATCCCGGAAATTGCTATGCTCGTGGAACTCCTGCAAATATAAGAATTAGTGAACCTTCGTAACAAATATGTAGACGAATCTATATATACATGTCCATAGCTGAATATAAACTTTAGATATCAACTTGCTGAACTCAACTCCCAGTAGACTTTGTGTAAAAAAGCTAATAAAAGAAATTACTTTCCCTTTCTTTTTGAAAAGAAAAGATGTGAATACTACTAGTAAGCTTATATTTGTTACACGTTGTGATGTCTTGACTAATACAATGTCTAATATGATGAGAGAGAGAGAGAGAGAGAGTAATTTGGTGCTTGTATGATTCGATTTCTAATACTGAGCTCAACAATATGTAGCTTAGGAAGAAAGTAGAATTGTTCTGCAAGAAGCAAGTTGGTTGTATAATAATCCAATAGAAAAGTTTATGAGTGATAATGTATCTGTATTCGAAATTATATTTGTAAACATTTATAGTTTTTGGAGAAGCTTATATCAGACAATAAGATAGAGTCAGATGAAAAGTAACATGTGAGCAAAATATAAAGGAATGCTATTGCTTAGGCAGACACAGAGTATTAATATGATTGCTCATTCAAAAAGCTAGCTATTACAGAAGACACATATTAACATATTCACACTATATGGTCAAAGCCACATTTGGTCAAGTATATTATCATATATATGAAAGGAATAAATACACATTTTAATCGACAAAAGGAATTGGTTGTTGCTATTCTTCTGTATCTTTTGAACACTTGCCCCTAATCAAGACAAGAAAGTGGCATACAAATAGACTATATAAATGAGCCAACTATAATAACCACTGTGGTATACACGCCACAATTGAGTGAAGAACAGACTCCCCCAACCATTACACAACAGATATTTGAATTACAGGGATGTGAATGGTAACAGATATAAACAATATTATTTTGTCTCTTTAATAAAGAACACTCTCACAGTATCTACTTTTCCATATATTGAGATACTAACCCATAAACAATCTTGAATACCTCAACCACCATGTATTAAAATTCTATTCCACTTCATCCAGTCCAATATGTCAATGTAGTTCTTTTATGACATCTGTGCCTTGCTTACTCGATATACATTATGTCTGCCAACTTATATTTAAGGGCTCTAATATAAAAGCTGCCTGTACATTTTTGGCGAATTATTGTTTATATCGAATGTTGAGAGATTAATTTTGTAATGTACTAATACTTGTATACTCTTCTTATTTGAATTCGAATCATCCTCTGTGCTGTGAATATAGCTGTACAATTGTGTATACAATAACAAATGGAGAGTATTAATAACTCATTGGTATTCAAAGTACAAAAAGGTTTGTGGATAATAATTTCTGTTTAATAAATCCACCCAGATTGACTTTTTTGTGCACATTCTGTGTAAATAAAATGAGAACATAGCTTGTATATTCAATCTACATTACGTCTTTTATGTCTTTCTTTCAAACATATTTTTTTTTCCTTCTCATCTCTTTCCATTTTTTTCTCGTCTTTCGCCTTTTGCTTTTTTGCACTCTTCTCTTTCTCTTTCTCTTTCTCTTTCTCTTTCTCTTTCTCTTTCTCTCTCCCATTACAATGCATCCTCTTTACAATGTCAATCCGGATTAGCCAAATTCATTTATACATTTTGCGCAATTGACATTCTCAAGAACTATTCCGAGTTTTCCTTATAAACTTTATAGACAAGAAAAGCCTATACAATCAAAAACGGAGATCGACAAAATGATAAGAACACACATATTATATTATATTAATCTTCAGAGTTCTTAACTAGATTAATTTTTCTTATTAATGAACCCTCCTAATTACAACATTAACCTCTTCAATTAAGTAAAAAAAAAAGTTCAAGCGCGTTTTTTATTAGAGTCGATAATAGTTAAAGAATACTTTATTTATTTATTAAATATACACATAAAGAAGCTATTTTATTTTTATTTGATTTTATTTGATTTGATTTCACTTAATGTTCTTTTACATGAGTAAAGGAATAAAAAGCATGACACCAAGTTCTTTGTCCCCGCATTACACGGCTCAATCTCCTTCAGGACGTAAACCTGACTTGGTAGCAAAGGAGGTGCTGGAATGGTGGCAAACCAACGGAAAGCACCCGTTCATCCAGCCCCACATCTCGTCACCGAGTAATGTGGGTGCGAACTCGCCAGAGAACTTACCACTAGGTGATAAGGTCCAGCTCATTCGACTACCAGTAGCTTCACCGTCAGCCGTTAAAGAGTTCAGTCAGGTTAGCAGTGAAGAGCCAGCACATCTCACCACAGGTTAGACCTCCCTCCCCCCAGCATCATGATTCCACATTGGCGATGCGATGTACACAGTAGTCCTTCCAAAAATGAAAAGAGACCATGCCCCACGACTTCTCAGAATTAACTGAGCTGGCGAGTAACAACTTTCACTTTCCGATGCTTGTAGCATGGAAGAATCTCCCTGCAACGGTCGCAAGAGACGCCTCACTATGAAACCGGGACTGTTGTTGCTCAAGGAGAAAACAAACGATGCGCGTTGGAGGGGTTCTATATGTAACAGAAAATATTTCATCTGCGATTAAGGTTTAGGACTGCGCTTTTTGTCAGGTCTGACGCTCACGTTAGAGCAAACGTGATATAGCTGTATATTCTTTTTTTAGTGGGATTGTGGAACTGTTTTATGGCAGAAGTAAATTCCAATAAAAGTTAAGCAGCGTAGTTATGAAAGTGACCCTGCAAAGTGAAGTGAATTAAAGCAAAGAAGAAAAGAAGTAAAAAGAGTAACAAAGGGTTTAGTTTTGATCAGTGTAGCAAGAACTCTTAAAGTGGAGTACAAGTTTCTATAACAGTTATATATAGGTTACTCTAAAGTGGTCTGTGCACTTTTTGTTCAAGAACACATGAAAAACTTTTCTTTATTTTGCTTATATAAAAAGACACAAAAAGAACCCGACGATCGCTGGAAAATAAACTCACGTATATTTCAAAGCAATGTTAAGTAATAAGAACAATGCAAAAAAAAGCAAAATATATATAGCTGATATTCTCAATAGGAAAAAAGATAAGATCCCAGAATTTTTGTTAATAATTTGACCAGTAAAGAGTCTAGCTACACCTTCAGCTTAGTCAAGGACAATGGCAATTTGGTTGCGAGCAAGATTGATTAGCTGTCAGACATAATACTGGTTCTACAGCAATAAAGTCCCGGTGCTTCATTGAGATATACAGTTAAAGTTGTATTGGTAATTCTATCTACAGATAAATAAAGTAGTTACTCCAGTAAAGACTATAATTTACAAATAGAAATACTATAAAATGATGGTATTATTTTTTAAAGGAGAAAAACATTGCTTGGTATCAATATATCTCTTTCTATTTAAGCTTACTCTTTTTGTTTTGCTTTAAATACTTAGAAGCTTTAGAGTTTTGAATTTAAAGATTGAAATGATTTTTAAAAATAATAATAACCAGTTTGCCTTGTACTTTATAATAGCTTTTTATTTGATTTCAAGAGTTTGGAATTTTGTGGAAAAGAAGAAAGAAGCACTTGTATGCTTTTGGCAATATATTTGAAACATCAGCACAAATACATCAGGATTAACCCCACAGATTTTGAGAAAATATGTGTGATTATATATTGAGGTTTTTAGCATTTTAACCAAACGGATTATAATGTTGAAAAACAATTCATTGTGAAACCTTGGCTTTTGTAAAAAGCAAACTGGATCACTTTTTTTTTTATATTACAGCTTAATTTCACGACCCGAGACTTAAATATGAGATAAAGAGGTATCACCAGCTCTCGATAAAAACATTCTGCTTGGAAATCATACAAGTTATATTCTACAGCTCTACGATATATACTGATATAATATTCTAGTAGTTTCTTCTGCTGCTAATTCTGTTGTTGTTTCTGTTACGTAAAATGGGAAGATGGGACTGGCTACACAATAGAAGCACAAGGTCACAGAACTTCTTTTTATATGTTTTAAGCTCGTCTTTAATAGGCTCTTAAACGTGCTGGTACCTGAGTACTACCTTTAAATTTCCATTTTGGGTTCTTCTTTGCTAACAGAAAGCTTCACTACTTTATTGTTCTTCTTCATGCAGAAAGCTTGCTTCTCAAAGGATTGACACATGGAATAATTATATATAAACAATAAGCCACATAGATATCACACGCCAATATGTGGAATTATTCTATTAGACGATTAGTGTTTACGTCATATCTTGCGTATTCACTCACGCGTATAGAAAAATGGCTCTTCAGTGCGAGGGAAAGAAAACTCGCCTTTCTCATAAACACAACACAGAGAAATATTCATGTAAGTAACAAAATCATTAAAGAAAGTACATTTCACACATGTTATGCTAATTACGATGAATTTATTAATGTAATTTGTAGTAATGTTACTTTTGACATTTACCTAAATGTATTTTCTCAAGAAGTGAATGTAAGTAATCACAAAATAAAAAATATACCCTTATTTCATTGAAACTCTTACTAACATCGCGCAGTTAATAGTAAAAATAAAGTCTGGCCCGAAAGGGTCAGCCTTGACAGCAGCTTGTCAAGAAAGCCTCTAGTGATGTCGTTGCAGTGAAAACCAAAGCGGCCAACCAAACCACACCCAGTTAATGGCTCTGGGAACGGCTAGCAAGAAACACCGATTTACTTTGGTCTCCTCTATTCTGACATTTGGTACAACGTGGTCAATCCGTCATAGAGAGGTGTAGCATAGGCGGGAGCCACCGGGCGCCAATGAAATACCACCACTCTCTATGACAAGCCAAACGGACTGAGGATGAGTCCTGATATTCTCCTCCCCATTGATGTCAGATGTTGAGGTTCAAAGACGATCAGATAGACTGGTTTTTTATGGGTTGACAGCCGAACGTTCTAGCGACGCAGTTGACCTATAATAAAACCAACTCAACCCGTGCGATAGGCATCCATGTGTCTGGGGTATGACTGATTTAACAAGTTGGGACGCCTATTTAGCCCAAGTAGAAGAGTCAGTATAGAGTTTGGTCCGACTGTCATGATGTACTGGTCTACTTCTTGCTAGCTAGTAACCGATATTGTAACAGCAAATGGAGTTTTTTTTTTCGCAAGATAAATTACTTTATTCAAGCCTCCACTCTCCCGTAATCGGTGTTCTGATCCTGTTTTCGCGAAGATGTGCTTGTTCAATGAGTTTTTGATTGAACGCCTTTAAGTCATTACTCTGTGCTGGAAACAATGTTACTCGTTCTCTGTACAATTTTGTACTTGACACCATATATTGTCTTTCGCTTATTACTGTCTAGGCAGTCGTAAGCAAAGACACCCTGATAATGCCAATTCTAGAACGGTAAAATCTCGTTCATCCCAAACGAAAAAGGCGGGGTCTCCAAACTTTATACGGTCTTCGTTGCCTAAAAAAGTGAAGTTCGCCCTTGTCTTTCGATTTCTTCCCCCCCCCCCCCCCGTCTCAGTCTATAGTTAACTTTTTAGTTGGCTTGACAGGTGTTTTTCCAACCTTAATTGGAAGAGCGTGAGTTCGAATCTCACAGAGACATATTACTAGCAGCAAGCTAGTTCCAATTTCGTATATATTATAATCAATAGAGCATAAGCTAACTATAAAAATATTTCAAAATAGTAAAAATATTTTTTAATTGTACAAATACAGTTAATGGACTGCTTACTGCTTGTTCTTGACCAATAATGCTACAAAAGACCCTAACACATTGTCGTTCTCATGGCAGGCATGTTTAACATGTACGAGTTCAAACTTCCGCCTGCTGACCATCTCCATCTCAGTACAAACTATCTTGCGGGCATTACTTAAATAGAAACGAATTGGAAAGTATTTTGTAATGAGCATTGAATCATTGCTGACTCTCCATCCAGCGTCAAGGTGTAAACACACATCAATTTATGAACTCACCGCTGTTGATGTCTCACTTAAATAAGTTAATAATGCTACTATGGTGATTGTTCAGAAAATTTGAAGCCCCACAATGGTAGAAATCGTAATTACGAGCGAACAAGAAGCTTTAAAATATGCCAATGGAGGCATTAAGATTAAAGACAAAAGTACTTATGGTTTCCCATCTCTTGGACCAAATGTAGAACTGACCAAGACCTTTCTCTCTAAGGTTCTGATGTAGGATAATATAAAAGCTATAAGAACCGTACATAGAATTATCAAAAGCTATGGCATATATCTCGAGATAGGCTATACAATTGTCACAATGATTGTCTAGTGGCCAGGCCTAGGCTCTCATACGCTTCTCAAACAGTCCTCCAAATACACCGATTATTTCTTTGACTCATCCTATCTGGTTTTGGAATGATCATAATATATATGCCACTTGATCCAATATAGTACTGTATTGTGGCTCTTATCACAAGCTTGATCACATATTCTCTTATTGCCCTGAGTGCAAGTCTCTTATATATGAAAAATGCAATATATCTAAACATATCTGCAATTGCTTTCTTGAGAGCAATCATGCACTTAAGCGCACTAAATACAACCTGTCAGATGACTCTGAAACTGAGAATTATAGTAAGGATTGCTCTGAGGTATTTGAGATTCTTTATGAGCTAATATCTCAATATTGAGAAAAGTAGATACTGTGAGAGTATTATTTATTAAAGAGCTAAAACGACAAAGAATTGTATATACTATTATTCAAATCCCTTGTAATTCATATTTCTGTTGTGTAATTATCGGCTTACACTGTATAATTGTGTAGTGTACATGCACTTGGTGTGTAAAAGTTTATGGGATTGTTAACTTCCCACGTTTATTACCGAGAATAAACCAGAGTCTTGTCGTGGAGTCTATAATCTACTTAATTGTAGCGTGTATACCACAGTAATGACGATTCTATAATAACAGGGCATAGTGTCTCATTTAGATATGCACTTAAGGTTGTTTTAGTGATTATATTTACAGACAGATGAAGCAATACTTTGGCAAAATTTACACTTTACAAAGAGAAATACCATAAAATGATAATATCATTTTATCTTTATTAAGTAATATAATATTTCCTTTTTTTTAAGCTTATTCCTTTTGCTTTGCTTTGCTTTGCTTTTAATTTAATAGTGTTTTAATACTAGAGAAAGCCAGGGTTTTAGATTTGAATGTCGAAATTACTTCTAAAAAATATTAATTTGACTTGCATTATATACATAAGTTTCTAAAAAGAAAAGATAGTGCCAATCTATAGAACAAATAAAGTCAAGTTATATATAGATATAAATATATATAAGTTCATATTAGCTACAAACTTATCAGCTTTGTTCTATACTATTGCCATAATTATCAATATATATAGATAAAAATACTATATACGTATAATGTAATACATAGTTTTCCATTGATATCAACAATCTTACTAAGTATTTACTGTCAATAATATATACTTGTTGGTCATTTAAAAATTGTAAAAGAAAATATCAAGAAACTGAAATATATGTCAAATCATAAGAACTTTACTTCTTTATTACCAATTTATTAAATGACTAAATTAAAGAAAATATGTGAAAAGATAAAATATCAAATTCTTAGTTCACCATTTTGCCAAAAAAATATATATAGCAAAAGTGGATCCATCCCCCTCAGGACGAAGACCTGATTTGACGGCGAAGGGGAAAAAATGAGCTGGTTGCTCTCTTTACAAGAAAGAGTGATATGGAAAACAGAGGCAAGGTCAGGCAGCGCTGCACGTCAGCATACACCATTCCAAACTAACAGATGTTCTCAGAATAATACTTTCCGCACCACATTGCGCATATATACAACCAACTCGTCTGGACACTTGCGCAGGAAACTGCCAGTGAGATACGCCAATAAAGACCGTAAAGCACAGTACAAGAGATCATTCGTGCATTCTCTCTTGTAGGTCCAGAATAAAGAAACGTAAGCTCGCCTGGGAACGAAACGCCCAGAGAGTCGACACTAGCAAAATAAGTATACTTTGTACTTGCATTTTTGGTGGAACAATGCTTACCGGAAATTTTCATGTCCGAGACGGATACTTTGGCGAGAGAGAATGTCAAATTCTTAGTTCACCACTTTGCCAAAAAAAAACAAAAAAGTGGATCCATCCCCCTCAGGACGAAGACCTGATTTGACGGCGAAGGGGAAAAAGGAGTTTGTTGCTCTCTCTCCAGGAAAGAGTGGTATGGAAAACAGAGGCAAGTTCAAGCAGCGCTGCACGTTAGCATACACCTTCCGAGCCAACGGATGTTTTCTAGATCAACGGTTTCCACACCGCATCGCACATAATCACAACCAACTCGTCTGGACACTTGCGCAGGAAGCTGCCAGTGAGATATGCCAATAAAGACAGTAAAACACAGTACAAGAGATCATTCGTGCATTCACTCTTGTAGGTCCAGAATAAAGAAAGCTAATCCGATCTGGGAACTAAACGCCCAGACAAGAGATTCAAAGTAGAGTAAGTATATATGTTATGGTTTTGACCGTGTGAGTGTGTGAAATAATATTTGTCTCCAGCCGCCAATACTATGAGATTAGCGACTTTTTTACCAGATAAACGGAAATAGCAGTAAAGAAAAATCCTTTACCAATAAACAGCAGAAATCTGGGGAAGGATTTTTAGAAGGATTTTTTCAATAATATATCAATGTAAAAATAAAATACGGAGAATAAGTATCAGAGCCGGCGTAAAAGAAGAAAAAACTTTTTTCAAAAATTCTTGTAAAAAAAAAACTTACCAAATAGTATCGGAAAGATAATACTTTAGAAACAGCAAGAAGTACACATATATCAATAAAGTTTGACTAATATATGTATGTTATACTCATAAAGACAGATGTCAGTAAATTTTGAAAAGAAAGATATTTTATATAGAGAAAATAAAAGAAATATATTACCAAAAACTTCTTGTGCCGAAGATATATGCTGCAAAGACTGACGGAGATATATTGAGAGATACTCTCAAAGTAGAAATAGAAGATAAACAGAGAGAGATGCAGAGAGAGATGCAAAGAGAGAGATATACAGAGAGATATACAGAGAGATATACAGGGAGATATACAGAGAGATATACAGGGAGATATACAGAGAGATATACAGGGAGATATACAGGGAGATATACAGAGAGGTATACAGGGAGGTATACAGAGAGAGAGAGATGCAGATAGGTATACAGAGAGGTATACAGAGAGAGATCCAGAGAGGTATACAGAGAGGTATACAGAGAGAGATCCAGAGACAAAGATATAGAGAGAGAAATAGACCGAGAGTTAATTCAAAGATAAAAGAGAGAGATAGAGAGATGAGGTTTGGCCAAGTTATTGTTGCTGTTTATATAGACAATTATTTAAAAAAAAAATTAAAGAAAAAAAAGAAAAACGTGGTCACTGTACCGTGGTTTTTTTGTGGTGATGTGTGCAAAGACAGATCATTCCTTAAAATGTTATAGAATACAATAGAGTAATAAAGTACCTAGCACTTCCTTGAATACTCTTGAAAATAATTATTACAAAAATTACTTAGATGGAGAGTATCTGTTCATTTCCCCTCGAAAGAAATATATGAATTTTTTGATATTACTCTTACGAGTAATGTGCTATGTTGTAATGTATTGTACTGTAAAAAATAGAAGATATACTCGCATCATTCTTCATATTAATTATATATCGGTGGATTATATAAGTATTATATCTGAGAACGGTAGCCAAGTACTCAAGCATTATCTTGTATAATGTATTGTACATATACACTTTGTTAAACAATAAGATAAATAACAATATCTTTGGCAAGCTAAATTATACCTCATTTTAGATAAGGTAATAATACATGAGATTATTACTATCAAAATAAATATTATATGGTATTTAGGGTACGAAAACTGATAGGCATAGTAATTATAAGAGATTTTCATGTAAAAAAAAAAAGCGCGATCCGGCAGTAATAGTTAATACATACAGCTGCAATGTTAACAACACTTTATCAGCTTTGTATATGAGTGCTGTCTCACATATATATCGCTTCTACAGGCAATTCCACCGATTAAAGAGGTGCTTTATAAAAAAAAGTTGAATAATATCTATGCGAGCTTACATTTAATAAAAAAACGGAAAACAAAGAGTTCTTTTACAACGTTCTTTATATTACGTAAAAAGAGCTCATATATTAGCGTTTTTATTTTTGAATTAAGTATCAATTATTTGCACCTCTAGCCAATATTATAGGGATAGCTATTGATTTATATTTGATAGAAGGCAGGTGTAGACATAAATGTCAATATTTATACTCTGTCATTAAGTAATATCTTTTGTACTCGGCTAATAAGCGTATATAAAAAATGTCTTATGGATAGACTTGAGAATGCAGCTCGCTCCATATCAGTGATAACTTATTACTGTGATATATACACTTATGATAAAAAAAGCCTAGCACCAGTTAAGAATTTACTAAAAAATCGACTATTTTCTTAACAATAATAATGTCATAATCTTCTTGTACATTCAATTAAATATAACGTGGGGTATATTCTGACATCTAGAATGCTCCATAGTTAATAATCAAATGCTGAGCATTACAAGTACAAGAGAATTATGTAAATTTACCCGATAGGTTTTAACGCAGTCAATATATCATTCGTTACTTATATACTCATGTCTAATGAAAAATTAATAGTAGGTGTCTTCCATTTGATATTTAAAAACTTTAACTACTAGTATTGATATAAAAATCTAAATTGGATATATTCTCTAATCTTTAACGGTTTTACAACTGTTTTCAGAGTACAAAGTATCTTCTTTTTATGTGATTGTAGCCGCAAGAAGTATTTCTACCAATAGAGTGCGAGCTGCATTCTCAAGTCTATCCATAAGACATTTTTTATATACGCTTATTAGCCGAGTACAAAAGATATTACTTAATGACAGAGTATAAATATTGACATTTATGTCTACACCTGCCTTCTATCAAATATAAATCAATAGCTATCCCTATAATATTGGCTAGAGGTGCAAATAATTGATACTTAATTCAAAAATAAAAACGCTAATATATGAGCTCTTTTTACGTAATATAAAGAACGTTGTAAAAGAACTCTTTGTTTTCCGTTTTTTTATTAAATGTAAGCTCGCATAGATATTATTCAACTTTTTTTTATAAAGCACCTCTTTAATCGGTGGAATTGCCTGTAGAAGCGATATATATGTGAGACAGCACTCATATACAAAGCTGATAAAGTGTTGTTAACATTGCAGCTGTATGTATTAACTATTACTGCCGGATCGCGCTTTTTTTTTTTACATGAAAATCTCTTATAATTACTATGCCTATCAGTTTTCGTACCCTAAATACCATATAATATTTATTTTGATAGTAATAATCTCATGTATTATTACCTTATCTAAAATGAGGTATAATTTAGCTTGCCAAAGATATTGTTATTTATCTTATTGTTTAACAAAGTGTATATGTACAATACATTATACAAGATAATGCTTGAGTACTTGGCTACCGTTCTCAGATATAATACTTATATAATCCACCGATATATAATTAATATGAAGAATGATGCGAGTATATCTTCTATTTTTTACAGTACAATACATTACAACATAGCACATTACTCGTAAGAGTAATATCAAAAAATTCATATATTTCTTTCGAGGGGAAATGAACAGATACTCTCCATCTAAGTAATTTTTGTAATAATTATTTTCAAGAGTATTCAAGGAAGTGCTAGGTACTTTATTACTCTATTGTATTCTATAACATTTTAAGGAATGATCTGTCTTTGCACACATCACCACAAAAAAACCACGGTACAGTGACCACGTTTTTCTTTTTTTTCTTTAATTTTTTTTTTAAATAATTGTCTATATAAACAGCAACAATAACTTGGCCAAACCTCATCTCTCTATCTCTCTCTTTTATCTTTGAATTAACTCTCGGTCTATTTCTCTCTCTATATCTTTGTCTCTGGATCTCTCTCTGTATACCTCTCTGTATACCTCTCTGGATCTCTCTCTGTATACCTCTCTGTATACCTATCTGCATCTCTCTCTCTCTGTATACCTCCCTGTATACCTCTCTGTATATCTCCCTGTATATCTCCCTGTATATCTCTCTGTATATCTCCCTGTATATCTCTCTGTATATCTCCCTGTATATCTCTCTGTATATCTCTCTGTATATCTCTCTCTTTGCATCTCTCTCTGCATCTCTCTCTGTTTATCTTCTATTTCTACTTTGAGAGTATCTCTCAATATATCTCCGTCAGTCTTTGCAGCATATATCTTCGGCACAAGAAGTTTTTGGTAATATATTTCTTTTATTTTCTCTATATAAAATATCTTTCTTTTCAAAATTTACTGACATCTGTCTTTATGAGTATAACATACATATATTAGTCAAACTTTATTGATATATGTGTACTTCTTGCTGTTTCTAAAGTATTATCTTTCCGATACTATTTGGTAAGTTTTTTTTTTACAAGAATTTTTGAAAAAAGTTTTTTCTTCTTTTACGCCGGCTCTGATACTTATTCTCCGTATTTTATTTTTACATTGATATATTATTGAAAAAATCCTTCTAAAAATCCTTCCCCAGATTTCTGCTGTTTATTGGTAAAGGATTTTTCTTTACTGCTATTTCCGTTTATCTGGTAAAAAAGTCGCTAATCTCATAGTATTGGCGGCTGGAGACAAATATTATTTCACACACTCACACGGTCAAAACCATAACATATATACTTACTCTACTTTGAATCTCTTGTCTGGGCGTTTAGTTCCCAGATCGGATTAGCTTTCTTTATTCTGGACCTACAAGAGTGAATGCACGAATGATCTCTTGTACTGTGTTTTACTGTCTTTATTGGCATATCTCACTGGCAGCTTCCTGCGCAAGTGTCCAGACGAGTTGGTTGTGATTATGTGCGATGCGGTGTGGAAACCGTTGATCTAGAAAACATCCGTTGGCTCGGAAGGTGTATGCTAACGTGCAGCGCTGCTTGAACTTGCCTCTGTTTTCCATACCACTCTTTCCTGGAGAGAGAGCAACAAACTCCTTTTTCCCCTTCGCCGTCAAATCAGGTCTTCGTCCTGAGGGGGATGGATCCACTTTTTTGTTTTTTTTTGGCAAAGTGGTGAACTAAGAATTTGACATTCTCTCTCGCCAAAGTATCCGTCTCGGACATGAAAATTTCCGGTAAGCATTGTTCCACCAAAAATGCAAGTACAAAGTATACTTATTTTGCTAGTGTCGACTCTCTGGGCGTTTCGTTCCCAGGCGAGCTTACGTTTCTTTATTCTGGACCTACAAGAGAGAATGCACGAATGATCTCTTGTACTGTGCTTTACGGTCTTTATTGGCGTATCTCACTGGCAGTTTCCTGCGCAAGTGTCCAGACGAGTTGGTTGTATATATGCGCAATGTGGTGCGGAAAGTATTATTCTGAGAACATCTGTTAGTTTGGAATGGTGTATGCTGACGTGCAGCGCTGCCTGACCTTGCCTCTGTTTTCCATATCACTCTTTCTTGTAAAGAGAGCAACCAGCTCATTTTTTCCCCTTCGCCGTCAAATCAGGTCTTCGTCCTGAGGGGGATGGATCCACTTTTGCTATATATATTTTTTTGGCAAAATGGTGAACTAAGAATTTGATATTTTATCTTTTCACATATTTTCTTTAATTTAGTCATTTAATAAATTGGTAATAAAGAAGTAAAGTTCTTATGATTTGACATATATTTCAGTTTCTTGATATTTTCTTTTACAATTTTTAAATGACCAACAAGTATATATTATTGACAGTAAATACTTAGTAAGATTGTTGATATCAATGGAAAACTATGTATTACATTATACGTATATAGTATTTTTATCTATATATATTGATAATTATGGCAATAGTATAGAACAAAGCTGATAAGTTTGTAGCTAATATGAACTTATATATATTTATATCTATATATAACTTGACTTTATTTGTTCTATAGATTGGCACTATCTTTTCTTTTTAGAAACTTATGTATATAATGCAAGTCAAATTAATATTTTTTAGAAGTAATTTCGACATTCAAATCTAAAACCCTGGCTTTCTCTAGTATTAAAACACTATTAAATTAAAAGCAAAGCAAAGCAAAGCAAAAGGAATAAGCTTAAAAAAAAGGAAATATTATATTACTTAATAAAGATAAAATGATATTATCATTTTATGGTATTTCTCTTTGTAAAGTGTAAATTTTGCCAAAGTATTGCTTCATCTGTCTGTAAATATAATCACTAAAACAACCTTAAGTGCATATCTAAATGAGACACTATGCCCTGTTATTATAGAATCGTCATTACTGTGGTATACACGCTACAATTAAGTAGATTATAGACTCCACGACAAGACTCTGGTTTATTCTCGGTAATAAACGTGGGAAGTTAACAATCCCATAAACTTTTACACACCAAGTGCATGTACACTACACAATTATACAGTGTAAGCCGATAATTACACAACAGAAATATGAATTACAAGGGATTTGAATAATAGTATATACAATTCTTTGTCGTTTTAGCTCTTTAATAAATAATACTCTCACAGTATCTACTTTTCTCAATATTGAGATATTAGCTCATAAAGAATCTCAAATACCTCAGAGCAATCCTTACTATAATTCTCAGTTTCAGAGTCATCTGACAGGTTGTATTTAGTGCGCTTAAGTGCATGATTGCTCTCAAGAAAGCAATTGCAGATATGTTTAGATATATTGCATTTTTCATATATAAGAGACTTGCACTCAGGGCAATAAGAGAATATGTGATCAAGCTTGTGATAAGAGCCACAATACAGTACTATATTGGATCAAGTGGCATATATATTATGATCATTCCAAAACCAGATAGGATGAGTCAAAGAAATAATCGGTGTATTTGGAGGACTGTTTGAGAAGCGTATGAGAGCCTAGGCCTGGCCACTAGACAATCATTGTGACAATTGTATAGCCTATCTCGAGATATATGCCATAGCTTTTGATAATTCTATGTACGGT